TGATGATGGTGATGGATACAACATCGACAGACGATGAAAAAAAATTGATACTAAAAGTTGAAAAATTCACATTTGGTTATTATTAGTAGTAATTAAGTCTGGATTCATTTTGTTGTTTGGTTTGTTTGCCAGAAAAACATCACTGGTTGATGACTTATTTTTTTTTTTTTGGTGCTTGAAAAAAAATTTCAAATTTCAAGTGTTTGCCTTGGTTACTCTGAGTGTATCAAGTGTGTATGTATGAATGTGTTTAACATAGACGATAATCGATGCCCATTTTTTTTGGTTCTGGGCTTTTCAACGTTTTAAATTTCTCTCTACACTCTCATCATCATCTATTGTTCGCTGTTAACTTTTTTTTCTCTGGGTGAACGAAAAAAAACGAAATCGATCGATCCAAAATGTTTTTTGTTGTTGAAACTTTAAACGCAGAAAAATGGAGTGAATGGCAGAGAGAGAGAGAGAAAAAAACATTTAAAACCCAATGTTTTTGAATGTTTTTTTTCTGAAAAAAAAAGTAAATTTGATATTTTCTCTTGAGCTCGATTTGTTTTTGGAATCGATTTCACATTTTTTTTTTTTTGTTCTGTGAAATGGATTCTTGCAAGCCATTTGCTTTTTTTTGTTTGTTTGTTTGTTTATTCTATTCTGTGTTTCTAGCATAGAAAAGAATATTCTTCAAGAGAGCGAGTGGCAGAGAGATAAAGAGACAAAAACATTTTTTTTTTCTTTGCCATTCATCGCCATCATCATTATCATCAAAAAAAAAAAAATGATGATGATGATAGCTATTGTGTGAGTGTGAAATCAACAATATAAATGGCCATGAAGAGTTCATAAATCATTTTTTTGTTTGTTTGCTGTGTGTGTGTGTGTGTTCATCATTAACATCATTGAGAGAAGAGACGGTTTTTTTCGGAACAATCAATGGTACGATTCAATGTCTGATGATGATGATGATGATGATGAATTTTTTTTTTTGGTTTTCAATTTGATTTTGGATTTTCAGAAAATGAAAAAAAAAATTTCTGTTTTTCTTGATTTGAAAAATTTTTTTTGTTTTTCTGATATTCTGAGATTTTCAATTTTTTTTTTTTTTTTTTTTGATGTAGAATTTTTATTCCGAATCGAATTGAATTGAATTTAGATGATGAACGAGCTGTTTTTTTCTCTCTCTTTGTGCGTGGGTGTATATGATGATTATGATCGATGATTCTCATCGGTTGGAATAATATAAAATTATTAAAATTCTTTCCACTCTTATAATGATAACAACAACAACAAAAATCGATTTCGATATCTTGGCCTCTTGTTTTTTGTGTTTTTATCATTCTTTTTTTTTTTCAGTGACATATTCTTGTTTCTTGTGTCTGAAAATTATTCTTCATTATTTGGTATGTATTACACATCGTCAATCATCTACAAAAAAACATCTTGATCAACATCGTTTGTTCGTGAATGCTAATAATTACCTTGTAGCCAACCATAGAGAGAGAGAGATGTGATGCATTTATTTATCTCATTTGATGTTGATGATGATGATGATGACATTTAAAGATGTTTTAACAGACACAATGATTTATATTACGTGATTTTATCATCATCATCATCATCATACTTGTTAGTGACAATCTTGTTTTTTTTGGCAGTATCTACAACAACAACAATGTGTGTACAAAATGTTGATCAATAAATTGATTCTGGTTAATTTGAATTATGGCCATATAACATAATATAACGATAGCGATAGATTCATTGTCCATCTAGCGATTCTTATTTTTTTTTTCAGTGTTCGATTCTTTTTTTTTTTGTGTGTGTGTTTGAAACACACTTGATTCATAAATCTAATTTTTTTTCTCGTTGTTGTTGTTGTTATCAATGAGAAAATTTCATTTATTCATTCATTCATTCACTGGAGGACAGTCAAAAAACACACACAAAGTGACAAACAGTTAATGGAAAGACAATTGTCATTAAATTAAATGATGTGTTTATGATGATGACAATTGTGTACCAATGTTTACCCATTATTATCGTTGTTGATGATGATGATGATGATGATGATGATGTGCAAATATTTATTATTCCAATGATGATGAGAATTTTGTTTCATTTTGTGTGGTTTTTATTTTCATTTTAATAAAACGAAAATGAAAATGAATCTAGAATGTGTTGTGATGAGATGGAAAAAAAGCTAATTTTCTAAATGGGCTTTGTTTCTGGCTTTTTTTTGTGATTCGATTTCGGGCATTTATTCATTATTTTCATTTTCGTTTCGTTTTTTTTTATATATTCGCGGTCGATTATGATGATGACATTGTCATTATTGTTCTCTCTCTGTGTATGGATAATTCATATTTAGATTTTCCAAGTGTAGCTGCTGCTGCTGCTGCTGGTGTGTGTGTGTGTGTGTGTGTTTGTTCCTGGAACTTGAGAATATTTTTTTTATTCATGTTTTTCTTTGTAAATCGATTCATTTTTGTTTTGTTTTTGGAACACTTTCCATTCGTTTATTTTTTCGTTTATGATTGTTTCGGGTGTTTTATTTCGTTTGTTTGCTTGGCACCTTGAGGGCAAAATGGTGAAAAAAACGAATAAACGAAAATCCATTTAAAGAAACAAAACAACAACAACAACAATAAAGATCCACAGATAAACAACAACAGTATTTTTGTCAGTGAATGTGAATGTGAACAGGCTAATTGACAATTTACATAAATTATTTGGCTCGTGAGATTTTTTTTTGTTTGTTTGTTTTGTTTGTGGAAACCACCACCACTGACAAAATTCAAAAGTCTTTTTCTTCCAACAATTAACACAATTTATACAAGTGATGAATGAAAATGGTGAAAAAAAATTGATTTTGTCACTGGAAAAATATAAATTTTCTTTTTGCCCGAAACTAAAAAAAAAATTTTTTTTTCAGTTTCATTCACTAACTCACTCACTGGATCCTGTGATCCATTCGTGAAATTGGATTATATACCGTTATTAATATGGATGATGATGATGATTGTATTGTATTGTTCGGTTTCAACAATGAAATCATCAGAATTTTCATCAATAATATTAAGATCCTTGTGAACATTTGGTGTATTTTTTTTTTTTGGTTTTGGTTCAAAAAAAAAAATGTTTCAAAATCGATGCGATTATGACAATGATAATGAGTTGTTGAAAATTTCATTGCGAATGAGATTGTTTTACATTTTTCTTCTCAACAACAACAACAACGATGATGATGATAATCGGATTTGAATTGTTGAAGTGGTGGTAAACGAGAAAAAAAAATCCGATGCGAATCTAGCCACTTGTGCTGTATTCGTCCGAATTTTCATCGAAACAAAATCAGATTTGAATTTTTTTTTTTTCTGATTTCAGCCATATTCCTATGGGACAAATTTTCGTTTTTTCTTGAATAAAAAAAAATATCCAGTGTCCAGATTTTTTTTCTGAAAAGAAATTTTTTTTTTTATATACAGCACTACTTATCTTTTATTTATAAATTATTTTATGATCAAACCATAAGGATGTGGTTTCTTCAAATCAAAATTCAGAATAAAAAAGTTCCACGATGATGATGATGATGATGATCATCAAAAAAAAAGAAAATATTGTCTATTATGATGTCATGTTTTGTTTTTTTTTTTTTTTTGGTTCTGGTTTGTTCTTGAAAAAACACATAATTCACTTCAGTCAATCGATTCTTGATTTTTTTTCATATATATGAATAATAATGAGTCACCCATCATTGATGATGATGTGATCGTTGTTGTATGGTTGGTGTTTTTTTTTTTTTTTTTGGGTACAGAAAAAAATTATTCTGGTTTATGGTCACGGTCGTTATTGTTGTTGTTGTTGTTGTTGTTGTTTAGTTTGGTTTGGTTTGATTTGGTTGTACCATGATCCAAATGATTCGATTAATATTCAATTCACAAATAGCATGAGAATATTTGAATAAATTTTCCATTATGATGAATCAACCAAAACCACAAGCATCATATTATTCAAAAAAAAAAAAAATCAAAAGAAAGAAATTTCCTCAGGAATCGAATGTTTTTTTTTGTTCAATAATTCTTCGATCATCATCAATAAACATTTTGTGTGTGTGTGTGTGTGTATGTGGAAATAGCCCGGAAATCCGTAACATATTTATGGAAACACCGTCTATAATGATGATGATGATGATGATGTTATTTTATAGGACAAGATAACAATTTTTTCCGGTTACGGGAACAATCCATTTTTTTTTGTTAACTAAAAAAAAAAACATACAATTTGTGTGTGTGTGTGTGTGTGTGTGTGTGTCTACCAGATCCATTGGTTTCGTTACGGATTATTGGTTTGTCATGGTTGTTTGATGATGATGATGTTCAAAGCATGTCGTTTTGTTGTTGTTGTTGTTCACATGGATCGTTTCGGGTTTTGGTTAGAATTGAAATATAACTACAGTGTAGTAGTAGTTCACTACAGAAAAACCAATTTTATTCTGGAGATTGGGCGAGAAAACTTTGATTAAATTCTTGAAAATAGCAGAATAAAGATGAAAAAGAAAAAAAAATCGAAAACTTTGATTTCTTCTCCTTTTTTTCGGACGTGTGTCTTGGTGTAAAAAAACTTTTTTTTGTGTGTGTACAACAGTGGATAAAATAAGCCCTATATATAAAGAATAAAGAATTTCAAATTGAAAAAAAGTGAACCTCATCTGTGTCTCTCTCTGTGTGTGTGTGTGTCATCCAGAATTGATTGTCGTCATCGTCAACGAATGATGATCATACTATAACAGAATAATAATCCCACTGAACATTGAATACACACATACACACACACACAACTACTAAACAGCAGTGATTTAGAATGCAGAATGTTTTTTTTTCGCTTGTTCCAAAAAAAAAAAAATAATCCAAGATTTATTCGTTCATTCCAATGAAAGAATAAAAAAAAATCCAATCATCATATTTTTATTATTATTTACAATCCATGAGTAGTAATAAAGAAGAAAAAAATCATTGAAATTCGATGATTTACACCACCACATCATTTTATATCAGCAGAAATTGATAATAATTATCGATTGAAAATTATTGTTGCTGTTGTTATTGATAGTATCCAATTCATTCATTGGTTTTTCAAGCCATCAGCTGATCCTATAGGATTTTCATATGATTCCGATTCTGTATTATTTGTATTGACGATGAATAATACATACACATGTTAATAATAATCCACCTCCTCCCCCCCCCAGAAAAAAATCGATGAATGTTTTCACTATGATTATACAATAAATCGTTACATTTATTATTATTACATATAACAAATGTTTGTAATAACTTACCAAAGAAAAAAAAAATATCTGATCCAATAACGATCCATCAACTACGATTATTGTTGTTGTTGTTGTTGTTGAAACACGTGATTTGTCAATCCTGGACACAGTGAAAAAGAACAGAAAGAATAAAGTAAAGTAAAGCAAAGTAAATTGTAAACCAAAAAATTCAAACATAAAAATTTTGATTACATAAGTAGCTTATGTGTAATTTTTTTTTCTCTCCATGTCAGCCATAAGCTTCTTACCATCATCATCATCATGTGTTTGTGTTTGTGTTTATGTTGCTAATTATTATCTATTTTGACAATTTATTTGCTGGCGGTGTGTTTATAGCCATGTTGATGATATGATATAATATAATTCCATTATTGATTGATGATTTAAAATGACCAATGGCCATTGATGATCATTACATCATGACGACGACGACATTGTGTTTAACGAAAAAAAAATCATCTGATTTATAAATGATGATGGATTATGATGGTATAACTCAATTATATAAAAATGTTGGTGATGATGATGATTTTACTGTGGAAAAAAAAAGATTTTGAAAATTAAAAAAAACTGTGAAAAAAACGCGTGCACAACTCACTCACTAACTATAGCTAAAAATGATGTTAATGTTTCTTTTTTTTCAACAGAAAAAAAAAATTTGAGATTTTTATCTTTATTGATGATGGTTTGACGATGGTGGTATTGAAGAATGAACGAACAAACCCGAACCCGAACCCTAGGGCACGCGTATACGCGTGTTCAACTTGTATAATTTTTTTTATTTCTTCTTTTCACTAACTGATTTTAATCTTTTAATTTTTTTTTTTCACAGATTTTAACAAACGGAAAAAAATAAAATTTGATTTTTTCACATACACACGTTCAGAAACTGAAAAACCATAATCATCATCATTAAGATTGATAAATAATGATAATGAGTTTGATTACAACGTCACAACAACAACAACGTTTATCAACAACGAATAGTAGTAATAATAATTTAAAATTGAAAATTGTGCCACCACCACCACCATCATCATCATCATCAATCAATTCATCGAATGTTGATTTAATCACCACATCCGCTATAATAAATAATAATAGTAATATGATGCTGACAGCAAATAATAATAGCAGCGGAAATCACTTACCGGTTCCGATTCCCTCTTCATCATCATCGTCGTCATCATTATCATCGACATCGATTATACGTCCATTAATCGATTTAATAGATGGACAAATAATTCATTTAGGCGATGTGCTTGGTCCAATACCAAATCTATTTAAATGGCTACGTAGTGAATTGGATCGTGTGGAACAATGTCTTGAACGATCATCAAAAATTCCATGTTCATCATCAACGATTGTTGAAATGGCCATGACAAAATTGGAACAAAATCTGGAAATTTTCTATTATAATGAACAATATTATTTCGAAGTTATACGTACATTTCGTGTTTGTCAACAACCACAACAGCAACAATTTTCGATTGAATCTACCAATGATGAAAAACCGAAAGCTTGGTTCAATCATTTGATTGAAGAACGTTTAACCGCTACTATACGGCCAATACAAACATGGTTGAATGGTAAAGAATTATTCGGCTGTATTTGGTGCAATCATTTTTCATTCTATCCAAATCATATGATTTTACATATAATAATGGATTGTATGAAAAATTTAACAAACATTACCAACGATAATGGTCAAAAAAATCGTCATAATAGTCGAATCAATGAAACGCCGAAACAATCTATCAATTATCATCCAATCGATCATCATCAACCTGATACAAGTCGAAAACACGAAATACGTAGTTTTGATATTATGTCATTGTTGAATCAAAAAGATCGAAAATCATCCATTGATGATCATCATGATCATGATCATGATGATGATTATAATAATAATCAAGATGTTGATATTGAAATTGATGTTGAAACATTGGATGATGATAATAATAATTCTGGTTCAATGATTGCTGCATATAAAATACCTACAATGATGATGATGAATAACAATATGAATGGACAAAAACGTTCGAAACGATCATCATCGATACCAACACAACCACCGCCATCATCATCATCGATTGTATCGAATCAATATCAAACACCATCATCATCAACGTCAACGATGATTAATCCATCAATCAATCGTAAATATAACCGAAAATTATCATCAAACAATAATAAAAGTGGTAATAAAATCTCTCAATTGAATATCAATACATCATCATCATCATCATCTTCGAATTATAATCAATCAAAAAGTGCATTCAAAAAGCTAAAAACAATTAAAACTACAAATAAATCGACGAATAGTGGTCACCAATCAGTCATTACATCAAATCAATTTATTTCAAATTTGAATTTGACAAATTTTTACAATCAAATTTCAACAGAACAATCGAATGGTGGTTCGAAATTTCCATTGGCTAACCTATTTAACAATCGAAATGGTTCCACTTCGATAAATCCATCGTCATCATCACCATCACCCTCATCATCGATGCTATTAAATTCACCTGAACATCAGCCATATACATTTGGATCATCGAATATAAGTTCACCACCATCATCATCTATGAATGGTACGAAAATGGCAATGTTATCATCACCGATTTCTGTGCGGCCAACATTCGAATCGAACAATACAACAACAACAACAACGGCAACAAATTATTCATTAGAATCATCTGGTTCATTGGATTTATCTGCAGATTCTTCATCATCATCATTATCTTTGGATTCTGATGGATCAAATTCACCCAAACAATCATCAAAAGATTATCACAATAATGGCGATACAAACCAAAAACAGGATTCGAATGAACATCTGGTTGTAACCAAGGATGGATCATCATCACCATCATCATCATCATCATCATCAATGATACAATTATTACCACAATCATCAATGGCAAATAATCCATTAATGAATTTACCACCATATTTTATGCCACCAACAACATCGGCATCAGCAGCAGCAGCAAATCCATTGATTACATCATTATATCTATTATCACCATCATTGACAGCATTAAGCTACCAAGCAAGCAATGTTTGTGCATATTGTAATCAAGCATTTCGTATGACATCCGATCTTGTATATCATATGCGTTCACATCATAAACGTACTAAAATAGCCGATGAATTGGTGAATAAAAAACGTCGTGATGATCAATTACGTTGTAATATTTGTAATGAAACATTTCGTGAACGACATCATCTTACTCGTCATATGACATCACATCAATAATTTTAGTATAACAAACACAAACAAACAAGAAGATTTAGAGATTTGTAAATGTAATAATAATTGTCTTATTTATATTTATTTATTTTGAGTGTTTTTTCTTTTTAGTAAATTTTGATTCAATATAAGAATGAATAATATAATAAATGAATGATTCTAGTCATTTTGAGAAGTTTAAATGAAAAAATTGATTTTAAAATTCACAAAAAATTGGAATAAAAATCCAATCATTAATCATTGGTTCCAACTAACTATTATACCAGCGATCAAAATTTGAAATTATTGGTTCATTGATTATTGAATCATATCGGTTTATTGTATCATCATTCGTTATGGTGGTGGTGGTGGCGGTGTCTTTCATCAATTTGGCGGTGGAATGTTCATCTGTTTGGACATTCTGTGATGGCAGCTGCTTTTGTTGTTGTTGATGATGATTACCAATATCATTTTCAACGATATTTTCCACCTTATTGGCTGAAACGGAACTTGGAAGATCCTGATATGATTCATTATCAACATCATCGTCGTCTTCGTTACCATGTTCATCATAATGGTGATCATTATTTTGTTGTTGACTAAGTTCAACAAAAACATTACGCAATGAATAAAGATGAAATTTCATTTGTTGATTTTGTTCTTCCAATTCTTGACAACGACGATGATAAAATTGCAATTCTTTTTGTTGTTTTTGATTATCAATTAATTGATGATTTTTATCCTTTTGATTATTAGTTGTAGCGGCATTATTATTCTTTCTAAATGATGATCCTTCATATCGAAGTAATTGTCTGGTTAATTCAATATTTTCATTCATTGTACGTGTCAATTTAATTTTCAATTGATCACGATCTTCAATCAATTTCATTATAGTACGATCGCGTAAACATAACATTTTTTCTAATGAATCACAATTTATACATTTCTGTCGATGATTATTTTTCTGTTGATAATGATGTGAATCATGGTGTTGGTGGTGGTGGTTGCCATTATTTATAACAGTGACATTATCATCATCATCGTCATCGTCATAATCGTTTTGGACACTTTCTTCCAATCGTATCGAAAGACGTGGATTATTCTATAGATTCAAAAGAAAAGAAAAAAAAAGAATTTAGTGAAATTTAAATTTTAAAACAACAAAAAAAAACAACAAACCATATTGTATGTTTGATTCAATAATAAATGAATCGATTGTTTTGGTTTGATTGAGATTGCGCTCATCGTTGGTTGGTTGTTTTTAAAACAGAAAAAATAATCAGTTTCCTTGGTGATTTGGCAACACAGAATATTCTTTTTTAAATCCGTAAAAAAAGGCGAAAAAATAAAACGTGTTAATAAAAATCACGATGATGATCAAGCCAGGTGTATATATCACCATCACACACACACACAAAAAGAATGTTTTGAACTCACCTGTCGCGCAAGCTTTTGCTGAATAAATCCTTAATAGAATTCATACACTATGGCCATCTATTGGGCAAAGTTTGAAAAAAAAATTAATCAACAAGTAAGTTTCAGTATTTTGCATCAAAATAAAAATTTTTTATTAAAAAAATGATTGAAATATAAAATACAATCAAAATGAATGAACAAAATGAATTGAATTTCAATGATTATGATTCCATTTATTTTTTTTTACGAAAACGACTTGGTGTCGGTTTTCCAGCCGAATTGTATTCATCACGTTTTAAATCGACCATATTGTAAAAATGTTCTTGTCCAAGAACATCGGTTACCAATGGATTATGTTTATATGGACAATATGATCTTGTGTGAGCATGGTCTCCAGTTGCTCCACAAAACTCACAACTATGTGACCGTAAAATTGGACATTGAAGTTTGCCATTCTGATCACGCAAATAATGTGATGACCAAATTTGAAATGGTTCACCATTTTCACGGCAAAAATTGCAAGATGGTCCTCTATAATTTCTCATTAATTCAATACTGATATAATCAACATTTCCATTAGGATAAATCGGCTCGGATGGCTGAGTCCAGTATGGTTTAATCTTTTTTGGATTTTCGGACATTTTGTTGTTTGCTTCAATAAAACCAAAAAAGTAAAATCAAAACAAAACAAAAAAATGAAAATCGAATTGGCTGGACAATGGTCGACAAGTGCGTTTTAATACATGCATGTAATATATTGGTCATAGTTCATTTGTTTTATTTTTATTTCATCGACAACATTCAACACTTTAAATTAAAACCACTACCGATGATGATTGATAACGATATATTAATTTAGCACATACAGTTGCTATGTCCACATTGATCTGTTATTGGTTAATTAGTGTCAAAAAAATGAAATTCAAATGACAAAATGAAAGGATCATCAAGACACTAGAAGACAAAGAAGAAGAAGAAGAAGCAGTGGTAGTGATAGTAGTAGTGGTAGTAGACTAATCGTCAATATCAATGTCCTAGGTCTATTGATGAAGAATCTAGAGGTCAATTCTTGTTGTTGGAATGTTGTGTGGAACAAATTTGAATTCGAATATTTGCCCCTATAGTCAAGAATGGTTAACAAGAAATTTGAAAAAAAAATCCAAATTCAAATGTTTTCTTTATTCAAAATTTTTCCTTATCACCATCATCATCACCATTATCGTCATTCTTGACAGCCGTACGACGTTTAATAAATTTTTTCAACAATCTTATCAATCCAATTAAAATTAAACAAACACCAAATGTTGCTATAAATGCATAAAAATATGAAATGATTATGAGAAATGATGAACAAAATTGTAAAAGAAATTTAAAGAATCCATCGTTCATTGTATAACACTGTCGATAATAATAAACGAATATAAAAAACAAATTTATGAATTTATGAATTAAAAACAAAAAATATTCAACAAACCTCTTCAATCCATATGAATGGTATAACCGATGGTTTATGATGGAAATTAAGATTGAAATTTTCATAAAATTTATATGGTTGCATTAGATTGAAATTATATTGAATACGTAATCGTGAATCAATGGTAGCACCAAATCTTGGTTCCATTTCGATATATGATTGATGCTTCAATGGATCGGGTCGTAAACCACGTATTATACGTGCTAGATTTGTTGTATGTAAAAAATGAACATTTGTCATTAATAACCATTGTTGTTGATGATCATCATCACTACATTGGTTCAAATAGAATCGTCCATCACATTCTTCATCATCATCATCAATGTATTCTGGACAATAACACCAATTATCAGCATAATATTTAAGAGAAAATTGTTCTAAATCCCATTGATAACGTTGTGTTTGTATCCAATCAATTTGATTGAGACCATTATAAACAAAACGAAATGATCGACACGATGCAATATGTGGATTGAATATATTCAAAACAAAATCATCTGGATGTTTATCCAGGCCAAAAAATGAACCTTCTGTTCCTTTTAAACGATTACAAGCGATATGTTGAAAATTTTCAAATTCTTTTCTATCTTGATAACGATAATATTGATTAAAATTTCTTTTCATACGATAACCAGTATACGATTCAATTGGTCCATAAATTTCATCCGAATCGAAAAATGTAAAACCAAATTCATTTCCACCACTATCATCATCATCATTGGTTGTTGTATTCATATTGATTATACCAAGAATTTCACCAACACTTTTTTCAATAATCAATTCATTGTTATCTTTGATCCATTCGGTTAAATTTACATTCAAATATGAAGAAGAATTGCGATGTATAAAGCCTAATATCATCTGCGTATATGTGATTGTGATTAAAATCAGATTTTTTTTTATATATAGAAAAAATTCATAAAATCTACATACCAATAATGGAAGATTAATCGTTTTAATCATCGTCGTTGATAGTGGACCAACACTTTGTTTCGGATCAAATTCATAATGAAAACTTTCATTATATCGAATTAAATCATAATCCAATGGCCAATCAATAATTGTCCGCTGTCGATGACCATGGAAACAAAATGGACCAATTTCACGGATCCGTATGTTTTGTGTGCCGGCCACAAATTTTTCACCATTTTCAATATTAAACAACCATACTTTTATGGTTAGATTGGTTTGTTGCCAAATATTCAATATCATTCCATTCGGTTTTAATTGCATGATCCATTCCAACCATGTGTTGAGTAGTACATCATTTAGAAAATAATATAATGTAATACCGGCAAATAGATAGAATGTACCGAAAACAATGAGAAAACGTTCATTCTTTTTCGAACTATAACGTTGTGCCAATTGTGTCATCAACATACGTATGACCATATTACCCATGATGACCGTTATTCGATATATCAATTGTATTCATCATTTGATTCGATTCGAAAACAACACGAACACACACATCATCAACACACCACCATTCGTTTTGTTCTTCTTTCTATAGATATCATTTTCTATGTGCTCTATCTGTTTTTCATTTATGTTTACATTTATTATTTTTCGGCTAAATTAATTAAACAACATTATTAAATAATTTCAACAGGTTATGGGCCTCAGTTGCCTTCCAAGCTACGTATCGTTCTTTTAAAAATTGTGTTGATAATTAATTTTGTGCTGTTTCTTCTTTCCATGGTTATTTTTTCAACAAGAATCGATCATGACGCAGTTGAACCCTAAAAATGTTCAATTCTTGAATTTGGATAAAGTACCATACCATCATTGGTATGAGTCAATAAAAGAATGTCTCATTGCCATGGAATGTGACCAGTTTATCGATCCCAAATTCGACTATAAGCCGAAAAGTGGCTTAACCAAAGAACAGAAGATTGGTATAAACAGTAGCAAAAATTTAATCAAATCATCGCTGAACTCTATGGACCGTGAAACAGTGATAAACTGTGAAACGCCATTAGAGATGATAAATAAATTGGAATACAAATATCGATCCTCACATACGCGAAACGTTTTTGATCTCTTTAGACAAAACCACAAGATCAAATTTGAAGGCGATATATCAAAATTATTCTCAGAGGTGAAAAGAAATTCGTTACAATTAGCCGAAAAGAACCTAAAACTACCAGATTCGTGCATTGTGGCAAAAATTATTGATGTCCTGCCCAATGAATACAAAGACATATGCAATCAAGTTGAATTGCTCAATATTAAAGATGAATCTAGCATTACAAGTGATGTCTTTGAATCTATGCTCCTCCGTCGTGAACGTGAGCTTAAAGATAATGAATCCGAATCTACTGGTGTCACCTTGGTAACAGCCAAAAACAGGAAGAAGTCCAATTTGAAATGCAATTTTTGTGGCCTGAATAATCACCTTGAAAAAGATTGTTACCGTAAAAATCCGTCGAAATCTAAAAATCAAAAACGACCGTTTTATCGACAATCTAATCAGCAAGCGAAGAAAAAGCATGATAAAAACAACGATGATGATGATAACAACTTAGATGTTGCCACTACCCTTGTGTTAGCTGCATCATTGGTTGCTACAAACAGTCAATCTCCAAAATTTTTGGCCGATACTGGAGCTAGCTATCACATTGTCAACGATAAAAGCTTATTGGTGAATCATCGACATGCAGAACGCATGATCAGAGGCCTCAAACATAGCACGAAAATCAACGTGATTGGCGATCTAAAATGTGAATTTTTCAACGGAACCATGTGGTCGTCTGGATTAATAACGGATGTGGCGTATGTCCCTGATCAACCATTCAATTTAATTTCGGTGGGTCAGCTTTGTCGAAAAGGAGCGAAAATCAACACCAACAAGGATGGCATGGTCATTAGTAGATTCGGCAAACCAATAATCGTGGCAAACTGGTCAAAAGACTATGAAAATTTGTTCGATCTACAAATTCGTGTTAAACAAAATGTTATAGCTTCTGCAGCCTCATCTATCGATTCAATGGCACTTTGGCACGAGCGATGCGCTCATTTTTCAACAAAGACGATCTCAAAAATGATGAATAACAAATTGGTCGATGGTGTTCCGAGTAATATTGGCAACAATATCTCATTCTGCGTCTCCTGTAAATCGGGTAAAATGACGGGAACCTCCCATCTTAAAAGTTCCAATCATCAATATTTGAAACCTGGCTTAAAGCTTCATCTTGATATTGGCGGATATACAACAAGATCCATTCACGGAAATATGTATTATCTAGTTGCAGTTGATGAATTTACAAATTACATCAAAATTGCTTTCATGAAAAATCGACAAGAAACCTTGGAAAAGTTTCGAAAAATAGTTAATGAAATCAAGCTTGACACTGGTAATGATGTCCTGAGCATTCGTACAGATCATGGCTCTGAATTTCTTAGCAAAGACTTTAAGTCGTTCATCAACAGTCGAGGTATCCTTCATGAATTAGCCACTGTCAAAACACCACAACAGAACGGGCGGGTGGAGCGGGCCATACGAAACATTGTTGATCATTCTATCTCCATGTTATCGTCATCAAATTTACCATTATCCCTTTGGGATGAATCAACAAATTGTTCTGTTTACGTCATAAATCGTATGTTAAATTCAAGAAATGAAATTCCATTTGAAAAATATTTTGGTCGACGTGTTGATCTTTCGAATCTCCGTATCTTCGGCTCATTAGGCTATGCCTTAATTAAAAACGATCGACATAAATATTCATCAAAGACCAAGAAAGTTTTTATGGTTGGTTATCATTCAAGTAACACTTATCGTGTTTATTGTCCAACCAATCGACGTATCGAATTTGCTTGTGACGTGAAATTTAATGAACAGGCTAAATGCCATATATCGACGAACAGCTCAAATATTGACAAAAATTTAAATTCAATTAATAACGATGATCAAAATTCATCTTTTTCATCAAACGAATCAACCGATTTGAATCATCATGATCAAACTGTTACAAACCCCAACATCGTTATCGTTAACGGGGGAAGTGACGTCAATTCTATCAACGACCCGATTGGGGGAAGTGACGAAAATGTTATCGATACCGATTTTGATGACAATGATTCCGAACATGTTGAAACAACCAATCGACGATCAGTTGGTCGTCCTCTTGGATCATCAAATCGTATATATGAAATTAATCCGGAACGAATAAATTCTTTGCGACCACGTTCAAATGAAAGTGAAGCTGTTGTGGCCATTGCTGGCAGTGAACCGAATACATTTGATGAAGCTGTAAGCAGTATTGATTCCGACAAGTGGAAACTGGCCATGCAACATGAATTCAATCAATTAATTAAAAACAAAACGTGGGCTCTGGTTGAATCACCGTCTAATGTACGGGTGATATCAGTTAAATGGGTGTTTACAATCAAAGAAGACGGTCGGTATCGTGCGCGTCTGGTAGCAAGAGGTTTCGAACAGGATGATAAATCATCTTATGATTGTTACGCTCCAGTTGTTTGCATGGAAAGTGTTCGCTTGTTCTTCTCACTGGTTGCATCCATGCACATGTCATTGGTTCAATTCGATGTATCCTGTGCCTTCCTGAATGGTCAAATTACCGGAGACGTATATATTAAACAACCACCTGGTTACGATGATGATTCCGGCCGTGTCTGCAAATTATTTCGAGGTTTATACGGATTACGTGAAAGTCCCAGGAGCTGGAACTCCGTATTTGATCAAACCATACGTAAGTTTGGCTTTAATTCTACTAATCTCGATCCCTGTTTTTATTTCATGCGAGAAAATGCCGAATTCACAATAATGATCATTTACGTCGACGATGGCATCATTGCATCAACGAACAAGAAGAAACCGCTCGAAATTTTTGATAAATTGTCTAAAAGATTTGAAATCCGTAAAGTTGAATCATCTCGTTTCCTCGGTATTGAATATGAACGAAATTATCGAAATCGGACTATATATTTAAAACAAGAACAATATTTATTGGACAAGTTGAAAAATTTTGAAATGAATGAATCGAGACATTCTGATACGCCGTTTGCCTGCGGTACGAATCCATATGACACCGAATCTCCAACCAACGAAGATTATCCATATAGACAGGCCGTCGGTGCTCTTCTATATTTGTCCTGTAAAACACGTCCAGATATTGCATATACCGTATCATTATTAGCAAGGTTTACGAACGCACCAAATGAAATTCATGTGAAGTCAATAAAACGTCTTTTTCGATATCTTAATGGCACACGTTCGGTCGGTATTTGCTTGGGCGGTGAAGTTCCAAAATCGATTGTGGGATATGCAGACGCTGATCTCGCTGGTGACAAAATTGGTGGAAAAACAACCACTGGACACATTGTTTATTTTGGAGGTCCAATCATTTGGAAGACTCATTTACAAAAATGTACTATTGATAATACTTGCGAGGCCGAATATATATCTGCATCATTGTGTTCCAAGGACATGAAATATATCCGAAATCAATTATAAACGACACAAAACTGTAAAAACAAATTGAAAGTTTTTTTTCTCAGTTGAAAATATTCAAACTAAAAAACAATGCAACTCACCAAATGAATTTTCAGTAAATTGCGTGTGTGTGTGTGTGTTGCTTCTTTTCAACGGATCAATATTTCTTATTTCAAGGTTTTTTTTTATTTCTTCGGTATCCAAAGATACCAAAAAAAATGTTGACATTCATTCATTTATCGACAACAATTGGTAACAAACGTTGAAAATTTTTTTTTTTAACTTAACTTAAATTCAAACACATTCGAAACAAATAAACAAACAAAATACACATGCGCATAAAATTTCGAATCATTTTTTCGCGAAAAGTTTTCAATTTTAATTTTAATTAGTGTTTTAATTAATTAATTAATAATCACACGTATTTCATTCGATGTAGAAAAAAATGCAAACAAATGATGATGATTTATATTTCATTTTTAAGAAATGATTGTTGATTGAAAAACCAATCAAGAAATTTTGTTATAGAATCATCACCGTTTTGAAGAATATTATCAGTAATTTTCGGCAATACTTCATCGATGGCAAGTTGGCCAAGTTTGGCATGCATTTCTTTTAGTTCATATTTTATAATCAATGAAAGATATGTGCGCATTGTACGTTTATTGAGATCATTTTGTATGAATGTTCGACAATATCGCATTAATCTTCCGTCACAATAACAATTGGCCAGATCAATTAGTTCGGTTATGTTTTGTTGATTGATTCGAATCGAACCAGAATGTAACATACGCAAATAGATATAATATGTATTGTAGCAATAATCTTTGATTTCTACTTCGATATTCTCTTTCCAAGCACCAGAAAACATTCGACGATAATAATCAGATTCCATTTTTAGGTAACATTTACATGCTTTTATACGTTTACCTTTAATTATAAATTCTACATCAAAATTATCTGGATTATTGAATAATCTGATGGTCGATATAGAATAATGAGATTCCAATTCATAGATCGTTGTTGTTAGGCCAAATGTTATTGGAAAGGAAATCATATTTACTGATGCCGCTGAAAATGATTTTGATTCCAGTTTGCAAGGTGATCGCCAAAAACTTTTGTTTCTAATTTGGCCACAACCAAAATATGATGTTCCATCATAAGCCAGGGAAAAATTATGAAACTTTGAACATGCCATTTTTTTCACCTTTTCAATAGGTATTTTTATGGGTTTTTCAATTGGTTTATTGACTCTGATATCTTTTTTATCAATGCCAAGGCCAAGTTGGCCATCACAATTTGATCCACAACCCCAAAGTTGACCGTTTTCGACTAAGAATAGTGAATGATTTTCACCAGTGGCAATATTTTTGATTTGATTATCGATCGTAGTGTCAAATTTAACAATAGTTGGAGTGATTCGTTCATTTTTATCACCAACACCTAATTGACCATATTCATTACGGCCCCAGGAATAAATTTCGCCCGTATTAGTCAAGGCAATACTATGAAATCGTCCACAAGATATTTGCTTGACATTTTCGAGCCCAATATAGATCATTGTTTCATATGATAATAAGCCACAGGTTGATTGAACATACTCATTATCACCCAATTTAAATACCATACCATCTTGACGTAGCAACAACAAATATTTGGCTCCACAGGCAATCATTTCAAAATGGTTATCATCATTTGAAATCAATCTGAATGTTTCATTTGTTTTCCAATTAAGATCATTACTGGCGAGATAGACTTGACCATCATGATTTAATAGGGCAACAAAATTTTCACCAGAATCCACTTGAACGATTTCAAAACCATTTAAAATGGCTACTTTTTGTGGACGTTCTTGATCATGCTCAAATGATAAATATGAACAAATTTTTGTACCATAAACATAGACGTTATAATCATTGGTGATTAAAAGAAATTCTCCATTATCATTGAATAGGCTAGCAATCAAGATAATTGAATCAAAAAATTCTTGATCAATCGATTTGAAAACATCTTTAAATAGCTCGATTTCGATAACATCATCTCGTGATTTATGCATGATCGATAAGTTTGATCGTAACAAACAAGAACAAACGAATAAAAAACCAAAATCTATAATGGACAATAATGGAAATGAAAATTATTAAGAAACAAAAAAAAAACAAAACAACAATACCAGATACGTGTTTGATAATAATCAAATTAATGAATGTTGAAAAACATGAAGCGAATCAAAACGAAGCACATGACAAAGTTTCGAACAATCATCATCATCATCATCGTCATCACGAGGTACGTTCATATATAATGTGTAATCAAATTTTATTTGAACTTGAAAAAAAAATTTCGAATAAATGATGGAAAAAGATTGATCAAATCAAATCAAAAAAAAAAAAAAACAAAAAAACATTTAATAATTTAGCAACAATACAAGTTTAATCTACTACTCTACCCAAATCAAAATATTCTCGTAATCAAATCACGATTGTCGCAATTGAAATGATAATATCGATTAATTAAACTCATTTGAAATCATTATAAATTTGATGGAAAAAAATCTTTTAATGGAACAAACAGGATTTTCGAATTAGATCATGTATGTATGTATGTATTTTTTTTACAAGAAATGAATTAATGATTCGCATAATCGTTGTTGATCGTAAAATCAATTGAAAAATTCAATAGATTTTTGATTGTTTTGCAGAAAATTCTCGGTAACTTTCGGTAACACTTGTTTCATTTAGATCACTATGAATCACTCCGTATGAATGTTTGACAATATTCAATCAATTTTTCATCGCCATAACAGTTGGCCAAATCAACAAGCTCGGTTATATTTTGACGAGTAATATAAATTTTACCCGTATGTAACATACGTAGATAGGCATAGTATGTTTCATATGAATAATAGTTGATGATCACTTGATCATTTTCACTCCAATGACCGGAAAACATTCCAGCATAATATTTCGATGCAGATTTGAGATAACATTTCCATGCCTTAATACGTTGTTTGTCAATTATGAATTCCACATCATAATTATTTTGATTATCAAATAATAGGAGGATTGATTTGTATATTGAATCATTCGATCCGAATGCATAGATGGTTGATGTGAGACCAAATGTGTGTGGTGAATTCAATACCTGAACTGATGCAGAAGCAAATGAAGAATGCGAATCATCCAATTTTACAGGTGATGACCAGTTGCCATTTTTGCCCCATGCATAGTACGATGATCCTTCATGTGCCAATGAAAAGTTATGGAATTTTGAACATGCAATTTGTTGTACATTTTCAATCGGTATTTTTGTCAAATTCGATCGATTATTTTTATCACCAAGGCCAAGTTCACCATTGTCATTAGAACCACATACCCAAAGTTGACCATTTTCGAATAAAAATAATGAATGTCGGTCGCCAGCCACAATATCTTTGATTCGTGTTGTATCAGCACTAGGAAGTGAAACAAGACATGGGGTGTTTCGGTTTTCTACATCACCAACACCTAATTGGCCGCAACCATTACGGCCCCAGGAATAAACTTTTTCCGTATCTGTCACAGCAAGACAATGATCCCCTCCACAAGTTATCAGTTTGACATTTTCGAGGTTTTTGATGTGGATCATTCTTCTATATGATGACTTATTACCAGTTATTTGACCACAATTATTATCACCCATTGCGAAAACTTGACCATCTTGTCGTAGCAATAATAAATGAAACCATCCACAAGCAATCATCTTGAAACGGTTATTACCAGTGTTGATTAATCGGAAAGTATTATTTGTCTTAAAATTAGAATTATTGCTGACAAGATACACTCGACCATCATCAGTTAGAATGGCAATAAAATTCCAGCCAGAATCTACTTGAACGATTTTCATATCATCAAGACAAGATATCCGTTGTGGTCTGGTCATATCATGTTCCAACGATAACCATGGGCATATTACTTTACCATATGCAAACGTAGCTTCTTTGGTCATCAATAAAAATTCTTTTCCATTGTCTATGAAAGGAAACAATCTGAAAATCGAAACAACTGATGGGAGAAATTCTTGATCAATGTTTTTAAAATCATCTTTGAATAACTCAATATCAATATTTTCATTCGGTAATCTTGCCATTATCGATGATGAAAAACACTCGAATCATAGACAAAATATTGACAAACTATATGAGAGAATTAGTGACGGTGTAAAAGAAATGATCAACAAAAAAAAAGTGACAAAACTATTTGATAGATTGACAATTTGTGAAAATTATCTGGGAGTAAGCAAAAATTAATTTCGAAGGCATGCGTTACGTCATTCACTACAGATTGTTTTTCCTTTTTTTCTCGAATAAATCAACGGCCAGTTTTAATACCTTCAAACAGTGCTTTTTGAACAGGCTTTTAGCGACATCTGGCTTTAGCAGAAAAAAACAATTGTTGTGTTGAAATGAAATCTGTTTGTGTAGCTATGTGCACCACATCGAAGGCGCTGTAAGCATCATTATACACATAAAATGAAGAAGAAATGGAAAAAAATTATTGATGATCCAAGGAATCAATGATGATGATAAAATACATTAGATTTAAGTTGACATTTACTCGCTTTGATACATTTTTTTCTTGTCAATTATAAATTCCACGTCTTAATTGAATCATCTGGATATCTGAATTATCGAATAATTGGTTCAGATCGATTCAGATTTGTACTACATTTGAATGCATAGATTATTGATGTGAGGTGTGATGATAATATGATGACCATGATGTGTGATCATCACCATTGAGAATAAACAAAAGGAAAAATAACAAGAATTTCAACTTGGATTTTATTTAAATTTTTTTTTTTTGAAATTAAACACCAGACGACAAACAAGAATACAGGAAACAAAAAACAAGACATTTTTTGATATTAATCAGTCGAGTCTATTGACTCAAGTTGAAACGTTGTTGTCTAATCTATGATATTGGTGAGACCAAATGTGATGTATGTATTTTTTTACAAGAACTGAATTAATGATTCATATCCGTTTGAAACAATAGTTGTTGATCGTAAATTGATTTAAGAAATTTAATGCATTTTTCATTGTTTTGAAGAATACTGTGGGTAACATTTGGTAACACTTGTTCGATAGTAAGGTGAGCGAGTTTATCGTACAATTTCTTCATTTCGTATTTTTCAATTAATGAAGAATATGTGGACATAGTATGTTCATTTAGATCATTCCGTATAAATGTTTGACAATATTTCATCAATTTTTCATCGCCATAACAGTTGGCCAAATCAACAAGCTCGGTTATATTTTGACGAGTAATATAAATTTTACCCGTATGTAACATACGTAAATATGCATAGTATGTTTCATACGAATAATCGTCGATGGTTACTTGATCATTTTCAGTCCAATTTCCGGAAAACATTCGTCGATAATATTCCGATACAGATTTGAGATAACATTTACTCGCCTTGATACGTTTTTTGTCAATCAAAAATTCCACATCATAACTATCCTGATTATCGAATAATTGGATGATTGATTTGCATTGGTACGATATTGAATCATGTGATCCGAATTCATAGATTGTTGATGTGAGGCCAAATGTTAGTGGGGATGATAGAATCATTGTCGATGCAGAAGCAAATGATGTCGGATGATAATCCAATTTTTTAGGTGATGACCAGCTGCTATTTCTGCCCCATGCATAATACGATGATCCATCATATGCCAATGAAAAGCAGTCGAATTTTGAACATGCAATTTGTTGTACATTTTCAATCGGTATTTTCGTCAACTTTGATCGTTTAATATCATCACCAAGACCAAGTTGACCATATTTATTAGAACCACATCCCCAAAGCTGACCATTTTCGAATAAAAATAATGAATGATACATGCCAGCCACAATATCTTTAATTCGGATATCGATTAAATCATCATTTGGAAATGGAATAAGACATGGGATGTTTCGGTTTTTTTCATCCCCAAGACCTAATTGACCAAATTCATTAAGGCCCCAGGAATAAATCTCTCCATTATTGGCTATTGATAAACTTTGAAACCGTCCACAAACTATGAGCTCGACATTTTCTAGTTTAGCAATGTGGATCATACTTTCAAATGATGATTTTTCATTACCAGTTATTTGACCATAACTATTATCACCCATAGCGAAAACATGACCATCTTGTCGTAGCATTAATAAATGCCCCCTTCCACAAGCAATCATCTTGAAACAGTCATTACCGGTGTTGATTAATCGTAATGTTTCATTCGTATCCCATTTAGATTTAACATCGCTGGCTATGAATACTTGTCCATCATCAGTTAGAATGGAGACAATATCCCTGCCAGAATCTACTTGAACGATTTTCTTATCATTTAAAAGTGATATCTGTTGTGGTTTGCTCATATCATGTTTCAACGATAACCATGAGCATATTTTTTCGCCATATGCATATGTAGCTTTTTCGGTCATCAATAAAAATTGTTTTGCAAAGTAAATTTCTTTTAAAGTAAAAAAACTGAAAATCGAAACGACTGATTGGAAAAATTCTTGATGAATGTTTTCGAGATCATCTTGAAATAATTCAATATCGATATTATCAATCGGTGATCTTGCCATTATCGATGATGAAAAACATTCGAATTTTAAACACAAAATATTGACTAACGAGAATATGCGAGAATTAATGACGGTGGAAAGGAATGATCAACAAATGCGTGACATCATGTACTGTATATGTATGTCATGTATAGCGTTCTTGGTGGACAAAGTTAACATACACACATGCGTATTCACAAAACACAGATTTAAAAATATGAGAAAATTTAAAAATGAAAATACAGGTGTTGGAAAAATAAAAAACAAAATGTTTGTGGTGATGATGATGGTGGTAAATTAAAACGGCCAGCCAACAAAAATGATCCGAAGTGATGATTTGATGATTGCTTGTGTGACATGGACTTTTATATGATTTTTCCAACCGTCCAACTGCCAATCGGTTTGACCACGCCACTTGTCACATAGACCATGTGTTCGGGTGATTGTTTTGCTACTCATATTTACCACCGTACGTTGATCGAAAGTGGTGGACCAATGTCCAACGTTTTTATCGGGCCCTGAAAATAAGTCTGTGATACATGGCCACATTTTTTCCACGCTGGTTTTTGCCATTCCAATTTTTCGGTTTCCTGCCAATTCAGAAGAGAAAAAAGAATTAAATAGCATATAAGAACCAAATTTTTGTGAAAAATAAGCTAAGCAAGTCATTTGAATGGTTTTGATTTTGAATTTGATTTATTGATCAAAATTGAAAAGAAAAATGATAAAGTAAATTTTTAATTTTTTTGAAACAATATGGAATGATTGATTGTAGATGGTGAAACTAGACAAAAAAGATTTTGAAAAATTTTGATCGTTTTGTTGAAGATTGTCGGTGATTTTGGTCAAGATGAATGAGTTTATCGTGTAATTCATTCATTTCATATTTTCGAATTAATGGATGATATATGCTTATCGTATGCTTATTTAGATCACTCCGTATGAATGTTTTACAATATCCCATCAATTTTTCATCGCCATAACAGTTGGATAAATCAACAAGCTCGGTTATATTTTGACGGGTAATATGAATTTTACCCGTATGTAACATATGTAAATAGGCATAGTATGTTTCATATGAATAATCGTTGATGATCACTTGATTATTTTCACTCCAATTACCGGAAAACATTCGACGATAATATTCCGATACAGATTTTAGATAATATTTGCATGCCTTAATATTTTTTTTGTCAATTATAAATTCCACATCATAATTATCTTGATTATCAAATAATTGGAATGTTGATTTGTAAGATATTGAATCATGTGAACCGAATTTATAGATTGTTGATGTGATGCCAAAGGTGATTGGTGAATCCAATACCTGAACTGATACAGAAGCAAATGATGAATGTGAATCATCCAATTTTCTAGGTGACGACCAATTAGGGCCATGTTTGGTTTTGCCCCATGCATAATACAATGATCCATCATGTGCAAATGAAAACCTGCCGAATTTGGAACATGCAATTTGTTGTACATTTTCAATTGGTATTTTTGTCGGTGTTGATCGTCCAATATTATCACCAAGACCGAGTTCACCATGATAATTAGAACCACATCCCCAAAGCTGACCATTTTCGAATAAAAATAATGAATGATACATGCCAGCCACAATATCTTTGATGCAGCTTGAATCACTATTTGGAAATGGAACAAGACATGGAGTGTTTCGTTTGTTTTCATCACCATAACCTAATTGACCCCAATGATTAAGGCCCCAGGAATAAATTTCTCCATTATTAGTTGTTGATAAACTATGAAACGCTCCACAAGCTATGAGCTCGACATTTTCTAGGTTATCAATGTGGATCATACTTTCATATGATGATGTTTTATTACCAGTTATTTGACCATAACAATTACTGCCCATTGCGAAAACATGACCATCTTGTCGTAGCAATAATAAATGTGAATCTCCACAAGCAATCATCTTGAACTGATCATTATCGTTGGAAATCAATTGTAATGTTTTGTTCGTTTTCCATTTAGAATAAAAATCGCTGGCTATGAATACTTTTCCATCATCAGTTATAATGGCAACAAAATTCCAGCCAGAATCTACTTGAACAATTTTCATATCATCAAGACAAGATATCCGTTGTGGTTTGGCCATATCATGTTTCAACGATAACCATGAGCATATTCCTTCGCCATATGCAAATGTCGCTTCTTCGGTGATCAATAAATATTCTTTGTGGCAAATGAAGATAAAACTGAAAATCGAAACAACTGATGGGAAAAATTCTTGATCAATGTATTTGAAATCATCTTGAAATAATTCAATATCAATATTTTCATTCAGTAATCTTGCCATTATCGATGATGAAAAACACTCGAATCATAGACAAAATATATTGACAAACTATATGAGATGAAAGAAATGATCAACAAAAAAAGTGACAAAACTATTTGATAGATTGACAATTTGTGAAAATTACCTGGTAGTTAGCGAAAATGATTTGCGAAGGCGTGTGCGTTACGTCATTCACTACAGATTGTTTTTCCCTTTTTTCTCGAATAAATCAACGGCCAGTTTTAATACCTTCAAACAGTGCTTTTTGAACATGCTTTTAGCGACATCTGGCTGTAGCAGAAAAAATTAATTGTGGTGTTGAAATGAAATCTGTTTGTGCAGCTATGTGCACCATAATCCAAGGCGCTTTAATCATCATTATACACATAAAATGAAGAAGAAATGGAAAAAAAATTATTTATTGATGATCCAAGGAATCAATGATGATGATAAAATACATTAGATTTAACTTGACATTTATTCGCTTTAATACATTTTTTTGTCAATTATAAATTCCAGGTCTTAATTTAATCATCTGGATATCTGAATTATCGAATAATTGGATCAGATCGATTCAGATTTGTACGATATTTGAATGCATAGATTATTGATGTGAGGTGTGATGATAATATGATGACCATGAGGTGTGATCATCACAATTGAGAATAAACAAAAGGAAAAATAACATAAATTTCAACTTGGATTTTATTTAAATTGGATTTTTTTGAAATTAAACACCAGACGACAAACAAGAAAACACGAAACAAAAAACAAGATAAATTTGAACATTTTTAAAAATAAATTTCAACCATTTTTGATATTAACCACTGGAGGCTATCGACTTAAGTTAAAACTTTGTTGTCTATTTAATCTATGATATTGCTGAGGCCAAATGTGATTGGTGAATCCATAACAACTGATGAAGAAGCAAATGATGAATGCCATTTGCCCAATTTCATAGGTGATGACCATTTGCTATTGTTGGTTTCGCCCCATGCATAATACGATGATCCATCATATGCCAATGAAAAGTGACGGTCTCTTGAACATGCAATTCGTTCTAGATTTATTTGTTGTTTTTTCGGTATTCTTGTCAACTGTCTAATTTTAATCGTTATTTTTGTCAATTTTGATTGTTTAATTTCCTCACCAAGACCAAGTACACCATTGTAATTAGAACCACATCCCCAAAGCTGACCATTATCGAATAAAAATAATGAATGATACTTGCCAGCTACAATATCTTTGATTGAATATGAATCAGCAGCTAGGATATGCAACAAGACATGGGGTTCTCGGTTTCTTCATCACCCAGACCTAATTGACCCCAACCATTACTGCCCCAGGAATAAATTTCTCCTTTATTAGTCATTGATAAACTATGAAGCCCTCCACCAACTATGAGCTTGACATTTTCTAGGTTATCAATGTGGATCATACATTCATATGGGGATTTTTCATCGCCAGTTATTTGACTCCAATGATTATCACCCATAGTGAAAACAAGACCATCTTGTCGTAACAATAATAAATGATACCATCCACAAGCAATCATCTTGAAACGATCATTACCAGTGTTGATTAATCGGAAAGTATTATTCGTCTTCCAATTAGAATCATTGCATCGCTGATACACTCGACCATCATCAGTTAGAATGGCAACAAAAATCTGGCCAGAATCTACTTGAACAATTTTCACACCATTTTAAAATGATATCCGTTGTGGTTTGGTCCAATCATGTTCCAACGATAACCATGAGCATATTCCTGTACCATACGCATATGTAGCCTCTTTGGTCATCAATAAAAATTGTTTTTGGGTTCTTGAAGCAAAAAAACTGAAAATCGAAACAACTGTTTTTAGAAATTCTTGATCAATGTTTTCGAAATCATCTTGAAATAACTCAATATCGATATTTTCAGCAGGTGATCTTTCCATTGTCGATGATGAAAAACACTAGAATTATAGACACAATATTGACAAACTATATGCGAGAAATTAGTGACTGCAGAAAAGAAATGATCAACAAAAAATGCCAAATAATTTGATACATTGACAATAATTGATAATTACCTGGGACATTATCATCATCATCAAACTTATTGATCAGCAATCAATCAAATAATTTGAAAAAATAAGTGGAGATTGAAATTCTTATATGCATCATTTCAATATAAAATCCTAACGACGATAATAATCTCATGTCATGAATTAAATCATGATTGTCGCAAATAAAATGATGATTACGATTAATTAAACTCATTGAAAATAATTATAAATTTGATGGAAAAAAATCTTTTAATCTTTTAAACAGGATTTTTGCATTTGAACATGTATGTATGTATTTTTTTACAAAACTGAATTAATGATTCACATTCGTTGAAAAACTTATTGTTGATCGTAAAAACGATTGAGAAATTCAATAGATTTTTCATTGTTTTGCAGAAGATTGTCGGTAATTTTGGGCAACACTTGTTCGATAATAAGATGAGTGAGTTTATCATGCAATTTCTTCATTTCGTATTTTTTAATCAATGGAAGATATGTGGGCATAGTTTGTTCATCCAAATCATTCCGTATGAATGATTCACAATATTCCATCAATCTTTCATTACCATAACGATTGGCCAGATCAACAAGCTCGGTTATATTTTGACGAATAATATAAATTTTACCCGTATGTAACATAAGCAAGTAGGCATAATATGTTTCATACGAATAATCGTTGATGATTACTTGATTCTTTTCAATCCAATTACCGGAAAACATTAGACGATAATATTCCGAAGCAGATTTGAGATAGCATTTACTCGCCTTAATATTTTTTTTGTCAATTATAAATTCCACATCATAATTATGCTGATTATTGAATAATCGGAGGATTGATTTGTACGATAGTGAATCATATGATCCGAATGCATGGATTATTGATGTGAGACCAAATGTGTGTGGTGATGATAGAATCATTGTCGACGCAGAAGCAAATGATGAATGTGGATTATTCAATTTTTTAGGTGATGACCATATGCCATATTTGGTTCTACCCCATGCATAATACCAGGACCCACGGTATGCCAATGAAAAACTGTCGAATTTTGAACATGCAATTTTTGTACATTTTCAATTGGTATTTTTGTCGGTTTTGATCGTTTAATATCATCACCAAGACCAAGTTGACCATCACTATTAGAACCACATCCCCAAAGCTGACCATTTTCGAATAAAAATAATGAATGATACTTGCCAGCTACAATATCTTTGATGTGAATATCGATCGAATTAGCAATAGGAAATGCAACAAGACATTGGATGCCTCGGTCTTCTTCATCACCCAGACCTAATTGACCCCAACCATTACTGCCCCAGGAATAAATTTCTCCTTTATTAGTCATTGATAAACTATGAAGCCCTCCACCAACTATGAGCTTGACATTTTCTAGGTTATCAATGTGGATCATACTTTCATATGGGGATTTTTCATCGCCAGTTATTTGACTCCAATGATTATCACCCATAGTGAAAACAAGACCATCTTGTCGTAACAATAATAAATGATGCCATCCACAAGCAATCATCTTGAAACGATCATTACCGGTGTTGATTAATCGGAAAGTATTATTCGTCTTCCAATTAGAATCATTGCTTGCCAGATACACTCGACCATCATCAGTTAGAATGGCAACAAAACCATGGCCAGAATCTACTTGAACAATTTTCACACCATTTTTACACCATATCCGTTGTGGTTTGGTCCAATCATGTTCCAACGATAACCATGAGCATATTTCTTTACCATACGCATATGTAGCTTCTTTGGTCATCAATAAAAATTGTTTTTTGAGATTCTTTTCTTTGAAAGTAAAAAAACTGAAAATCGAAATGAAGGATTGGAGAAATTCTTGATCAATTTTTTCGAAATCATCTTTGAATAATTCAATATCAATATTTTCAGTCGATGATCTTACCATTATCAATGATCAAAAACACACGAATCATAGACACTATTGGCAAACTATATGCGAGAATTTGTGACAGCAGAAAAGAAATGATCAGCACAAAATGCCAAATAATTTGATACATTGACAATATGTGATAATTGCCTAGGACATTATCATCATCATCATCATCATCAAACTTATTGATCAACAATCAATCAATCAAATAATTTGAAAAAATAAATGGAGATTGAAATTTTTATATGCATCATTTCAATGTAAAAACCATAAAGACGATAATAATTCTCAACAAAAAAAAATTCTTGAAATCAAATTAAAATTTATTAAAATTCGCAATTAATTACTATTAAATTAACTCATTTGAAATCATTATCGATTTGATAGGAAAAAATCGTTTAATTAAACAAAGAAAATTTTTGCATCAGATCATATATGTATGCTGTATTTTTTTACAAGATCAATGATTCACATCTGTTGAAACATTTGTTATTGATCGTAAAACCATTTGAGAAATTCAATAGATTTTTTATTGTTTTGCCGAATACTGTCGGCAACTTTCGGTAACACTTGTTTGATAGTAATACGACTTAGTTTATCGTAGAATTCCTTCATGTCGTATTTGATAATTAATGGAAGATATGAGGGCATAGTTTGTGCATTCAGATCATTCCATATGAATGTTTTACAATGTTTCATCAATCTTTTATCACCATAACAATTGGCCAGATCAACAAGTTCGGCTATGTTTTGATGATTAATTTGAATTTCACCCGTATGTAACATACGTAGATACGCATAGTATGTTTCATATGAATAATCGTTGATGATTACTTGATCATTTTCTCTCCAATTACCGGAAAACATTCGACGATAATATTCCGATGCAGATTTGAGATAACATTTGCACGCCTTAATATGCTTTTTGTCAATTAGAAATTCCAAATCATAACTATCTCGATTATCGAATAATCGGAGAAGTGATTCGCTTTGGTACGATATTGAATCATGTGATCCGAATGCATGGATTATTGATGTGAGGCCAAATGTTATTGGTGATGATAGAATCATTGCCGATGCGGCTGAAAATGATGTCGGATGACCACCCAATTTTCTAGGTGATGACCATTTGCCAGATTTGGTTTCGCCCCATGCATAGTACGATGATCCATCATATGCCAATGAAAAATTGTGGAATTTTGAACATGCAATTTGTTGTACATTTTTAATCGGTATTTTTGTCAACTTTGATCGATTATTAAAATCACCAAGACCAAGTTCACCATGACTATTTGAACCACATCCCCAAAGCAGACCATTTTTGAATAAAAATAATGAATATTGGTGGCCAGCAACAATATCTTTGATTTGGAAAGTGGCCAAATCAGCATTTGGAAATGCAACAGGACGTGTAGTGTTTCGGTTTCTTCCATCCCCAAGACCTAATTGGATGTTTCCAAATCGGTCTCTTCCATCACCCAAACCTAATTGACCACAATTATTATCACCCCAGGAATAAATCTCTCCTTTATAAGTTATTGATAAAGTATGATCAAATCCACAAACTATGCGCTTGAAATTTTTTGGTTTATCAATGTGGATCATTCTTTCATATGATGATAAACTATAACCCGTTATTTGATCAAAATTATTATCTTGTCGTAGCAAGAATAAATGCCCCCTCCACAAGCAATCATCTTGAAACAATCATTACTCCTGTTGATTAATCGTAATGTTTCATTCATTCCCCATTCAGATTTTAAATTGCAGGCAAGGACTTGTCCTTCATCAGTTAGAATGGCAAAAAAATCATGGCCATAATCTACTTGAACAATTTTCATATTATTTAAACGTGATATCTGTTGTGGTTTGCTCTTATCATGTTTCAACGATAACCATGAGCATATTTCTTCACCATATGCATATGTAGCTTTTTCGGTCATCAGTAAAAAATTTTTTTTAACGTCTTTTCCTTTGAAAGTAAATAAGTTGCATATAGAAACAACTGATTGAAGAAATTTTTGGTCAATGTTTTTAAAATCATCTTTGAATAAATCAATATCAATTTTTTCAGTTGGTGATCTTGCCATTATCGATGATGAAAAATACTAGAATTATAAACAAAAATATGCGAGAATTAGTGACGGCAGAAAAGAAATGATCAACAATTGCGTGACGTCATGTATAGTATATGTATAGCATTCTTGGTGCACGAAGTTAACAAAAACACATGCGTATTCACACACAACACAGATATAAAAATATGAGAAAATTTAATATTGTAAAAATGAAAATAAAGGTGTTGGAAAAATTAAAAAAAAAATGTTTGTAGTGATGATGGTGGTGGTAAATTAAAACGGCCAGCCAACAAAAATGATCCGAGGTGATGACTTGATGATTGCTTGTGTGACATGGACTTTTATATGATTTTTCCAACTGTCCAACTGCCAATCGGTTTGGCCACGCCACTTGTCACATAGACCATGTGTTTGGATGATCGTTTTGCTACTCATATTTACCACCATCCTTGATCGAAAGTGGTGGACGAGTCCAAAGTTTTTATCGGGCCCTGAAAATAAGTCTGTGACACATGGCCACGTTTTTTGCATGCTGGTTTTTGCCATTCCAATTCTTCGCTTCCCTGCCAATTCAAAAAGAATAAAATCGATGTCCATTTTTGGACATCACATGTATATCGCATAGCTATTTCTTACACAGAAATTCATAATGTTAATATACGACTGTTAGGCTACGGTCACACTAGCACAATCTTTTACAACTAAACAGACAAACGAGACTAAAAATGCATTGTGAAAGTAAAAGTCGGTTTTGTCGCTTTTGTTGGTCTTAAATTTTTAGTCTGAAAGATTGAACACGTTTGATCTGCAAGACTGTTTAGTGACTAAACTTTAGTCAATGCTAGTGTGACCGTAGCCTTATTAATACAATATAATATAACACAATTTTCTGTAGTACAGTCCCAGGCTGGCCCTGCGAGGCTGACTCCTGACGGTCAATATAGAGATATCAAATAGTTATGTTTGTACTGAAAATAAGTAGGAATGACCGGCTTAGCTTCGACCCATTAAATGCCAAGTTAATACACAGTGCAAGCACTTGGCGAGTGTAAAAGTTACGGTCACACACATCCCAAGCGACATAGACTATAAATAGATAGATGATAGATGATGATTACGATTAATTGAATTCATTTAAAATCATTATTAATTTGATGGAAAAAAAATATTTTAATTGAACAAAGAGAATTTTTGCATTAGATCATCATGTATGTATGTGTGTATTTTTTTTACAAGAACTCGATCAATGATTCACATCTGTTGAAACAATTGTTTGTTGATCGTAAAACCAATTGAGAAATTCAATAGATTTTTCATTATTTTGCAGAAGATTGTCGGTAATTTTGGGCAACACTTGTTCGATAATAAGATGAGTGAGTTTATTATGCAATTCCTTCATTTCGTGTTTGCTAATTAATGAAAGATAAGTGGGCATAGTTTTTTCATTTAGATCACTCCGTATGAATGTTTCACAATATTTCATCAACCTTTCATCACCATAACAATTGGCCAGATCAACAATCTCGGTTATGTTTTGACGATCAATATAAATATTACCCGTATGCAACATACGTAGATAGGCATAGTATGTTTCATATGAATAATTCTCGATGGGTACTTGATCATTTTCACTCCAATTACCGGAAAACATTCGTTGGTAATATTCCGATGCAGATTTCAGATAACATTTGCAGGCCTTGATACGTTTTTCGTTAATTTTAAATTCCACATCATAATTATTTTGATTATCGAATAATCCGAGGATTGATTTGTACGTTGAATCATGTGATCCGAATGCATAGATTGTTGGTGTGAGGCCAAATGTTATTGGCGTGGATAGAATCATTGCCGATGCAGCTGCAAATGATGCGGGATGATCATTCAATTCTACAGGTGATGACCATTTGCCAGATTTGGTTTCGCCCCATGCATAATACGATGATCCATCATATGCCAATGAAAAGTTGTGGAATTTTGAACATGTAATTTGTTGTAAATTTTCAATCGGTATTTTCATCAACTTTGATCGTTTAATATCATCACCAAGACCAAGTTCACCATTTCTATTAGAACCACATCCCCAAAGCTGACCATTTTCGAATAAGAATAATGAAAAAAAGATGCCACCAATAATATCTTTGATGCGGGTAGAATCACCATTAGGAAATTCCACAAGACTTGGGGTGTTTCGATTTTTTTTATCACCGAGACCTAATTGTTCAGAATTATTTTGTCCCCAGGAATAAATTTCTCCATTATTAGTTGTTGATAAACTATGAAACCCTCCACAAGCTATGAGCTCGACATTTTCTTGGTTATCAATGTGGATCATTCTTTCATATGATGATTTTTCATTACCAGTTATTTGACCACAACTATTACTACCCATAGCGAAAACCTGGCCATCTTGTCGCAGCATTAATAAATGATACTTTCCACAAGCAATCATCTTGAAACCATCATTATCTTCGGAAATCCATCGTAATGTTTTATTCGTTTTCCAATTAGAATCATTGCTTGCAAGATACACTCGACCATCATCAGTTAGAATGGCAATAAAATCATAGCCATAATCTACTTGAACGATTTTCACATCATTTAAAAGTGATATCTGTTGTGGTCTTATTGGATGATATTTCAACGATAGCCATTCACATATATGCTTGCCATAAACATATTTAGAATCATCGGTGGTTATCATTAGATATTCAGAATCGCAATAAATCTTATAACTGAAAATTGAAGCAATTGATCTGATAAAATTAGGATCAATAAATTTTAAGTCATCTTCAAATAATTTGATATCAATAATTTCATCCAAGGATTCTGCCATTTTTTTTTGATCGATGAGACCTGCACAAACACAAAGAGACATATAAACAAAAAATAAATATTCGACGATAAATCAAACTGAATTTTTACTCACTGACCGTGACTGTTGAAAAATTAAAATGTCCACATGTTTTGTTGTCAATTTTTATACACCAACCAACCGAAAATCAAATCGATTTTTTTTTTGTCCCTGGAGTATATATTCGAATTGTTGCTTTATATTGGCAAAAGTTCTGGAAAGAAAAGAAAATTTTATTGATCTTCAAACATATTCTAAAATACTAATGTTTTTGTATTACCGCTTCGAGCCATTTGTATATACATTTTTTTGTTCATTTTTTTTACTATATAGTGTCTATTCATCTCGTTAAAATTTTTCTATTTTATCCACTTACATTCCATATACACATTTTATGGCATTGGCCAAATCTCCTGTGACTAAAGAAAAGAATTGCTGTTCTTCTTCTTCTTTGCAGATATCTGAATATTTTCGTTTTCACTTTTTGCCATTTTGAAAACAAATCACAAGTTGTTTTTTTTCATTTTTCAACATTTGAACAAGCCTTTTTTCTTACGATACGTTCAATACAATTTTGTCCTTTGGCGATGGTGATGGTGATGATTTTATTGTTTCAATTTAACCATTTCGATACAATGACGATGAATTTGGAAATAAAATTTTTTCTACTTCCTTTATTTATAATAAAAAATGATGATCATGATGATGATTTGATAATTTCTTTTGATTTATTTATTTATTTTTTTTGTTTTCATAAATTTTTTCGCTGTTTGTTGATGATGATAATTTCATGTTTTAATTCATTTTTCATTTCATGTCTTCTATGTTGATGAATAAACATCATTCATTGAATCAATCAATCAATCGATATATATTTAATTTATGATAATGAAATTGTGATAAAAAATCGAAATTTTTCCTTTTACATTTTGTTTGGCTAAATTTCTGGTTGTTGTTGATTGAATATGTGTGATCATCATCATCATCATCATATTAAAAATCAATCAATCGATCGATGATGATGATTTTGATGGTGGCACTGGCTCTGTTGAGTTCATTCATCATGTTTATGTTTTAAAAACATTGTCACATTGATGTTTTTTGTGATGTTATTATGCGATTATTTTTCTTCGTTGTTGTTGTTGTTTTAATTAATTAAACACAAAATATACAAAATCGAATTCGCTGTGAATACAACCAAAAACAAAAAACAAAACGAAAAAATGTCATCATCACCATTAACGGATGATTTACGTTTTTTTCGTTTCTTTCATATTGCATTACATTTTCTATTCATTCTCATAATAATACGATCATTTTTTGATTCAATTCTTCATTATCAATTATTGGATGAATCGATACGACAAACATTACTTCATCATGATGGTGATTCGATAACTGTATGTGAAAATTATTCATTAATAATTGAAGATTTTATCATCAAAAGTATGTTTTCATTTGCGAATTTGTTATATTTTCAACAAAAAAAAAAAATTTTTTTTCTCTTTCATAGAAAATGATTCCGCACGATCAATCATATTCTTTCTGGTGCTTACAATGTTCATTTTTGTTTCAGCAATGTTAATTATTGGTCAAAATTGGACAATCATCACCCTGTATACAATATTTCAATTAATGTTGTTAACATTGAATTTATTCATACCATTTTTATTACCATTTACAAGTGTTACTATCGTTGTCGCTAGTACATGTTTAAATTTCACGTGTATCATTTTCAAAATTCGTCTTAATCTTGGTCGCAGTAGTCGTCAAATTGATGACAATGATGATAAATCGGAAATCATTCCAACGGATCGTCGGCTTGAAATAAGTGATCCAATACCATTAGATGGTCGATCGATTGTTCAATTTCAGCAACAACATCAACATATATCACCATTTGCTATACAACATGAACAGATTCCATTTTTACGTTCAAATCATCATCATCACCGTCATATTCATGGTGGTGGTGTCGGTGGCAATGCTGATGAAGAAGGTCGTACAACATTTTAAAAAATGATTGGTTTTAAATTTTTTCTCTTAAATTTGATTTGATTCCAAAAATTATAAAAATTGAAAATTAAAATTATTCAAATTGTTCTTCTTTTGTTTTTGTTGTTGTTGAGCTACTGATTGTACTGCTAGTAACGGTTGCCACTTTAATCATACGTAGTTCTTCATTTTCACTATCAATCAATATGATTGTTGAATTTTTATTCAATGCCGATGTAATCGTTATGCAACGATTATCAAAATAATAACGATAACCATCCAATGGTTGATCATGACCACGAATCATAAATTTAAGTGAATTGGTTCGCATAAATGTATGAAAAATTGAATAACCAAATTCAGTTTTACGATCATCGGGATTTGTTACGCCACCACCACCACCACCAATTGGTTGTGGAACATCGGTTGGAATATTCGAAATTAACTGTAGATAAAAAAGTAATCTGTAGTTTAAATCATCATCACCATCAATACAATTGATTCTCTTACCTCCAATGCTAATTGACTTTCTTTTGCGGGATTCGCAATTTTTTTCGGTATTTCGGAAAATTTTGTAATTGGCATCATTACACGCGGTAGACCAGAATGAACACAAAGAATACTTTCATCCACTAATATAGCATATGGTAATAAATTAAATGATCGATTAAATTCCATCCACAATTGACGGCCATCCTCTGGGCCATATTTTTGAATACATTCTTTTAGCAGTTCTTTCGATGTATCACAAGTTTCATTATAACCTCGTAATAAACATACTTGATTTGGTGCAGCAATTTTCAATGCAAATAAATAGCATATAACATCAACATTTGATTTGGATGATTTGGTCGAACCACCATCACTACCATTATTGCCGGAAACATAATTTCCCAAAAATATCAGATTAGTTGTCATGATTGGTACTTGGGTCCAGAATGCTTTTTCCAATGACATTATCGAATCAATACGTCCACCAATATCACCAATAACAATAGCTGGTGCATTTATCTTCATAAAACGATCTTCACATTCCAGAATCAGTCGTACAAATTCACATAATGTACGTATTGTTTGTAACGCCAATGGTAAATCTTCAGTAGTTGAAAAAAGACTTTCATTCTGTTGATATGCACGACGTACAAGATCTAGAAAATTACGACAAATTGTATTCATACCGAAAACATATTCGGCTGAATAACGTGACGGTGTTATTGTATCACGAATTTCCACTATTATCAGAAAAACAAAGAAAAAACATCAAATTAAATCAAAAACCAAAACAAATCAAAAACTTACCATCGAATAATCGTAATGGTTTTACACAACGTCCACTAGTATCCAAACAAACACAATGTGTTCCGAATTTATATTTTTGGGCACGACATCCATTACATGTACCAGGAGCAGCGGCAGCAGCACCACGAGTACGTTTAGAAGTTGGTGATGATGGTGTTTTTGGTGATTTTGGATGATGATGACGTACAACCATCACTGCTGTACGTGAATCATTTTTCACTTTATTCAAATGCATCATTTGTCCTATGATTGATTTCGATGATCGTACCAATTTTTCCGTACCTTTCAATATACGATTACGTATTGCTTGTTCGAATGCTTGAAATGTAATGGTCTGACTACCCCCACCAGTTGCAGCAGCAGCAGCAGCATTTGGATCACGAATTTTACGTTCCAATTCTTCAACAGTTTGTCGTAATTTTTTTGCTTCCATTGATGGATGTAAATCATGAACCAACGAAACAAATTCTTCAAATAATAATTCTTGATTCTTTTCCAATGCATAATAACGGAATACCATTTTCAATCGTATACTATTATCATTTGGGGTAGCTGGATCCAAACAAACAATACCGACAAGAACTTGATGGAAATTCAGATAGCCTAAACGTTCAATATCCAATGCATTGAATATCCATTCCTGAGCGCTAGTATCATTACGTGGATAACCATAACGAACGAGAAATGTTTTAAATGCAACCATACACATCAATGTTGCAGGCCAACAATGTTCCAAATATTCTTCATAAGCAGCTATGATCATATCGGAGGTAATTTTACATCCATTGAGAAATTTGCCATAAATTTTATCAGTCATTATATCACCAACAATATTATCCAATGTTTGTTCGTGGATTTGTAGATCAATCAATGTATCAGTCATCGTTGGTGTTGATGAACCAGAAGCAGCATTAGTATCGATAACGTTCATTTGTTCAGCAAGTTTTTCGGTGAAATTCAACATTTCAGGTCCCCATAAGTTTTCATTCTGAACGATATCATTCATTGACATCCATGTTATTACTGATGAACGATCCGATTGTTCAATATCTTGACAACAAACATAATTATCTCGTTTTTCAATATGAACAAAATATGCATAACGAATAAAGTAACGATCACCAGAAAGTTGAATGCGAAGAAATTGCATTGGTGACACTTGCATTGGTGGTGGTGGTAATTTTGAATGAGCCGAATCTTCATCATCTTTATAACCGAATAACAATGTCAAACCATCATTGGCTGCTTGTTCCCATGTTACATGATCCGGTAGAACAATGAATGGTAACCATATGATACGACGATCACGATTACTACTATTACGTGCACGTTTCAATCTTGTTATTGCGATACGATCATGATTTGGACACATCATATAATAAACAATACAATCATAAAGACAAATATAATCGGGCAATGCACCACCATCTTCTGGTCGTAATCGTGGAATATCTTGAATCAATTTCGTATTTGGTGATGATGGTGATTGTGCTGTCGTTGTTGTTTTACCAATACCAATCGATCCAATTGATTCGAATGATGTGGATGTCGATTGTTCAGTACGAGGTGGAGTTTTAGATGCCATTATTTTCTGTGTGTGTCTATGAACAGAAAAAAAGAACATTTTTTACACTTTTTTTGTAACAATTTTTATATTCAATATTGAATAAATTAATTAATTAATGAATACACCATCGTTTGTGGTGTTATATAATCGAATCGAATTTTAACTTGGTTCGAATTTTTAATCGAACGAGTTTGATTTCGAAATTTTTTTTTCTTTTTTTTGAAAATTGTGAAAACAATTTTTCAAGGTCACAATGAATGGTGGCTACCTGTTGTTGTGTTACATAAAAACTTACCTTTTTGTTTATTCATCTTGTCCCACCATGATGATGAACCGCCGCCCACATTTTATTGGATATTTTTCATGTTGAGGAAAAACGATGTCAGATGAAACACACACACACACACACACACACACACAAACAAACACTTGAAGAGAAAGGGAAGAAAAACTCTTTCCACAATTCTCATTACATTATTATTTCAAGGTAAACCATAATGATGTACAGGTGTGTGGGTGGGTGTGTTTTTTGATTTATGTTTATAATAATTGAATTTAATCCAATTCAATTCAAGGTGTGAATTTCACATATATCAGATTATCATCATCATCATCATTATTACTTTGAATTGATGACTTTGATGATTATTATTATCATTTAAAAAAAAGTTTTCAAATCCATTCTTCATTGATGCACTTCAACACAAAAGACAAAATTGAATTTTGTTTCAATTATCATCATCATCAACTATTTTAATCCATCAACCATATTATAGTGACTATAGTAATTGTAGTAGTAGTAGTAGTTGTTGTTTTATTCATTCAAATTCATTAGAAACATCTGAGAATCAAAACAAAAAAATCACCAATTCCCCATTATCATCTACATGTTGAGTAGATAATAAAATAGTCATCAGATTAAATAAATGATGATGATGTCATCATCAGATTATCATCATCATCATCATTATTACTTTGAATTGATGACTTTGATGATTATTATTATCATTTAAAAAAAAGTTTTCAAATCCATTCTTCATTGATGCACTTCAACACAAAAGACAAAAATTCGAATTTTTGTTTCAATTATCATCATCATCAACTATTTTAATCCATCAACCATATTATAGTGACTATAGTAATTGTAGTAGTAGTTGTTGTTGTTTTATTCATTCAGATTCATTAGAAACATCTGAGGATGATGATGGCTATTACGTCATTAAAATTGATTATAATGATCACATTGTTGATGATAATCATCAACACCGGTATTGGTCATGGTCAACAACGATCATCAACAACATCAACGACAAAAAATTTCAAATGTAATCGTACAAAATTTGAAGATGATTTTGATCGTCTTATGGTTGTTAGCCATCCAAAGCGTACATTTCCAGAGAATCAAGATGAATTGAAAAAATTTTGTCTGTAAGTTGTTTTAGTTTTTTGTTTGATAATTTTTTTGAATTTTGATGATTTTTTTTTGTATCTTTGGTATCCACATCTAGTGAATCAAAAGAAATATTCTTTTCATTGAATCAATATAAAGATCGATGTTCACAAGAAACATTGAAGAATTTTGTTTCAATAATTCTTTATTCAGTACGTGGTAGCACTAAACGTGTATGTACGAAACGTAAATCACCACAAACAGTGGCATTGATCGATGCATCCAATTGTATTAATCGTAATAAACGTCTGATTGGTCGTTGTATGGATCGTGCAAGTCTTAATTATGCTGCTATTAAACTTGTGGATAATGTGATGAAAATGCCAAATCTTTGTTGGTAAGTGCCAGTAAATTATTCATTTTTTTTTTTCGTTTTGCTTGTTATCGTTTTTTTCCATCTCTTTCAATCAATGAATTACCATTAGCCAATTTGTTGAAATTATACAATGTTTCACACAAGTAATGACTAAAAATGGCTGTGAAGATAAACTGCCTGTACTATTGGAAACCATTACCGGTGTTGTTGGAAATTTTCTTGATTCAACATGTGGTGAATATAATCTAGATACGGATAAATGTGAAAAACTTGCACCATTACCAGTGAAAAATCTTAAACCACATTCAAAAAATTTTGTTACAAATCTAGTTGATATATTCAAAACTGTTTGATGATGATCCTAATGACATAATTTTTTTTCTGATTAATTACTAAACGTGATTATCATATACATTTTTAAATCATGAGAAGCAATTTTGATGATTCTGGTTTTTTTCCTTGATAAATATAAATATATAAATAAATAATTTATGATCAAACAAGCCAAAAAAAAAATGTTCTTTTAGTTCAGCCAATTTTTTTTCTTTGGTTTTATTTTCCAATGATCCGCAAATGATTGAATCTAGAAAAAGAAATAGTGGAGAGCAAGAGCAAGAGAGAAAAATCAAAATTAAAAATGAAAATTTATTCGAAAATGGCATGAAAAAAAAATGAAAATGTAAAAGTTTTGAATTCATAATCTTCTTAATTATTATTCATATTAATATGGTGGTGATGATGATGATTGCAATTTGATGAAAATTAATAAATCATTGACTGATGATAATGTACCCTGCAAACAAACTAAAAAAAAAAGAAAAAAAAAGAAAATAGGAACCATGAAATATTTTCAACGACAAAATAATGATGATGATGATGGTGATTTCAATTTTCATTGAGGAGGTAACTGCAAAGTTTTCTCCTTGAATTCAAAACATTCGAACGAATCATCGACAACAACAACAACAACAACAACAGCAACGAGTACGTTATTTCTATAATAGTAGAAGGATTTTAAGATCGATGATGATGATAATTATCTTTTCCATAATTAAAATTTTATTAATCTCGTCGTCACTATATATATAAAATCAAAACATCATAACTGATAACGAATTTTTGGATTTTTTTTTTGTGTGTGCGCGCCTGGTTTTTTCATTGGAATTTTTTTTTTGTTCCGCGTTTATTCTGTTTGTTTGCAGCAACAATGATGACGAATAAAATCAATCGAAATCCATCAAGAACATCAACATCATCATTAATATTATTGTGGATCACCACGATGATATGTATGATAATAATGATAATGCCAACAACAATAATGGCAGCAAAAAAACCATTAAAATGTGATCAATTGACCGAATTCACAAATGATGTTATCGTTGTTACATCGAAAACACGTAAATTTCCAACAAACACACAAGAATTGGAAGTTTATTGCAAGTTAGTGTCATATATAAAGTTTTTGATTTTTGATTGATAATTTCTGTTTGATTTTTTTTTATTATTATAGAAAAAATCAACAATTAGTCACCAATATAATGGCAATATCGAAACAATGTTTTAAAGAAGAAATGAAAAACATCATCTCATTGGTCGGTTATTCATATCGTCAACGGGTAAAATTATTGTGTAAGAATAAAAATAAAAATAATCAACGTGCCAAAGAATTATTATCAGCTGGTGGTTGTCTGAATCGTTATCGTACAAAAATGGGCAAATGTTTTGATCGTACAGCCAATCGTATTGGTGAGATTAAATCACAGCCAAATAATTTAAAATTTCCATATCTTTGCTGGTTAGTTTTTATTGATCCATTTGTTTTGATTTTTGATTGATAATTTCTGTTTGATTTTTTATTATTATAGAAAAATCAACAATTAGTCACCAATATAATGGCAATATCGAAACAATGTTTTAAAGAAGAAATGAAAACATCATCTCATTGGTCGGTTATTCATATCGTTTGTAAGAATAAAAATAAAAATAATCAACGTGCCAAAGAATTATTATCAGCTGGTGGTGAATCGTTACAAAAATGGGCAAATGTTTTGATCGTACAGCCAATCGGATTTAAAATTTCCATATCTTTGCTGGTTAGTTTTTATTGATCCATTTTTTTTTTTTTTTGATGTCGAAATTAATTTGTGTTTTTTGGTTCCATAGTGAAACTGGACAAATACGTAAATGTATTGAAAAAATATCATCCGGTGATTGTAAAAATGAAATCCAATTTTATATTGATGGTGCATTATCGGCCACAAATGGTTTCATTGATCGTACCTGTGGTGAATATAATGATGAAACAGATAAATGTGATAAATTAAAACCATTAATAGTGAAAAAAGAAACACCAAATCCAAGTCTTATTGTTAATGTTGCTGAATTGATTGCTACAATACAATGATCAATCAAATATCAAATATATCTATTATTGATTATAATCAAATCAATCCAAAAATGATGGATAAATCACCACCACACATTACACATTACACTACCATTGACCTTGTTTATACACAAAAGAATATACTACTTACTTATTATTCCAATCAAATGAATAAAATTCAAATAATTTTTCAATGTTACACACAGGTATAATGATAACAACAACAACAACAACCAATAAACATAATTGAAACCCCCTTTTTTTAAAAAAATGAATACTAACCTTGAATGATATTGAAAATAAAAAAAAAAATAAATTTTTGTTCCATCAAAACAAACTTGAAATATTGACCAAAAGAAACATTTACATTGAATGAGATATGAATGGCCAGAAAAAAAACGATGACAGTGATGAAAATCTCTCTATATAGAAAATAAAAAAATAAAAAAAAAGCTGATAGATCAACAAAACGATATATCCGAAGGATGCACAAACACTCATAACTTTCTTTCTTTTTTATAAATATGATGACCACGAAGTATTCGAATATCTGTTCAAAGTGTTGTGTGTGTGTGTGTCGATGGTCTCTTTGGCCACATTTATAAATGATGATAAATGTTATTATCCTCAATGATGGCCAATCATCATCAAAGGTTATCAATGATTATTTTTTCTCAATATATATATGATGACAATATTTTCTTTTTTTTTATTCGTTTTCATCTTTTTTCGTTTCACATAATAACAACATATATAAACGAGACGTGAAAATAAAAAATGTAATCAGATTATCATCATTTTTTCTTTTTTTACAACGCCATTTTTGGAAATTTAAATTTTCTGTCTTTGTTTTTTGTTTCCATTTGGTTCGAATCAATTTGTTGTTTGTTGTTGCGAACAAATTTTTTTTTGTTTTTGTACTTGTGTTTGGATCAATCAAAAATGGTTCGATTTGTTTATCCGAAAATGTTTCACATTATCAACATTATCATCGTGTTTGATTTCAGTTTATTGATCATCGATACTGCCACTGGCAACAACAACAATAATAATAATATCCGTTGTGATCGTTTTGATGATATGTTCAATGATTTTACAATGGTTTCATCAAATCGAAGACAATTTCCAACCACTATTGATGAATTTGTTAAATATTGCAAGTAATAAAATAATGATTATCTATTTCTTTTCTTCTACTCATCATTTCATTGATTGATTGATTGATTTTTTTTTTTGGTTTGTTAAAATTTTGTAGAAAAAATAGTGATCTTGCCAATCAGATTTCACAATCAATAAAACAATGTTTCAATGATAGTTCAATGCGTAATATTGCATCATTAGTATTATATTCATATCGATCACGAACAAAATCATTATGTAAAAATCGTAATAGTAAACGTGCACGTGAATATCGTGATGCAGCTCCATGTTTGAATCAATATAAACATCGTTTATCACGTTGTATTGATATAACGGCCAATAAAATTGGTGCCATACAATCAAGACCGAATAATTTAAAATTTCCACATCTCTGTTGGTATGTAGATTTGTTTGTTTGTTGTTGATAATATAATCATAATCATTAATTATTTTAATTCAATTTGATTTTTAGTGAAAATTTACAATTTCAACGATGTATCGATAAAATATCGGCCGGTGATTGTAAACAGAAAATAATGGTTTTTGCTGAATCTGCACAATCCATCATGAATGGTTTCATTGATCGTAGCTGTGGTGAATATAATGCCGATACTGATCGTTGTGATCAATTAGAACCAATAGTAACGGCTGAATTGAATAAATCATCTAAACCAAGTTTTGTACGTAATGTTGCTGAATTAATTTCATCGATCGAATGAGAACCATTGACCATCAGCATCACAAATAATCAATCCGAATTATAATGACCTATTGTATATTTATATAAATAATCAATCAATGAATTTTAATAAAGAAAAATTAATTACCACATATATCATTTAATGGCAACAAGCTGGTAACAAAAAAATTTTTTTTTTTCGATGACATTCGTCCATCACACACACACAGACACAATCGATACAATGTTTCATTGGAACGATAATTATTTGTTATTTTTTTTATAATTCTGGATCACCATGACATAATAATAATAATCCACAATTACAATCGACATGGCCAAAGTGACAATTAATGGAATATTGATGTTTCTGTGTATGTGTGTTTGATCTGTTTTTACCAATGCCAGTAGATTTAAAAAATAATCGATACAATCTTGATCATTTTGTTATAATGGATCGATGGTTGAAATATTGATTTTTTTTTCTTTATTCCTGTAAACCGGCATTGTTGTTGTGGTCGTTGTCAAGAACAAGGTAATGGTAATGATGATATTATTGTTGAATGTTTGTTTGGATGAATGAAAAGCGATTTTGTCAACACAACATTGATCAATGTCTAGATGGTGATGATGATGGCCAACAAATGGATGTTGACTATGAACAAAAGATACATAGTCCTTATATCCGATCATTTGTACAATTTCATGGGTAAATCCTTGTGTTTATTTATGTTTTTCTTAAATTTATCATTTTTTTTCTATTTTCCATTTATAGATTGATGGGTATGCAATTATCATCCATACATTGGCATGATTGGTGTTCATTACTCAGATTTTTATTCAATATTTCATTGAATGGATTTGTTTTTTATGGAACTTATGTTGAAGCATATGATAAACCTGATGAAATTAATAAAGCATCATATTTATACAAACATTTTCTTCAAGCCTGCTTAGGCATTTTCTATCCACTAGTTTATGGTATTTCAATCATTTGTCTTCTGGTTTATGGCCAGCAAATCATAAAACATTTGGATTCATCAGCATTTTTTATCATCAATCGAAATTGTCAATCAAATCATCATCATAGTAAAGTTTTCATATTCTATATAATCATTATACTGATATGGGATCAACATTACTTATTGCATGGTTTACATGAACTTTTAAAATTAGATTTACCACATTTATATGTAGTGATGTTTTCCGTTCATTTTAAGGATATTTCACAATTGATAAATTGGTACATACTTTTCTATCATCAGCTGATCATTTTTTATTCATTGCAACAAATCGTTCGAAAATTCAATTCCGAACCAGCAAATAAATCAATGCGAAAAACGGAAAATAATTTTTCAATTGAAAAACGTTTATTCAATTCAATCAAAAATTTATCTGAAAATAATCGTCGCCTACAATATTATTGTTCATATTTATTATTTGGAATTTTGATTCAACAAACAAATTATGTAATTGATTTTCTTACGTTACAAATTCTTCGACCAAGTACATTGCATATTGGATTGTCAAATATCATTGCACATACATTGAGACTGAGCCTAGGTTTTTTTCTAGTTCTAATTAATCATCGAAATATCCGATTATTTGATCAGATTGATAAATATTTCCGTTCAAAATGTATTGGAAAACCTCATCATCATAATAGAACATTACGTTATGGAAAATATATTCATTTAAAAATATATCGATCATTTTATAAATTATCCGTTTTCACCTGGCTTGATATCGATCTATCATTAATGTTGAATATTTTTTTCTTTTCATTTGGTTATGTATTGCTTATTTCACAGACAACAACAACAGCAACAACAACAAATTAATTAATTGACGTTCATCACACGACGACGACGATCAATCAATTGTCATCCAATGAAAACATATTCAATATTTTGAACTTGAAAATCTATCATGATTCAGATATTGATTTTTTCTTTTCACATTTTACAACACACATTTGTCATCAAGGTAATGTCGATTATCAACATTCATAATATAACAATAACAATTAAGATGATTATGATTATTGTTGTCTATTTGAATTTTACAGGCAAAAATCTGTCAATGTCATCATCATCACCATTGGCATTACAATGGCAATGGTATTGACAAATGATAAACAAACAATAATATATAGTCCTCATATTCGGACATTCGTACAATTTCATCGGTAAATCCTTGTGTTTGTATGTTTTTAAAAATTTTTTAAAATTTTAAATTTCTTCCATTTATCGATTTAGATTAATGGGTGTACAATTATCATCGATACAATGGTATGATTGGCGTTCATTGTTTACATTGTTATTCAATCTTTTATTAAATGGATTCATTATTTATGGAATTTATATTGAATCCAATGAAAAACATGTTAACGTCAATAAATCAATTTATCTATATGAACATTTTCTTCAAGCAAGCATTAGTGTTTTTTATCCATTGTGTTATATAAGTTCAATTTTTTGTTATTTTCTCTATGGTCATCATATTATTATGCTATTAGATTCACCAGTTTTCATTGCCATCAATCAAAATTGTCAATCAAATCAAAGAAAATTTCTATTGATCACTATATTTGTTATCATTAAATTAATTTGGGATCATCGATATATCGTGCATCATTTTGTGAATATTCAAAATTTAAAAACTAAAGAAATAATCATCATTTGTTCAATATATTTATTTGATACTTTACAAATGATTAATTGGTACATACTTTTCTATCATCAGCTGATAAATTATTTTTCATTACGACAAATCCACGGACAATTATCGACAACAAATAAATCATCATCAATACGAAAAACGGGAAATAATTTTTCGATTGAAAAACGTTTATTCAATTCAATCAAAAATCTATCTGTACATAATCGTCATATTCAATATTATCTATCATATTTATTATTCGGAATTTTGATTGAACAAACAAATTCTATAATACATTTTTTAACATTTTTTATTGTGGATCCACGTCGTACAAGTATTGGATTATCAAATATCATAGCACAAACATTACGCAATTGTCTATGTTTTTTTCTTGTTCAACTAAATCAACGAAACATTTGTTTATTCGATCAGATTGACAGACATTTTCGTTCGAAATGTATCGCCAATCATCATCATCATCATCATCGAGATAATTCGATTACAACATTACGTTATTCGAAATATAATCAATTACAAATCTATCGACAATATCATCAATTATCCGTTTTTCAATGGTTAAATATTGATTCATCCGTATTGGTTCAATTGTTTTTCTTTTCTCTAAGCTATGTATTGATTATTTCACAGACAACAAAATTGATTGATTGATCAAACGATTTCAAACAGACAAATGTCAATTTCTTAGCAATTTTTTTTTTCTCACAAATTCATATTATGAGATCATCTGAGACAGAAAAAAAACAAAATGAATAGACAACAAAAGCAACCAAGAATTCATAGTCCAATTCTACGAATATTTGTCCAATTATTTGGGTTAGTATCTTATTATTGTTTTAAATTTTTTTTTTTTTTGCTCATCAAAATTTATCATTATTTTTAAAGCACCAGTGGTCTACAATTATCACCATTACGTTGTTTCAATTGTAAAACAACATTTATATTTGTAATCAACATCATTATAAATATCCTGTTATTTTATTCAACATATATTGATACAGGAGCATTTTTTGAACAAATGGAATTTAATTCAAAAAAATTATATGCATATTTTCAATCGGCACATTATTTTGTATTTTTTCCATCAATGTACATTGGTTTAATTTGTACATATCTATTGTATGGACATCGAATCATTATGATTCTTGATTCATCCGTATTCATTTGCATTAATGATTGTCGAATGAATCGTTTAAAAGCATTTTTATTGTATGCTATAATGAAAATCATATGGGATGAACAATATTGGTGTCGAGAATTTCGTAATCACATTTTTGATCAATTTGATGTTCGTCGTGCAAAAGTGACAATTGGTGCCTACATATTTCATACATCAACATTTATCAATTCTATTATTCTTTATTATCATCAGATTATAATGTTTTTTACATTACAACAAATTATTGATAAATTAACGACAAATAATTTATCATTGTTGAAGACGAATAGTTTTTCATTGGAACAAAGATTATTTCGATCCATTGTCATTTTGTCGAAAACGAATCGTCATTTTCAATATTATTGTTCCATAATGTTGTCATTATTATTGATCTATCAAGCTGATTATTTAATCGTATTCCTGTCATATTGGATTTTACATCCAGGAAGCACAGAATTTCTTGGAATCACTTCATTTATTGAACAAATTAATCGTTTAATATTATTTACTGGTTTAGTGTTGATTAATCGTCAAAATATCCAACTATTCGATCGGATTGATCATCATTTTCGTTTGAAAAATGCTGGAAAACATCATCATTCTCACTATAATTTGAATACAATAACAACAACACGTAGGAAACGTTATACAAAATACAATCAATTACAAATTTATCGTCAATATTTTCAGCTATCGATTTTCAATTGGCTTAATTTTGATCTTTCATTAGTTTTACATTTGTTTTTCTTTTCAATGGGCTATGTATTGATTATTTCACAAACGACCGATTGATCGATCGGTTGATTCGTTCGTTCATCACAAGATCAATTCGATCAATTTGTTCGAATTTAATTGAATTGAATTGAGACTTCAACCACACCATGTACCAGAATTTAAATGTTTTTTCCTGATAATAGAATATTTGGTTCAGACAAGAATCGAATGTGGATTAATGAATAATGAAAATTCATAATCCATATCTACGAATATTTGTTCTCTTACATGGGTATGTTATTATTATCATGTGATTAAATTGATTGAATTGAATTTTTTCAATTTCAAAAATAAAAACAGAACATCCGGTATTCAACTATTACCAATACGTCGGAATGATTGGCATTCAATTATATCATTCATAATAAACATTACATTGAATGTGATAACGTATTGGGCAATATTCATCGATTCACCGGCTGGCGATGAAAATAAATGGTCAGATTCATCATCGGCTAAACTTTATGATTATTTTAGACGTGCAAATTTCTATGCAATTTATCCAATAATTTATGCCGGTTCAATTGGTAGTTATCTTGCATATGGACATTGTATTATTGCCAGTCTTGATTCAACGGCATTCATTATTGTACGGGATTGTAAACAAAATCGTTGGAAATCATTATTAATATTTTTATTGGGAATGATTTTTTGGAATCAAAGATTCATCATACGTGAATTACGTTATCTAATCAAATTATCACTAAACAATTTTCGAACATTGAAATTATTGACTGGAATGTATCTATATCATGCAACACAATTAACAAATTGGTATCTACTTTGTTACTATCAATTGAATATATTTTTTACATTGAAACAAATATCTCATAAATTATGGTCAAATGAATCGATGCAAAGGACGAATAGTTTTTCATTGGAACAACGATTATATCGATCAATTATTCAACTATCAGAACAATGTCGCCATCTACAATATTATTATTCATTTATAATCCTTTTTATTTTGATTGAATTATCTGATTCCATCATTGGTAATCTATGCTATTTAATGATTGAATCATTTGGCACCAAGATAGGATGGTTGTCCATATATGAACAATGTGTACGTTGGTGTTTATTAATTGCATTGGTCGAAATGAATCATCGAAATTTAATACTTTTTGATCGTATTGATCAACATTTTTATAGGAAACTTTCCACTACCATACAGATGATGATCAATACAAATTGTTCTCATGTTCAATATGATCGAATAGCACGTTTTAGTAAATTTAATCAATTGAACATTTATCGTCAATATTATCAATTGTCATTATTCAATTGGTTAAATGTAAATATTTCATTATTGATTGATGTATTTTTCTTTTCATTAGCATATGTATTGATTATTTCACAAACGACAACCAATTGATTGATTGATTGATGTTGAATCAATAAAATTCGATTTAAAATTTATTTACATTTTTTCATCTAAAACAATTAACAAAATTGAATGGCAATGAATTTTTTTTTCGAAAAAAAAACCATGAACCTCCATCATTCATTCATTCATTTATTCATTCATGATGAATGACGACAAGACAAGATGAAAATTTATAGTCCATATCTGCGAATGTTTGTTCGAGTGAATGGGTAAATGATGTATAGTGTATTTTTTTATGAATTTAGAATTTAAAAAATTTTTTCTACTTTCAAAATAAAGATTCACTGGTCTACAATTGTCACCAATACGTTGGAATGATTATCATACGATTGTAATATTTTTGATAAATATTTTATTGAATATATCGACATTTTGGGGATTGTATAACAATTTACGATCAACTGATAATCATTTACGTTCAAATAAAAAATTATACGAACAATTTTTACTTGCAGATTTGTATTTAATTTATCCATTAATTTATGGTGGTTTCATTGGATGTTATCTTCATTATGGTTCACGAATAATCCATTCACTTGATTCACCGGTTTTCACCGGTATTCGAGACTGTAAACGTAATCGTTTCAAAGCATTAACAGTCTATCTGATGTTTACATTATTCTGGGAACAACGATTATTATTAAAAGAATGGCGGCTATTACCACACAATAAAGAACTTTTTTTCAAATGGAAAACATTTAATTCAATGTTATCAATATTTATTTATCAATCATCACAGATGACAAATTGGTTCATTCTTGGCTATCATCAAATGATTACATATTTGACATTAAGACAGATTGTTCGAAAATTATCACCAGATGAAAATTTGTTAACGAATACGAATAATTTCTCCTCTAGAGACCGACGATTATTTCTATTATTACAGAATCTTACCGAACAAAATCGTCAAATTCAATTCTATTCATCATTCATATTGTTATTTATTTTGATTGAATTGACCAATTCATTCATTGCAGTATTATGTATACTTTTAATCGATTCAGTACGTTTTGGCCTGATTGCTATTTATGAACAATGTATTCGTTGGTTTGTATTCATTTCAGTGATAGAAATGAATCGTCGAAATTTATTATTATTCAATCACATTGATCGATATTTTTATCGGAAATTTTCCACCATACAGTTGATTAATTCCCGTCATCATCATAATAATAATTGGATTGCACGTTATTCTAAATATAATCAGGTTGAAATTTTTCGCCAATATTATCAGCTATCATTATTCAATTGGCTTGATATAAACATTTCATTATTGATTGAAATTTTCTTTTTCTCACTTGGCTGTGTTATGATTATCGCTCTGACAAGTTGATTAATCAATCAATCGATATTTAAATGTTAAAAGAATTTTATTTTTTCAAGAATAATGAATGAATAGTTTGGGAAATAGTGTTGTGGACATCATCATACTGCCGCTAAAAACAAATGTTAGACAATCGTACCAAAACAATGGAAAAGATACATAGTCCATATCTGCGAATATTTGGCCTATTACACATGGGTAAGTGAATCATTTTGGTACATTTTATCTGATGTTTACATTATTCTGGGAACAACAATTATTATTAAAAAATGGCGGCTATTACCACACAACAAAGAACTTTTTTCAAATGGAAGAATCGATATTTTCATCAGAAATTTTCCACCGGACAGATAATTAATTCCCGTCATCATAATAATAATAATTGGATTGTACGTTATTCTAAATATAATCAAGTTGAAATTTTTCGTCAATATCATAAGCTATCATTATTCTCTTGCCTTGATATAAATAAACATTTCATTATTGATTGAAATTTTTTTTTATCATTTGACTGAGTATCAATCAATCGATAATATCGATATTTAAATGTTATAGTAATGTTTATATATATATTATAATTATTTTTCAAGGACGATGAATATGTTTTGTATTATGTTGTGGACACCATCATACTGCCGCTAAAAACAAATTTCAGACAATCGTAACAAACGATGGACAAGATACATAGTCCATATCTGCGAATGTTTGTCCTATTACATGGGTAAGTGAATTATTTTGGTACATTTTTTTCGATTTAAATTTTTTTCATTTTACAAAAACTAGGGCATCCGGTCTACAATTATTGCCAATATCAATCCATGATCTACGATCATTAATCTATTTAATCATCAATTTATCGTTGAATTCAATAACAATAAATTGTGTATTTTATGATTCACCATTATCTCATGCCATAAATCGAGCACAGCAACAATCTTCGCATAAACTTTATGGCTATTATTTACGTACAGCTTTCTATTTCGTTTATCCAATCATTTACATTTGTTTCATTAGCAATTATCTGATTTGTGGTTATCGTATAATTCAATTATTGGATTCACATGTATTCATAAGATCTACGATAATGATTGATTCATCTACGAATCGTTGGAAAGCATTCGGCATTTTTATAGCAACAAAATTATTTTGGATTCATTGGTTTTTTATAAATGAACCATATTGGATCGCTAATTTAGTCAATCATTTTAAATGGAAAACATTCAGTCTGGTGTTGGGTCTATATCTATATCATATTTATCATCTAACCACATGGTTTCTGCTTTATTATCATCAAATTATTACCAATTTGACTTTGAAGCAAATTGATCAAATGTTGACCACAGCAACCACGATAAAAACAAATAGTTTTTCATTAGAAAAACGTCTATTTCGATCATTTCAGAAATTATCACGGCAAAATCAAAAAATTCAATTTTCTACATCATTTCTATTGTCCATTATGTTTATTGAACAAACTATTTTTACTGTTTCAAATTTATCTTATTTTTTTTTGGTTCACTTCAAAGGTGGTGATGGTGCATGGCATTTTTTGAGTATTTATTCATATTTAACACGATTTATAATTTGTTTTGGTTTGATTGAAATTAATCGTCAAAATTTACAGCTATTTGATCATATTGAAAAACGTTTTAATTGTAAAGTAATTCAAAATGGTGACGGTGCTTCTGGTGGCTGTTCATTACGATTTTGTCATTTCAATCAATTACAATTGTATCGGCAATATTTTTGTCTATCAGCATTTCAATGGCTACAAATCGATGCTATTACAGCGATGCAAATGTTTTTCTTTTCATTAAGTTATGTTACAATTATTTCATTGACATGATCAATTTATCAAAATTTCAACATTTTATTATCTCGGTCAGTAAATGAATTTAATTCAATTCAATTTAGAACAACAATTTTTTTTTATACAATCATTTCCTTTTATTTTAACTTTTTTTTGCAAACAAATATAATATTTTTTCATTTCATCTCTACATCGTTTAATTACGAAGAAATTGTCATCGAAAATTATCCATTTATGGTTGCTATCTATTGATTTTCACAATGCCATTGTCAATTTTTATACGACATATTATCGTTATTGATTTGATAGGCAAATTATGTTTATTAGGCATATTGGTTGGTGCCCATCGTCTTTGGTCACATCGATCATATAGTGCACGATTGAAGCAATGAAAGTGAATGACATTCCAGACAACAACAACAACAACAAATCAATTACAAATTCATCATCATCATCATCGAAGAATATTCGTTTTTATAATTTAATTATCATTTTATTGGACACTGTATTTGGCATTCTGATCAATTTTATGATATCATTGCTGTTAATTACAATCAAAATTACATATAATTGTAATTATCAGCAATGATATACATACCACACTATTTCATAAAAAGTCAAAGATATATTCATTCGATCTTATCATCATGAACAATTCTAGGTAGATCGTTATAGAAAAAATTCGAATTTTTTTTCAAATTCGGATTAATTCAATGATCGAAATCATTTCTTGGAACAATAATTTTTTTTCATAATTATTATGGTTTTTCAAGTTTTATATAAGTGAGAAAAAAAAAATTTCTGTGAAAATGAAAATGAAAAAAAAAGAATTATTAAACCAGTCATTCGTCTTGAAATAGGCTTGCACACACAGATGAAAGATAAGAGATAGGTGAATATTTCAATTTCCAAGAAATGGTCATCTTATGGCTTCATATTTGTATATATAAATGAAAGAATGAAAAATCAAATTTCATTTCATCGTTTTTTGCTGTTTTTTAAATGCAAAAAATCAAACAAACAACATAATGGTTGCAGTTGTTGATGAAAAACATTTTCCAATTGTTGGTAAACAACAACAACAACGTTTATTATGGTCATACATCATTTATGCCATAATCTTACATACATTGTCCATTTATGGTTGCTATCTATTGATTTTCACGATGCCATTGTCAATTTTTATACGACATATTATCGTTGTTGATTTGATGGGCAAATTAGGTTCATTCGGTATAGTAGCCGGTGCACATCGTCTTTGGTCACATCGATCATATCGTGCACGATTACCATTACGAATATTTCTAATGTTATGTCACACAATGACATTTGAATTAAGTATACTAAAATGGTCTCAATTACATCGTGTACATCATAAATGGTCCGATACCGATGCCGATCCACATAATTCACGGCGCGGTTTTTTCTATTCTCATGTTGGTTGGCTTTTTTTTGATCAATCTCCAGAATATTACGAAAAAGGTTTGTTTTTTTTGATATTCGAAATTTAATAGATAAATTGTCAACAAATTTTATTTATTTTTGTTTCATAGAAAAAACATTGAATTTCGATGATTTATTGGCCGATCCAATCATACGATTTCAGGATCAATTCTATTGGCCATTATTGGTGATAACTTGGGCCATTGTTCCAATGTATTTGGGACATTGGTACACCGGATCATCATTGTTTGTATGTTTTACAATAGAAGTAATGCTTCGACATTGTTTAGCGCTACATCATACTTTCATTGTTAATTCAATTGCTCATAAATATGGTTCACGACCATATGATCCCAAAATTGAACCACGTGACAATTATTTCGTGGTATATCTTGCACTTGGTGAAGGCTATCACAATTATCATCACACATTTCCATGGGATTATTCAGCTAGCGAACATGGATGGCAAAAACATTTAATATTATTACGGCATTTATTGATTTTGTGCACTATTTGGATTGGCATATGACCTTCGTAAACCATCGGCTGAATTCATTGCAAAAAGATCTGAAAAAGCTTTGAAAATGATTGATAATAATAATGATGATGATGATGATCAACATTCAACATTATCAACATCATCAACATCAAAGAATATTGGTTTTTATAATTTAATCATCATTTTATTGGACAATTTAATTGGCTTAATGATTAATACAATAGGATTAGTATTGTTGGCCGCACTGAAAATTGTTGTATTTTATTATTCTTAAAACAACAACTATTCCGCCACCACCACCACCACAATTCCACTTTTATTTCGGATTCAGGATCTGATCAATAATTTTTTGATCTAAATCTTTCGAGAATAATTTCATTTTCAATGTGGTCATTTTTTCTGTTTTCAAAATTTACAAGACGAAAAAAAAATTAATTAATCTCTATATATCACACACAGACATACATTTTACATACTCAAATCTTTATAATAATTACTACGTAATGGATCAATGCAAATCAACTTATCAATGGCGGTTGTATTGTTACGATAATTTGTTTCCAAATTGTTGTTGTCATTATTATCCAACACAATGGTCAGCATATAATTTGGCCCTATGGTGAAAAAATTTTTATTATTTTTTGAATTTGAAAAAAATAACATTTCCGGACATAATTTCTTACATTTTGAATCGGCTTCAATTTCCAATAAAATTTTTAAATCCTTAATTCTTTTCTGTACTAAATCGATTCGTTGTTTTCGTTTTGCAGCAGCGAAATCATCATCATCATCATGATTATAAACAAAACAATGTTGATCGGTTATTCCGTCAAATGTTCGTTGTAAAATCATGTTCCCGTTGTGGAAAAATTCAATTTCAATCTGATTTGATTCCAATAATGTCGGCGGTTCGACAAATTGACCCAGCCAGGTGGTTCCATTGAATTTTGACTCACATGAATCGATAAAATCATCAATTTGTTGACCGTTGATATGAATTTCTAATGGAAATTGACTAAATGATATATTGAATTCGATTGCAAATAAATGATAATTTCGAGACCATATGAATTGTTTGATTTGGAAATGATGTTCAAATGATCCATTTGTATCACCATCATTGTTGAGCGATAATAAATGTTGTTCAAAATCAATCAACCACCGTAGATAAAGCCATGGTGATTGATCATTTGGATCTGTGAAAATGGCATTATGGACCAGATCAAAATCCTTATTAACCATTGATTGTAATTCTTGATGATCATAATTTTCAGCCAATAATTGTCGATAAAGACTACTTCGATAATGCCATGAACTAAAATTGGAGAAATTATCCACAATTTTTTTCGATGTAAATTTAAATTCATCCATTGTTGAAATCTTGCCAAATTTTACGATAAATCGGCGATAATCCCAACAATGAACTGTGGCCAGAATGATTTTTTTTAGAAATATTTCTCATTCATCATTAAACTTACAATTTCTTTCATCCAACGAAAGACATTTATTACAAAGTTCAATCTCTTTTTCTAAATCTGGATTACGCATCTGTTGTATGAGCCATATACGATGATGCCATGTTGTATAGGATTTTGGACTGGATTGTAGACAATTTTCTGTAAACATTAATTCTGTTTGACATAATTTATCAAATTTTTTCCACGATTCCTCTGCGGATTCAGGGTTTTCTTCATCAGATGATTCGATTGATTGTTTAAAATTGAGTAAAATTTCTTTACGATAATTGAATAGTGTTCCAAATTCTGGATTTATCTGCAATAATCGTGCCAATGGTTCCAATGAATTGAGATCTTTACATGTTGATTTTTTTATCAATTGATTGGTCAATTCCTGATGAAATTTTTGTGCTTTCAATAATTTAGCCTTTTCTTTGGCTTCATCTTTAACGGTTGTTTTCTTTCGGGAATGCTATTTAAACAACGTACAAAATTTTGAATTTATAAACAATTAAACAATTTTTCGAAAGCAATTTTCTTACCATGTTTTTTTCGGACAGAAATTGAATTTTTTTTTTTTTTTTGCAATTAAAAAACAAATTTTTTCATTTTCAAGACAGCTGTTGATTTATTTTCTGCGCTGAATCCGTTCATATAAAACGTAACCAAAAATGATGCAATCCGATTGGTTAATAATAACGTTCGATGAAAATAGTGTTTCGAACGTTGAACGGCCATTAATGTTTTTCGGTTTTTGTTGTTTTCATTGATTGAATTGAATTTAATTTGATTTGATTTGATTCTTGTACAAAAAAATGTATCAAATACAATTTAACAGTAATAAAAATAATGATCATGATGGTAATAAAATTGAAGTATCCGATCATTATCCAGTGATGAAATCATCTAAATTCGATATCGATAAAAATATGGCTCAAGTTGTTGTGGCAGCATCTTCGACGGCGAAAAAAAGGACTAACAATTCTGTTGTGGTGAAATCGAATTTGGCCATAAATGATGGACCACCGGTAAATTATCGTTTAATTCATCATCTATATGTTCATTACAAGTCAACAACAATTCAATGTCAATCACTTTGGTCATCAATAGCTCATGATTATAATCTAGTATTATTCACCAATTATACAGCAAAGGAAATTGAAAATTTCTGGCGTCGTATGCCATTGATGGAGAAACGTAAAATTGATCTACAACATTATGAAAATTTCGATGATTCAAATGATGAAAATATCAAACCATCATCATCGTCACCACAACCAGAAAAAAAGGCTAAAAAAGTGGCTAAAAAATCGAAAAAACCACCATCAGCCACCACTACTGTTACTAATAATGGTGGGAATAAAAAAAGGAAAAATTCCAAAGCTCAACCTGTGAAAGTGGATAAATCTTGTCAAATTAATAATGATGATGATAATAATAATGGCTCGTCTATCGTTCGACAACAAACAGAACTTAACGAATTGGCTAAAGAAGAATATCGATTGAAAATTGAAATTTTAAAAATACGTCTTGAATATATGAAACAACAATATCAACGAATGTTTTCCAATAGTAACATACAATAGTAGTAGTGGTATTGATTCCACATGTTAATTTTGATCTCTTTTTTTTCATTCATTTAGATTTACATTCAACAAACAAATCATTATGTATATCAATCAAATCTTTTTAAATATATCATTGATTAAATAAATAAAACAAGACTTGAATAAGTAAATAAATCCATAAACGGATATTGCCCTAATTAATTGATTGATTAAAATTCAAATCAAATAAGGAGATTATCTGTCAACGAAAACCTTGGCTTTATTTTTTTTGAAAAAAAAATCATAAGAATTTTATTTTGCTGTAATATAGATGTGCGTGGGCGGTATTTCAACGCATTTGTCGGTAAATAAATTAAACATCAGAACAAGTACGACTACTTAATGGAATTTCCGAATCTTTTCGGCAAATTTTTTGAAAATCATTCCAATGATAATTATCTGGACACGATTCTTCTATTGGTTCACCATCATTGTCATTGCTACGACAGTCCCAATATTTTCGACAATTTTCATGCATAGCAAATAATCCACGTCCTTCACAACGATATCTATGTGGTTGATTTTTACAATCAAACGATGAACGTAGTACACAATCACCTTGTTTCGGATTGAATATCTGGCCATTTGGACAACACATATAACATGGTTGTTGACGATAATTACAATCATAATAACAATCACAATTTTCTGGATCAGCCACTTTACGGCCTGGTTCAAATAATTGATTACGACATATGTATTGATCACGATTTGCTTCTGTTTTTTTGTTTTGTTTTGTTTTGTTTTTGTGTGTGTCGTTCGTTGACAAGAGAAAAAAATCAAATGACTTACGTGGTTTAGAATATTCTGCATTCTTACTTACCTCGTTTGGTATTTTTTTGCAAACATTTTGTTTCAATTAAATTAAACCACAACGTTGTTGTTACCAAAATGATTAAAGTTGTTCGAAACATTTTTTTCATTCCCAGAAAAATGATCATTAAACGGAAACTTTGGATTTTTATATACCTGTGCCACATTGCTAAAAGTTGATTTGATGATCATCATTGGTTGTTGTTTGTTTTTTTTTCATTCTTGTCAAACCTGATAGTTTTTTTTTTTTGTTAACCATAAAGGTCAAAGATCATTGATCTTAACTGCTTGTCCAGAAAGAAAAACTAGATCGCTGATGATTATGATGGTATTTTTTTTACAGCCTGTTTTTATTCTTTTTTTCCGAATGTTTCCGGTTCTGGTAACGATAAATGTTTAGTGATTTTAATGCCAAATTTTTTTTCTCCATAAATTTGTTGAAATCACACTTACATACACACACACACACAAATGTTTAATATTTTTTTTCTGGTTGTGTAGGCGTTAGGATTCAAGGGAATCGAGTTTTACATTTTTTTTTCTTGGTCGATTCAAATCGAATGTTGTTGTTATTGCTGTTACTGTTGTCGTGATCTTGAACCCACTTGTTTTTAGGCAATAATAACAACAACAACAACAAGGCGCTAATGACGCCATCGACAAAAATGAATGCCATCGTCGTCGTTGTAGTTGGCGTTGATTCAAGTTTTTTTTCTGCTTCTCAAAACACTGTGTGTGTGTGTGTGTGTATGCAAGTGGTGAATATTCATTCATTCATTCAAGTGAATTCAATTTAATTTTTTTTTTTTTTTTTTGAAACAAAAAACAAACAACAAAATTGTATAGAGAAAAATAAATGGAGAAGATGGCGAAAAACAAAGCAAACAAACAAACAAACCAAACCAAAATGGGCTTTCATTTTCTTTCCGTTTAGTAGCGAATGATTTGTGAAAAACACAAAAAAGAAAGAGAAAAGAATAGTCAGCAAATAGTCAGTGGTGGTAGCATCATCATCATCATCATCATCGAAATTGAATTCAATTTTCATCAATGGTGGTACATAGATTGTACATTGATTAATTTCAATTTATTTTGACATCGTTTCTGTTGTTGTTGTTGTTGTTTGATTCAATCACCATCACCATCATCATCAATTATTCTACAGCTAATCATTCATTCATTAAAAATATTCCAATGTTTTCAACTAGACTATAGATAGAAATTGTATGTGTTCTATTTTCATTTTTCAGTTTGTTTGTTTGTTTGTCTGTTTGTGCGCTTGTGTATAACCCTGATCTGTTTTTTTTTTTATTTTGGCAAAGTTTTTTTTCTTTTCTTTTTCTATCTTGATTTAGAATTTCAATTCTGATTCTTTTTTTTTGTCTAGCGGTGTTCTTCTCTGTCGTTCAATTTTCATTCGTTCAATTGTAAGTGGTTTATTTTGTGTTTGTGTCGATTCTTTTGTTGTTGTTGTGATTTAATCTCTAGGTTTTTTTTTGTTTGTTTGTCGCTGTAGTTTCAAATTCAATCATCATGTCTTGTTTGGATCCAACCGGAAGACGGCCATCAAAATTTCGATGTTTAAAGGCATTTTTCTTGACATTTTTCGGCATTTCTGGCACTCAAATCTTACCGCTAATGTTTCATTTCATACGTTTGGTATCCTATTTTCTATTGGATCGACAAACATTTCCACCAAAACCATTACCAAAAGGAAATTCATTATTCGGTTTGGAAATATTTCAACATGATCTTAATTTTGATGGTAAGTTTGTGTTCAGAAAAAAAAACATCAAATTTGGTCATTTTCAAATTTTCACCATCCTTTTCCACCCACCCATCCACTTATTGCATATTATAGATAATTCATCATCAGTTTATACCGTACAAGTTATTGTTGCCGCTATATTGGCCATCATTACTGGTGTTACTGGATTTATGGCCATTTGTCGTGAAAAATTAACAACAATGAAAATCTATTCATTCATAATGTTGTTGATTACATTCATCACTGGAATGGGTTCATTCTGTTTACCGAATCTAGTTACATTGGACAAATATTATATTACCATTATTGGGTGGTGGTGTATCATCATTATTGAGTTTTGTATTCTCATTACTTACACAGCAACAATTGGACCAAGAACATGCACCATCGTATCAGAATTATTATCCATATAATAATCCATATAATTAATATATATCGAAAACAAAACAAAACAAAATTCATCATTCAATCATCATTATATATGTTAGTCTTGTTGTTGTTGTTCAAAGTTATGTTTTGTTTTGTTTTTTTTTTTTTTTTTTTTGCTTTCTGTTATCACCAATTTTTTTGTTTGATCAATTCAAATCAAATAATAACTGTTCGATTGATCAATTTGAAATGTTTTTCATGGAATTAGTAACGCCATCTCTTGAGTTATAACAAAATTAATGTTATTTTCTTCAAAAAAAAAAAAAATTCAATCAAGTGAAATTAATAAAAAAAAAAATCGATAATCAATAATTGATAATTGAAATGTAGAATATTTTTTTTTCTTGTAAATTGATCACAACAAAATGAATGTAATGGTATGGTATGGCTAGCACGAATCGAATTCATTGACCGGTTTTGTGTGTGTGTGTGTGTGTGTGTGGGGGTGTGTGTGTGGATAACAACAAAAAAAAATTCATCGATTCTGGTGAAAATTATGAAAAAAAAATTGATATACAAAAAAAATATAACCAGTGTGTGTATGCTGACAAGATAGTCGACGACGATTCATTGATTCATCGATTCATGGTGGAATACTATCCAAAATATCGATTAATGGTGGCAGAATTGAATACGTTTTATTCATTTCATTTATAATTAATTTTTTCAATTTATTCATTTCTTTTTTCTGCAATAATTTTGAACATGAATCATGTGATTTTGGATAATTTTGACAGATGCTCGATACAACCTGGCCAGTATAACCTTCAATTAGATTTTCAATCATTTGTGCATCTTCACTACTACATGATTGTGGTGTTTCTGTGGCTTGTTGCACTAGACATTCTTCTAATGCATAATATACACTGAATGGAAAAAAACGTAAAACAATCACAAAACAATTGACAAGCAAAAATACAATATAACATACCAACAAGTTTTACCAACACGTCCAGAAATGGCCATATGTTTAATAATAAGAAAATCCTGTATTGCACGTGAAAAACATTTGGATCCTTTACGTTTTATTGTATTCAAACAATGTGCTGCATGTATCATTTCTTTACGTAATTTTGTTTTACTACAAAATTGTCTATTTTTACGTATGATACCAAACATAAGCAAACTGGTCACTTGACGTGGAAATTTTGCTAAACAACGGCGAGCATATTCTTTAACATATAATTCTTTTTGATTTGTTTGACTATATAGTTTAATAAATGAACCAAAAAAAAAAATCAATATTGATCAATAATTCAATGGTAACAAACTTACTTGCAAAATTGTTCAAATGATTTTGCATTATCCGGCGCTATCCTATCGGGATCATCGAAAAAATATAACCAACGTACATTTTGATCAGCATGTGTTTTATTACATTTACTAATTGGTAGATCAAAGTTTTGTGATGGAATACTTTTTGGTGCAGCCATAATTGGCTCCACTATTATTGTTATGGTAATTATAATCACTATAATCATCATTTTAATAATAATAGTTGATAATGAATTAAAATGATCATTACATAACGATATCGATGATTGTAATCGTCGATGATGATGATGATAATGATGATGATGATTATGATGATAATTTTTTAAATACATGCTGGTGGTGGTGGTGTTTTGAATTTGCATATATAAACAATTTAATTGTCACTCTGAAGAAAAAACCTCCCACACCTAATTTCAAAAAAAAAAAATTTGTTTTCTTCCAATCAATCAATCAATAAATCAATTCGATGTCGACCAGAATGATGACATTTTTTTTTGTTTGTTCTCCAATAACCAGATTTTTATTTATATATGATATAAATGTGTGTGTCCAAATTCAATTCAATTCAATCTAATCCAATCGAACAACTACAACTACAACGACGACTTTTACAAACTAGCATCACTAAAATTTTTTTTTTTTTTTTTTTGTTAATTTAAAATACGAAATATTTTAGAAAGTGCAACGAAAAAAAATTATACATACTGTCGATGCTGCTATTTTTATTTCTCTGCATGTGATTGCATAGTTATCGTTATTGTTGTTGTTGTTGTTGTTGTTGTTGTCGTAGAATTTCTAGTACAAAAAAATATTGATGATGATGATGATGATGATGGACAACACTGAATGAAATTAAAAAATTGGCAGTGGCAACATCCACACACACACACAAATCGAATCAGAAATCAATCTATTGGACAAACAAACAAACAAAAGACGATAATGATGGCCATCATTTTGATCCTGTGTTATTGAAACTTTTTTTTTTTTTCTTTTCTCTAACAAGAAATTGAACAAATATCGACAGACACATCTGTGCGTTTGTTTTTGTGTTTGTGTTTGTGTTTGTTTGTTCCACACATGTAAACAAAGATTGTATTTTGGCAATAATTTTTTTTTTGCGACAGAAATAACTTGAATTCATCATTTTTCATCATCATCGCAATCATTAATTGAAAAATAAATGTACAAAATATATGGCCATGTGTATGTGTGTATGTTATATGGATACGTGAGCTAATACTCGTCGATGATGTTTTTTTTTTTTTTGTTGTTTTAATATTGCGCGAAAAGAAAAATGCATTTTTTTTTGCTTCTTTCTTTGGATAGATTAGATCACCGGAATATCCACGGATATTCATTGGCTATAAATCGCCATTTATAACCAATTAAAGATGGACAAAAGATGGAATAAACATTTTCTTTTTGTTGTTGTCGTCGTCGTCGTTTCTGTGTCTAAAAATAGCTCAGAAACAGAAAAAAAACCATTTGAAAAAAAAGAAAGCAACAGGTTTTCTTCTTCTTCTTTTTTTTGGGGAATTCATATATCATCATCATTATCATCATTAATTGATTGTCCATACCATTAATTATTACGTCATCGTCTTCGTCGTCGTTGTTGTTTTTGTTTTCTCTTTTTTCAGCACATTTATTCGATATCTTTTTCTGATTAAATAGCAGAAAAAAAACATATCAATGATTCTTATGAATATTTAACAACAATTTGGTTTTTTAATCAACCAATTGACGTCAAACACAGTGAATTTGATGGTAGTGAAATTCTTAAGAATCCACCCATTCAATTACTATCTAGAATTATTTGAATAAATTGAAATTTTCAAAACATTCCATTTGATAACCGGATTTGTCTTTTTTTTTTTAATTTTCTCGATGTTTTTCTGTTTATTGTACACACATTTGACATTTGGTTGATGCATAGTCGTCGTCGTATGTGTCATTGGCTGACATTTGACCTCTCTGTTAGATATGGTTTTTTGTTGTCGCAAAAAAATAGAGAGAAAGTATGTTGAACAAGAGAAATCCAAAAAAGAAACATTTATTCAGATCATTTCAGTCAATTTAAAAAAAACAAAATGAGAAAATGCAACATTCTCATCGCATTTATTCAATTACAACGATACTTTCAATTTCAACACGAGCATTTTTCGGCAATTCAGCAACACCGACTGTTGATCGTGCTGGAAATGGTGATTGAAAAAATTCTTTCATCACATCATTAATGGCAGGAAAATCATTGAAATTTCGAATGAAAATATTCACTTTGACAACATCGGACATTTTAGCACCACTTGCTTCAACGACGGCTTTCATATTCGTAAATGCTTGTTGTGCTTCATCACGAATTGATCCGGTAACCATTTCATTAGTACGTACATTCATACCAATTTGTCCGGAAAGATAAACAGTATTGCCAACTTGAACTGCTTGTGAATATGGTCCAATTGGTTGCGGTGCCAACGGTGTTGATATAATACGTTTTGGACTCATTGTTTGGCTATGTGTATTTGAATCAATCAATCAAACAATCAAACAAAATGACAATCGACTAAACTTACGAGACTTTAAATAGTCGTTTATTAATGGTCGATAATAGCGGAAAATTGGATAATGGTGATGATTTTCGAACAAAATTTTGAATAAAAATGATGCTGCTCATTTGAATAATGTTTAATGAAAAACAAATTTTTGCACATGAACTAATTATGAATGCAGTGTTTGTGTGAGTGAATGAGTGAGTGATTATCAATCAGATCGATATCAAGCAATTTCCCTCTCTTTTATATATTTAGTTTAATGTGTATCAATTTTGAAGAGAAAAATAAACCAACACTGGCACCACCAATTGAACATGACATGATGATGACATTTTTTTTCCAAATTTTTTTAATTTTGGTTTTTTTCCTAAAAATTTTTTAAACCTCCAATTCAGATCATTGATCATTGGAAAAATCGATCAATCAATTAACAAAGAAGGACAAGACATTGGAAAATGAAATACATATAAAAACTTGATGTAATTCAATACACGTAGATCGATCAACAAATTTATAGATATTTGGCCATGAATGAAATGAAATGAAAAAGAAATATGATTATATCACACATTGGAAATCAAAGAAAAAAAAATTGATTAAAATTATCGATGATAATGAATTGATTAGAAATCAGAAAAACAGATAATAATGAAATTTGTTGCTAAAAATAAAATTTCTTTTTCTTCTTTGCCATTCAACAGCGACCATAATTAATGAATTGATTCATATTGAATAATCAATCAATCATTGGATGATGCATATAGCAAAATGGAGAGGACATAATCGATGCAATTGGCTATAAGCTAACATTGAAATGGCCATGATGGTTTTTTTTTCAATGGCCATTCAACATCCTTTTAACATTTCCGTTTTTCAAGTAAACATCATACGATGATCACATGGAATTTAATGAATTTTTTATATTTTTTATTGAATTTTGTGAAAAATAAAAATGATGATGATGATGATGAAATTTAACGAACACAAAAAAAAATCGATAAAAAATTGAATAAACAGAATTTTCAATGTTAATTAGTGTGATTGATTGATTGTCGATACCACTGTATATTGGCAGTCAAACATGTATTGTGGTTAATTTTGGTTTTTTTTTCAATTTTCTTGTTTGTTTTTGCAAATTTCCGGTTCAAAGATGGTCATTAATGGTGATTAATTGATGGATTTATTTACGATAATAATCATAATAACCATGATGATCATTATCCATACCATGATGATAGCCATAATGTTTATTATCCATACCATGATGATAGCCATTATGATCATTATGACCATAATTTTGTTGATGACCATAATTATTATTGTTGTGGCCATAATCATAACCATAACCAGTATGATATTCATGTATTATTGATGGATATTCATGATAAACCGGATATGCAACATATTCTTTTTTCTCTTTATGATGACATTCTGGATTCATGATTATACTGGAAAGAAAAACACATGCAAAAAATAAATGAAAAAAATTTTAATCAAATTGAAAAAACACACGTACGTATCACTGTTTTTTCCTTTTTTGTCACCAGATTTAACAATCGTTGGTTGACATTTATCACCAATCATGACACTTTAATTCAATCCAATTCAATCAGCAATCAGTGACCACGATCATCATTGAGCAAAAACAAAAAAAGGAAAGAAAATTTTAAATTAAATCATCATTTATATGAATGAATGAATGGATCACTTACAGGTCACTACTTTTTTTGCCTTTACTTTTCACGATTAAATTAGCATCAACCGATACGAAAATGATGGCCAAACAAACAATGATGATCGTTGATTTTTGCATGATTTTTGCTGCTGTTGTTGTGTTGTTTGTCAACTTGGACTTGGACTTTGAAGTAGAAAAAAAAATTTTTGAATTTCAAGATTCAAAATCTTTTGGTCGATATGTTGTTTAGTTTCGTGTTTCTGGAACTATCCAAATGTTTGATACGCAGATTATATATATACCCGAATCCAGAAACAAAAATCCATGATGATCAACAACATGAACTTGTTCGTTTGGCTCTTTTTTTTTGTCTGGTTAAAAAATTTTCACCTTTTTTTCACATGAACAATTAGCTCAGGTAAATGGACCGTTTTGTTTTCTGATTTAAAGGTTAAAACATTTATATTTAAATGAAGGGAACGACAACAACAACAACAACAACAACAAAAATGGAAATTACTTTCACTTGCTTTGATAATTAATTAATTATGTCGTTTTTTTCTGGACCAAATTTGAGCCAAAATTTTTTTCTTTTATTTTTTTCAAACCGGTGGATAAAATAAATTGGTGAAATTTTGTGATTAAACAAAAAAAAATGAACAAATTTCTCACGAAATAATTATACCCGGAAATCTTTTAATCTATATTTTTTTTGGCTGCGGAAAAATAATAATTTGGATTAATCTGGATTTTAATCCAGATTTCCTTGTGACCACCATTATAGACACATAGTCTGGTCATCATCATAATGACCATACACATGCAGACAATTTTCACAATTGATAAGTTACTTTTTATTTACCATATCAAAGGTTTACCAACCAAGGTCAAGGGATTTGATTGACCAAGCACATACACACACACACACACACACACACACAAAGAGAAAACAAAAAGTTGACTTTTTCTCGCCAGAAAAATTGGCAAAAAAATTAAATGAGGTGTTGCAAATCATTATCGATAAATATATAATGGGGAAAAAAAACAAGACCAACTTTTTAGTAAAAAAAATACACGTGCAATTAGTTTTTCTGTTTCATTATTCAAAACAAATGGATGAACATTAGTTGCAAAAAAATATTTGGCCTTTTTTTCCAGCCACTAACTTGGCTATGAATCACAAAAAAAAATTTGAAAATGATTGGCCATTAGCAACAAACTATAAAAAATTGGTTTGGTTTTAGATTAAAAAAAAAAATGAGAAAAATTTTCATTTTTGAATGCAAAAAAAATCCTAAATCAAGGCCTGTTTTGCCATCTAGTGGACGAGAAATGAACAACGTCGGATTTTTTTTATCATTGTTTTTGATGAATTTGAGGAAAAAAAATTTTTTTTTGTTTAATTTTTTACAAAAATTGATTAAATAAGGAAATATCAGAAACGTTTACGAAGATAATGACGATGTTGTTATTTTTCTTGCTGGTTGGTTGTTTGTTTTTTGTGTGTGTGTACAAGTCACGATAATTTTCAATCGATGATTACAACAACAACAACAACCAGTAAAAAATCACTAATTGGCTCTTTTATTGAATCGAATTGATTAAAAATGATTGATTTATTCAACGAACGGAAAAAATCGATGATGATTAAATGAAATAAATAAATTTGAAGTGTCAAAAAAATAATCTTGGATTTGTGTAAATGATGAAAAATAAGGTCTGTACTTTTTTTGGTTATTGAAATTTTTTTTCATTATTTTGTTTCTTTGCCATTGCAGCTTTGACAGCTTTTTTTGAATTCGGTATAATATAGGTACGAATGAAGAAATTCATAAACAACAGGAAAAACAATGCGTATAGTGAAAATCCAGTGACCGCTACGGCCATGCTGACATCACATGGTTGGCCCATTAATTTTAAACGTAAACAATCGATATGAATGTAGAAACCAAAAAGCATCTGAACAATCTGTAATGTGGTCAATGTAACATTAACTTGACGTGGTAAACGATAACCCATTGCAGTCAATGCATAATAACTATACATAAATGTGTGCACGATAAAATTCATATTGACCATCCAACGTGCAGTGGATGGTACATCCATAAAAACAAACCATGAATAATTCAATGTCAATGTATGATGAATCCAATGTAATTGAATCAGGCGTCGTTTACGTAATACGATGAACAATGTATCGATTAATTCCGCTGCTTTCGATATGGTGAAAAACCAATACCATGTATTGATGCGGATATCCTGTTTGTTGTGAAAAATTAAAAACATAAAGAAAAAGTGATGAGTAAAACAATAAATAAATTAATGAAAAAAATGACAAACTTACCTGTACATAGGTATTTTTAGCATATGAAGCAAAAAAACCATCATTGATTAAAACATGCCAGAATTCGGGTAAACAACGTACGGTGCCCATAAATGAAAATGCGGCCAGAAACCAATTCCATAGTATTAATTCACGTTTTAAATCGAAACCTTTTTCACGTTGATTCATCAAAAATTTCAATGTAAATATTGTGACAATATAACCGATTGATATATAAATAGAATAATGCCAATAATCAGTGGATGCATGACCAATTTCACGTGTATATTGTCGAACAAATGCTTCGCCGGGTAATTGCATTTGTAGACCGGGGAATTTACTAAAATCATGTGTCCATGTATAATTGCCGGCTGGTATATCACGATAATAATAATGATAACGGACATCGTCCACATTGAACAAACGATTTAGCAGGGACATTTTTTTGCAGATTTTTCAATGTTCAACTGTTGTGCTATGGCAATGATGATGAAAATCGATCGATTACAAAATACTGTTGTGGATCAGTTGTGACCAACTAGCAAATAGTTGACAACACATTCTTTTTCTAGGATTTTTATATTTTTCTAGCTCATTCGGTTCACGATAGTCATCATTAGGTGTGTGATAAAGGGTCATAAAAGCTAATACATAGTGTCCCTAACAAGATAAAGTAGCGATATCTACAGTACCGAAATGTCCTTGAAGTCCAAAGAAATAGACAAAATAAACGTTGTATTAAATTCTATTTTTCTGGGCAAAAAGAAAAGCTCTACCAATAGCAATAAAAAACATTCTTTAACCAACCATATATCGTATGGTCAAATCAATGATAAGCTGTTGATTTTTGAAGCAACAGGTAGAAAACAGAACAATTATCATTCGCGATAGCGATGATTAATCAAGTGAAGTTTTTTTTTTTGGCGAAAAATATTTTATTTTTAGACAAAATAATAAAACCTACACACACACAAAAATACAAATACAAAAGAAAAATAAATGTTCAGAGATTAACATAAGATTTTTCATTTCTGGTGCAAATTTTTTCATTCCATATCCGTATGATTGACAAAATAAAAATAAAAATAAAACGGAAAAAAAAGGAAACCGAGAAAAAATGGCCCAAAAAATGAAAATAAAAATTGGCTACACTATACTCTAGTGCCTGTAGATTCATAAAAGAATCAAAGATCAAATGGGTGAATTGTGTAGTTGAGATTGACTGATTGATTGTGTGAAGTGTTGATGTTAATATAAAATAAAAAAAAAAAAAAGTAAGAAAGAAAGGATTAATTTAAATAAAAGGAAACAAATTATCATGTGATGGCTGGTGATACAACAAATAAAAATTTAAAAATGTCAAAAAATGATTTTTCTTTTTGGATTCGTAAATGACAAAATAATCAATTTGATTTTGAGTTTGTTGTTCGTAATGATTTTGTTTTCATCAATTCACTATATGAAAAATAGTGATTGGTCGATTGATGAATGTGATGATGTGTTGTAATGGTTGTTGGCATTTTTTATTGTAATTTTTTAATCACTTCTTTACCATTTTTATTATTATTCAAATCTTTCAGTATGGCATTTCCATTGGCCATTGCAGCTTTGACAGCTTTTTTCGAACTTGGTATAATGTATGTACGGATGAAGAAATTCATAAACAACAGGAAAAACAATGCGTATAGTGAAAATCCAGTGACCGCTACAGCCATACTGACATCACATGGTTGGCCCATTAATTTTAAACGTAAACAATCGATATGAATGTAGAAACCAAAAAGCATCTGAACAATCTGTAATGTGGTCAATGTAACATTAACTTGACGCGGTAAACGATGACCCATTGCAGTCAATGCATAATAACTATACATCAATGTATGTACAGCCAGATTCATATTGACCATCCAACGTGCAGTGGATGGCACATCACCAAAAACAAACCATGAATAAATCAATGTCAATGTATGATGAATCCAATGTAATTGAATCAGGCGTCGTTTACGTAATACAATGAACAATGTATCGATTAATTCTGGTGCTTTCGATAATGTAAAAAACCAATACCATGCATTAATACGAATATCCTGTTTGTTTCGGTGCATTTGATGATTGACAAAACAAATAAAAAGAGAAATTAGTAAAAAAAAATTTTCAAATTAGAATTAATTAACTTATCAGCGAAAAAAAAAAGAATCTTGAAACTGAAAAAAACCATTGCACTGGGAAAAAAACAAATAATGAAAAATTGCGTCCATATAATGGACATTTTATGTGAAAAAAAATTCATTTCCAGTTTCAAATAGGCACACACACACACACACACACACACACACACACACGCAGATACGTACGTTCTTCCTGTTCGTATGAATTTTCTGAAAGAAGAATAAAATTATGATCAATTTGAACTTGAATCAATCAATCGATATTGATCGATATTGAGAGGAGAAAAAAAATCTAATAAATTTTGTTTTCGATTGAAAACAGAAACAAAACAAAAAAGTAAATGAAAATCTTTTTAAATTTATTTCTTCAACTTTTTCTATTTCTGGACAATTTCAATAAAAAAAATTTTTATTTCTTTTTTTCTCCCTACCTTTCAATCGATCGATTGATTGATTTCATCATCATTATTATGGAAATAAAAAAAATTAGAATAGAAATCAAATCAATTGACGATCGATTATGATTGAATGAAATCAATCTAAAAGTAAACAGTGAAAAAAAGCAAAAATGTTGAGAAATCAACGTGTTAAATGTGTATGTAAATTCTCCATCACAATTACAAGTAATGGTGACAGGAATAACGATGGAAAAATTTCGTAAATCATTGACTGCTGACCACTGGTCATCATCATCTTTCTTTCATTCTGGATAAATTTATTTCGTGCTAAAAAGTCATTTTATCTTTTTTTTTTCTATTTTTTTTGCAAATGAAACGAACATTTTAAAAATTCAAAAATCTAATTAAAACAAATCAAATCAAACAAACAAAATAACTGAAAATTTTCATTATTCATTAATCCTTCAAATGAATCATGATTGATAGCCTTGTACACACCTTTAGGTGGTCATCATCATCATCATCATTATCATTTGGCTTTTCGAGTGGTACAACAAATCGAAATTTTTTTTTTGTTGCGAATTAAGAATTTGCAATTTTTTTCAATTTGTTCACTGCAACAACAACAAAAAAAGAACCAACAACATTTATTCATTCATTTTGTTGAAGCAAATGATGATGATAATGATGATAAACACTTGAAACTAAAAGACTTTAATCAAAACATTAACGTTCATAAATACAATGATGATGTTGATGATGATAATGACAATGATTAATCAAAATTTGCAATAAATTTTCTTCAAGATTTTTTTTTGGATAAATAGCTAAATGAATGAATGATTGAAAAAATGGCAAACTTACCTGTACATAGGTATTTTTAGCATATGAATCAAAAAAACCATCATTGACTAAAACATGCCAGAATTCCGGTAAACAACGTACGGCGCCCATAAATGAAAATGTGGCCAAAAACCAATTCCAAAGTATTAGTTCACGTTTCAAATCAAAACCTTTTTCACGTTGATTCATCAAAAATTTCAATGTAAATATTGTGACAATATAACCGATTGATATATAAATAGAATAATGCCAATAATCATTGGATGTCATTACAATTTCACGTGTATGACGTTGAACAAATGCTTCGCCGGGTAATTGTATTTGTAGACCGGGAAATTTACTAAAATCATGTGTCCACGTATAATTACCGGCTGGTATATCACGATAATAATAATGATAACGGACATCGTCCACGTTGAACAAACGATTTAGCACGGACATTTTTTGCAGATTTTTCAATGTTCAACTATTGTGCTATGGCAATGATGATGATTTTATGATTGTTGTGCTATATGCGTGTATTGGTCAAAGATGTGGATTAAATAAATTTTTGATTTGATTTGCTAGAATGACTTGTTGGCTTGCTGACTGGAGGAACTATGATTGATTTGATGGAAATGATGATGATGATGATGAACAAAGAAAAAAAATTTTTCTCCACACAAAAAAAAAAAAAACACACACACACAAGACGACGACAACGACAATGATTTTATGAACGATGATGATGTCAAAGTCAATGTCGAATGTTTTTTTTTTAAATTCAAGTTTAAAACATTGAAAAAAAACTAGTTTTAATAATTTTAATAATTAATAATAAATAAAATAAATAAACATAAATCGCGATCAATCGATTGATTTTTGACAATCATGTGTAATGGACGACAATAATGAAAAATTTGTCAAAAAAAAAAAGTTTTCGTTTTTAAAAGAAAATTCCTATCATATTCGTTTGTGCGTTTATATATATATATGAAAAAAAACAGCAATCGCACTTTCATACAAAATTTGAAAAATCACGCATGCGCCAATATAAAGAGAAAGAGAAACAAGAGAATTGATTTGAAATTTTTTTTTTTTTTTATCAACCGGTGATTGATTTGATTTAATAATAATGATGATGAGAATAAATTGTTATTTTGAAGAAATTCTTTTGAAATGATGATCTGATGATGGTGATGATGATTATGACATGACAAGATAATTGATTTTTCAATTTTTTATAATTTCAAAAAAAAAAAAATAAAAAAATCAATATTTTAATGAGTTACATTTGCTGTTTGATGATTGCCATCAGGATTTTTTTTTCAGTTTTTTAGTACAAAAACACCAAAGATTATTTGACGTCATTGAAAATTATGATCATCATCAACATAATGACATATTGGGATTTTTTTTCTGTTGTAATTTTTTTTTACATACAAATAAAAATCCAACAGGAAGATTGTGTGTGTGTGTTGTAATGTTGAATTTATTTTTGGTGATGATCATCATCTAATGAGGTTGATGGTCATAATTGTGATTCATAATTATTTCTCTTTTTGTCGTCGTTGTTGTTGCTATTATTGGATTCTTTTACAAAACATTAACAGGTAAAAAGAAAAGAATGGAAATTGACGTCATCGTGTTTTGTTTGTTTGTTTGTTTGTTGTTTTTTAAAAATTATTCCATCATTATTCTTCGATTAAAATAATGAAAAAACAAATCGATTAATGATAACCACATACAAGCACATCATGGGAATTTTTTTTGTTTTTTTTTTTCTTTCATGATACCTGTTTGAATAATGATAAACGACAATTTTTTTTCTTTTGTTTTTTTCCCCACCATTTCTCCAGAAATTTTCATCATCATCTTTCTCTCTTCTTCTTTCTTTTTTCTGGTCATGATTTTTTTTGTTGTTGTTTGAAAATGAACAATTCCATCAACCTTTTTGTACTTATTACAACGTACATACACACACACACACACACATTTGTTACATTGACGACAATCCAGTATCAAGAATTTTCATTGAATAAAAGGATTGATTACGAAAAAAAAGGATATGAAATTTATTGTAATCAAAAAAAATTATGACGACAATCTAGCGCCCGGTCACGTCTAGCCAAATAAATGACAAAAAATCAATCGGAGGCCAAATCAAATAAAAGACGTATGTAGATTCAATGGCTGTGTGTGTGTGTGTGTGTTTTCTGTCTAAATCCGTCCATCGAAACAGAGACAACAAAAATATTAATCAGGAAAAAAAATGAATACATTTCATCAGCAACGGAAGTGATTATTACATTCGATACAAGATGAGGATCGATGATTGACGTTCGATGATGATGACGATGATTATTTTAAATCAAATTTTTTAAAATGTTTTTTATTGCATCTAATTTCATTTTATATGGACAGAAAAAAAGACTGTTTTCCTTTAATTTTTTCCAATTTTCACCTTATTTTTTGTAGCTGATTGATTGATTGATGAATTGGTTTGTTTAGTTTTGTTTTTAGATCAACAAAACAAAACAAACAATTCAGAAATAATGGACAATAGTTGTCGATTATTTGTCGCTTGAAATGAAACCAAAATTGATGATGATTAATGAATGAAATTAACCTTTGCAAACAAGAAATTCAAATTCCATTTTCATATATCGTATGAAAATGAGATAAACGTGTACGTATGAATGTCAAATTCACAAATACACAAAAACAAACAAACAGAAAAAAAGAGGAGAAGAAAAATGAAATTCAAATTCAAATTAGATCGTTTGCTTTGTTGCTCGGTTGGAAAAAAAAAATTTTTTCCTAAAACACGCATTCGATAAATGAATGAATGAATGAAATTCCATTGAATGATTCTTGAATTACATTCACAATGATTTTCGTTTCTTGTAAACAGCATGAAATGAGCAGGAAATGTTTTCTTTTATCCAAAAAACAAATCAATGAATCAATCAATCAAGTTATGGATGATAATGAAAAAAAAAAATAATAACAGGTTGTTTATTCATTCTTTTTGTTTCAACAAAAAAAATTTTTCCCGCTTCATATTCAAAAATACACACACACACACACACAGAGAATGATGGAAAAATTCCCAATGAATCAAACAAAACTGTGATAATTATCAACTTTTTTTTGTCATTGATTTTCGATATTTGATTTTAGGTTTTTAATCACTACTATATTTCAACAACCTGTTGAAAATGATTGCTACCATCCAACAGAAAAACGTCTCTCTCTCTCTCTCTCTCTCTCTCTCTCTTTGGTGTTTTAGTGCAACCGACATTGAATTCGAGAAGGAAAAAATTTTTTTTTTTTTTTGTTGGAATGATTAGTATTGCTAATTGATTGAATTTGATTTGATTTGATTTGTGGAATTCTCATCATCCAATGACGATGACGAAGATGATTACAAGTTCAATGTCAATGCCATTGATAATTTGATGGCTTTTTTTCCCCTTGTTGTGGTTGTTGTTGTTGTCTGTTTGCTGGTTTGTTTATGCAAAGGAAATGCAAGATTTTGTTCATTTATTCCTTTACAAATAAACGACAATGACAACAACAACAACAACAACAACAACGATGTTTACTAATAATAATGCCGACAACATATGAATATTGGCCTTCGAAATATTGTGATCAATCGATGAAATCGAAGCAATTTTTTTTTCTCTATTTATTCTTGAAGAGCGTCAAAAAAGTGATAGTGAATAGAAAACGTACTGAAATGCGAAGAAAAAAACATTAATTAATTAATTCAATCAACAGGTGAATAGAATGAATTTTTTTGAATCAATTATTATCAAGATCAAATAACCGGTATTGGATTCATTGGTCAAACCAGTTTATCCATAATTTTTTTTTATTAATCAAAAACCACCAGAAACCAATAGATTATTATTATTTAATTTTCATGTGAACATGAATAATTATATTATATTATACAACACATAGAGATGAGAGAAAAACTGATGAATTTTTGGTTTTCTCGAATCGAATAATTTAACCAATGTCAATGTCATCATTCTTGAATGAATGGATTAAAACCACATGAATGAAAAGCACAAAAATTGTAAAAAAAAAAAAAGAAAATTCCCTCAAAGAAAAAAAGTAAATGACAAACATATGATATATTCACATGAAATATTCTTTAATTGAATATGTGTTTATTTTTTTTTATTCTAGAAAAACAACTTATCATCATCATTATCTGGAATATCCTTGAATAATGGATTTGATTCAAAATCAAAATAAACGATAGAGATAGAGATAGAGAGAGGAGAAAATGATTGGAAAAATAAAAAAAACCATGAACAAACTGCTGCCATCTATGTTTGAATAAATAAAACAACAATACGATTGTGTACGGGCGCCATCTTTTGTTCACATTTCAAACATTGATAGAAATTTGAAAAATTTTTTCCCGCTTAAAAAATTTTTTTTTCTCATTGAAAAACCATTATTGGTGCTAAGTGATCATATCATTATCATTTGAATTGAAAAATTTTTTTTTTCTTCAAATTTAAAACAAAGATAATTTTTCCAAATTTTATTTTAATTATTTCCGTTTTTTTCCATATCTATCCACGATGATAACAAAAAAACCTTGATTACAAATGAAAATAAATTGAAACGCGACAGCATTAGCCGTATCAGAAGCTGAAATGAAAATGAAAATCCATTTGAAAAATTATAGCGATAATCGACTGATACACACACACACAAAAATCAAGGGCATGTGTGTGTGTTCCATCAATATGGATGGATAATAATCATCATCATCATCTGAAATGGCCAATGGCAAAAAAAAGCCAGAAGCAACAAAAAAAAAAATAACTAAACAAACAAACAAACAATTCAAGGTTTGAAAATCAGGAAAAAAAAACAAAACGCAAATTAGTGAGCATCATCAATAACAACGACAGTACCCTTTTAACATCATCATCATCATCATTATCGGGGGATGATAAGAGAATTATTATCATAATTATCATCGTCCCCCCTCTCTCTCTCTCTTATTTTCATTCTGCACTCATTATTATTCGTGGTCATTGAATCAATGATTTTAATTTTATGTCCGTATTCGTTATCAAGCTAGTAGCTACAGTGTTATTTAAAAAAAAAATAAATTCACCAATCATTGAGGTCATCGTCATTTAAGGAGAAAAAGAAAAATTTTTTTTGCTTCTGGATTTTTCTTTTGTTCAATACCAAAAAAAAAAAAAAAAAAACAAGCCAATAATATGATGATGAGGAATTCATTAATGGAAAAGAAAAAAAATTGGTTTTTTACGAAAAAAAACAAAACAAAACAACAACAAGGATTCAATCGCATGCATGCATGCGTTATACAATAATTTTAATAATACATCATCAATGTCGTTATTATTTGGTTATCGATTGATTTTTTTTTTCAAAAAAAAATACAAAGGAAATGCGTAAATCATTTTTATAAATAAAAAATCATCAACGGAAAAAAAACAAAAATTCTTCCTGTAATGATTTTTTACGCTGTATTGTGGTAGTTTGCGTGAATGTTTTTCCACAAACACACTTGTTGCGTGTATTTGATATATTAAAAAAAAAAAAAAAAAAGATGATGAAGATGAAGATGTTGTTTGCCGCTTTCAATCATCATCATCATTATTATGAATGAAATTGAAATCGAAGTTGAAATGTCCATGATGATCATTTGGAAAGAAGCTAGAAAATGAAAAAGTTACACAGTTAATGATATATTCATTCATTTGATTTAATCAGATATATTTTCATTATTGTTGTTCTTGTATCAAAATCAAAAATTTCTTTTGTTTTATTGTTTGTTTACGGAATTTTTTTTTCTCTCTCCCCATTCCTTCACATAAGTTTAGCAAATCGTTATTGGCACAGAAATAGAAATAAATTTAATTTGATTTTTTTTCTCTGTTGTTTTTCACAATGCGTTCAAGGTGTGTGTGTGTGTGTTCATTTTTCATATATTGATGATGATGCCATAACTTTATTTATGAATTTCTCAATGATTCTATTGTTTTGTTTTTTGTTTTTCTTGATGATGTGATGATGTGTCTGAAAAAAAAAAACAAAACAAAACAAAACAACCGAACCAAACCAAAATGGCGTTGATAATTGATTTTTTTATTAGAATTTCACAAAAAAAATGTCTTTCCATCTTTATATATATATATCTGTCGATTGGTCAACGAAAGAAATGGACAGAGAGAGAGAGAAAACATTCACAAATGTAAACAAACAAATGAAAACATGTGATTTGTTCAATGAAAAAAAAAACAAAATCAAAAATGTTGCAATTTTTTCACCCATTTTTCTGTTGTAATATATTACAAAAGAAAAAAATTCACAAATTCTGTAACCGAAAAAAAAGAATAATTTAATTCTTTTATATATTCCAAGCAAAATAAAGTTCAATTCAAATCAATTTTTTTTTTTTTGATTAAATAATTATCATAGGTGTGTGTGTGTATTATTTGGATCAATTTAAATCAATATTTAAATTATTCTGTGTCAAGTGTTTCAAAGAAGAAAAAAAATGCAAGAGAAAAGAATTTTTATATATATAAAAAAAGGGGAGAATTTGTCGTCATTGAATTGTTGTCGTAGTCGATTTGATTATTGACATTTTTTCACAACGCCTTTATAATGATTATGATTTATATCGCTAAGCATTTGATTTATAGGTTTTGCTGGCAATACATATGTTCGGATGAAAAAATTCATAAACAGTATGGCAAACACTGTGTACAATATGACACCAGTAAACAATACCGAATAACAAGTGTCCACTGGATAGCCCATTAATTTTCGTCTAAAACAATCATAATTAATGTAAAGACCGGCAAACATTTGTGCCACTTGTAATGTAGTGATTGTTAAATTAACAGGTTTTGGTATATGAAAACGTAACGCTTTCAATGCATAATATGTGTACATTAATGAATGTACAACAAAATTCATATTGACCATCCAACGTGCCGTAGCCGGAACATCGGTGAAAACGAACCACGAAAAATTCAATGTCATTATATGATGTATCCAATGTAATGGTATTAATTTTGATTTACGTAACACGATGAACAATGTGTCGATCAATTCAAATGCTTTTGATATTGTGAAAAATAGATACCAAATTGATAGACGAAAATCCTAATGAGACAAAATGGACAAATTAAAACGAGAGTAAAAAAAAACGCAATAAACTTACAGCATAATAACTAGATTTTGTATATGAAGCACGTAGTCCTTCAGTGCGTATAATATGAATAAATTCCGGTAAACAACGATATGTGCCAATAATTGAGAATGTGGCCAACACTAGATTCCAAAACATTAACAATGTACGTAGATTGAATGATTGGCGATCACGCATGATGCGTTGTATGCCGAATATGATGATAACATATGCAATGGATAAATGGAAACAATAACGCCAATATAATTGTGTTTGTAATTGGATCCAATTGCCAATCGGTATGAATGATCGTTCGAATGCAAATGAATTTTGAAATCCGGGAAATTTCGTCACATCCGGATCCCATGAATGACTTTCATTTATAACATTATAATATGTATAACGATAATCAGGTAATTCGAAACCAAATAATGAATATGTATTTTTCACTATTGTTGTAGCCATTTTTTTAAATTCCAGTCGTCGTTGTTGTTGTTGTCACTATTTGTTTTAAACGTTGATTGGTGAATTTGAACAATTTTCAAAATTTAAGAAAAAACACACACACACGCACACAAAAGAATCACATTCAAATTAAATTAGATGATGATGATGAAATTTTCAAAATAAACAAATTGTGTGTTTATGTGTCGAAATACAGAGAAAAAATGATGGTTATGGTGAGAATTTGTCATTTGAAAAATTGCCAATTTCTGGATCACATTGGAAGTTTGTGAGCAAATCTTTTTATAAAAATGAACAAAAAAAAATCAAAATATTTTTATTTGTAGAACAAAAAAAAAATGAAAACTTTTGCTTTCAAAATTAAACTAAATCATCATCATCATCATTGGACGGCAACAAGTGTGTGTGTGTGTGGATGGAAAAAAATAATGTCATGTCAAACATCGGTGACAACAAACAACGACTAAAAAAAAAAAAAAAAAAATCGACCACAACGACGACGACGACGACCACGATGATAATGGAACAAATTGAAATTGATGAAAATGACAATCGAAAATTATTTTTTGAATTTCAAATTTATATACTATCAGCAACCGCAGCAGAACCACCGCCATACAGATTTGATTTCATTGATCATTGGTTGGTCTTTTTTTTTTTTTATTTTTATCATCTTCATCATCATTGTCGTTGTTGATACTGTTGTCGACGTCTTTCTGTATGCTGTGTACATGCGCATGAGCAATTTTTTTTATTTTATTTTATTTTATACACGCGATATACATTCTGATGCTAAAACAAAAAAAATATGTATTCACCATCACCATCATCAACGACAAATCAGCTTACACACCATTTTAACAGACAGTTTATGGCCATTTCATAGCAGCAGATACTGATCATCAGATGAAAATTTGTACAAAAAAAAACGACAACGACTATGAAAATGATATTCATGATAATGATGATGATGATGATGGTGGAAATAGCAGCGAACAAAAACAAAATAATTTGAAAGTGAAACCATCATCAAAACACGAAAACAACAACAACAACAACAACCACCACAACCATTGACATTGACTATTAGCTACCACATGCACACACACACACACACACACACACAGAGCATGTATGTATTTTTCTCAATTTATTTCGATTAGAAGCAAAAAGAAAAAATTGAAAAAAGAAAAGAAAAATTTATCTATTTTTCATTTCTGTTTTGTAGATAAAAAAAATGCTAATAATTAACCCCTTGTGAACCTGTTTCTAAATATAAATGATGATGATGACAAATTTCATACAAAATGATCATTTAGATGCACTGAAAAAAACCAGAAAAAATTACTTCTTGTTTTTGCAAAATTTAGAAATGAAAAAAAAGCAGGTAGTTTTTTTTGCGTTGAATAATCAAATTGTTGATGACGTAAATAAAGATGATTAAATCATTCGATTGAAGAATTAATGAATGAGAGAGAGAGAGAGAGGGAGATAAAAAAAATCCACGAAGGTCATTTTCAAATCAATCCATTGATTTAGAATTCTAGTAGTAGAATTTTCAAGAAGAAAAAAGATTCCATTTCTTATGGCCAAAAGATTGGTTTGTTTGTTTGTTTGTTGATCCAGAAACAAAACAAAACAAACATGGACACATGGAAACACACACACACACATGTGGAAAAGAAAAAAAAAAAAAATCAAGGTTTACAGCAAAAAAAACCTTTCCACAATCTTCTTCTTGTTTGGATTTTTTTTTTTTTTTTTTTACACATACCTATGTTGATTACTTTCTAATCAGTGTCGTTGTCGTCGTTATAGTTGATAAATTATTTTTTATGGGTTACCAATATACACACAAAATGATAAAAAATTGGAAAAAATGGCCACTTTAAATAGGTTTTTTTTCCCTGTTTTTCTTTGGTTTTTTTTATTATTAAGATGTTCTTGTTGATAAGTAATTGAAAGGGTTTTGTTTCATCTTTTTTTGTTTTTTTTTATGTCACATAATCATTATCGATTGCATCATCATCATCATCAATAGATCGATCGATTGATCGATTGATACGTGTGTGTGTTTTATGCGCCAGTCATGATCTTTGGCCCAGAGAAACAAAAAATTGTATACGAAAAATGGACCAAATTCAAATCACATGAAATTTATCTGATGATTGAAATTAAACCAAATCGATTGATTGATTGACTGATTGATTGATCGATCGATCGATGTGCAGTGTGGCCAATGACGAGAATGGGAAAAAAAATCAATATGACAAAATCTTAATTATGTGATGATGATGAACTGAATAATAAGTGACAACAGCAACAGCTAAATTTTTCTGTCCAAATTTACAACAACAAAAAAAAATTTGTTTTCTTTTCTCTTTCACGAAAAAAAATTAGCTAGCCAGGTAATTGGTGTATTTTGTTTTCAAATTAAGGAAAAAAATCATCCAAAGAAAGATTTTCATCATCTTTTTTTTTTTTTTTATTTTTGTTCTTGTTCATTTATTCAATTCCAATGTCAATGTTTTCAAGTTTTTGTTTCTGTTCCAGCAACAACCACAACAACAACAACAACAATAAATCATACAAAATTAAAAGAGAAAAAATCAGATCAAAACGAAAATGAAAACAAAAATAAAGACAACAAAATGGTGACAAGGCGAAGGTCTTTTCACCATTTTGTTGTGTGTGTGAGTTGGATTCGTTTGTTTTTTTTTTTTTTTTGGTTTCAATTATCGATGAAAAAATAAAATAATGGCCTGATTCTCTTTGTTTTTGTTCCAGAACAGCAACAATAACAACAACAACAACGAATGAGCAGAAGAAATTTCGATTCATTTTCATGATAAAAAAAAATTGTGTGATGATGATGATGATGAGACGTTTGCATCGATTTGCTGCCGCTATTGTCATGATCATTTATCGATAATGTAAGTATGTAATATATTGATGATGATGATGATGATTTGATGATTGTTCGCTAGATCGTTTTTGTTTGTTTTTTTTTTTTTGGTCCCAGTACTTTCACCCCTTTTTCACCATTTTTTTTCTGATTTTCAAAAATATTTTTTTCAGATTTTCGAAAGATTTCTTTTTATAAAATTCCCGAAAGATAAAATTATTACAGAAACAAATAAAAGGCAATGTACCTGAAATGTGATAACAATTTTCATTCATTCATTCAATCATTTTTATTGGTTCATAATTCATGATATTCAAAAAAAAAAATTATTGAAAAAATAATCACCATCATCATCATTCAATTATTCACTCGAAAAAAAAACAACAATAAAATTGACGTAGAATAATCATGAATTGAAAATTGATTTTTTTTTTATTCATTAGAATAGATTTGTTGTTGTAAATTGATTTTCATCAATCAATCAACCAATCAATTGTTGGACTACGTGTTTTTTTTTAGTTTGTTCGATTGATTGATTGATTGATTGAAAAGAATGTATCGTTTTCAGCGAAAGGAGACTTGTTGAATGACAAAGAAAAAATTTAATAATAATGCGCTTTAAATTACAAAATGATGACGATGATGTGAAAAAATTTGAATATGACACCTTTTTTTTCTCTCCAATATATCATTTTGATCAATTATTCATGATGATAAATGAATGAATGACATTGGATATTTTATCGATTATTGAACACACACACACACATATATATATCGATAATTATCATGTCATTTTTTTTTCACAGAAATCCAAACCTTTTCTTACAAATCATATGATGAATTCTGAACGGAAACAAAATGAAACACACACACACACAAAAAAGAGTGAAAATTTTTACAGGTGGGAAATAACAACTTTCATTACAAAAATAAAACTTTTTTTTTGGTAAAGTGCAAAAAAATAATAAACCAGAAAACAACAAAATTCTCATGTTACGGATATTCATCATTCATTTTCTATTTGATTTGGATTGATTAATCAATTTTTTTTCCATCTTTGCCGTATTTCATTTCATTTCAATTCACTTTCAATCTAGAAAATTTTTCCGTGTTTTTCCAATGAAATGAAATGAAAAAAATATTTACCGCTCAAGGGTTGTTGTTGTTGTTGTTGTTGTCGTCGTTCATATATCAGGATGAGGAAAATCAATGAACAGGCAAATATCGCAATTTTTCCTCTGTTTTCTTCGACATTCTGACCAATGACCGATCAACCGTTCTATGTTAGATGCAAAAAAAAAGAAAAATTCACCACACAAGCGCTGGCATCGAAAAAGAAAAACAAATCCAATCATTTCGAAACAAGAAAAAATTTTTTTTTTTATTATATTTGTCTTTCAATTTTCAATTGTGAGAAAATTTTTTTTAGTTCTGGTTTCGTTGTGTTTTTTTTTGTTTTTTTGTATTGATCACAACAACAAAAGAAGAGGAAAAGGAAAAAAAAGACTAAGGTGTTGCAATCCAAAATCTCACCAAAATCAACATGGCAATGAATTTGAAATTTTTCATTTTTTAAAATGAAAAATGAAAAAATTTTTTTTTTTAGCGAATCAAGAAATAATTATCATCATCATATTGAAATTCCGCAATAATCGATTATTGCGTTCAATCTATTGAAATTTATCAATCAATTTTTCCTTTTTTCAAAAAAAACTGGTCAGATTGACGTCAACATTATCGTTCGTTTGTTGTGTAAAATTTCCGTCCAAAACACAAAACAAAAAATGGATGAAAGAGAAATTTTTTTTTTAAATCAATCGAATGTGCTGACATCATTATCGAATTTTTAATGTTTTGTTACTGGTTCATCCATAACATCAATTGTGAATTGTTAATTTTTGAGAATTTTTTTTTGCTTGCCTGTTCATGTAGAAAGGATGTATGTAATTTCTTGTTTGTTGTTAATTCAGAAAATGAAAATAAAAAATAATTATCAAATTACATCAATCAAAGTTATTTTTGTCGATATATAATGATGATGATTATGATGATGATGACCAACGCGTGTACAGAAGCTTTAAAACAAAAAACACACACACACATCTTGTTGTAATTTTCCAGAAAATTACAACAACAATGAATAAATGAATGAATGAATGAATGAATATTTATTTTGTCCACCATTTGATTGATTGATACGATTATCGTAATTTGTGCTTTGCTTTTTGTTCATATTGATGAATTAATCACCAATGTGAACGACATTTCAAGGATCGTGTGTACAAAAAATTTAAACAACAAAACAATAAAAAAAAATTCAAGGAATTTTTCTTGAAAATGAATTGAATGATTTATTTTTTACGTTGTTTTAAAAAAATTTAAAAAAAAAAATTCACGGCCAGACAGTGTCGTCATCTGCTGTCGAAGATTGGAGGTAAACAAATTTTGTCCAAGAACGAAAAAAAAAGAAAAAAATTCATTCGATTCATACACAATTGTTGATGGAAGAGAAGGGAAAAAAAATTTCAATATATCAAGAAGCATCATATGCAATTTCGGTAGATGAATAATTTGATGAAGAAAACACACATACCAAATGTGTGTATTCAAGGATAGTACAATACAATCATTCATTCATTCATTCAATCAACCAACCTACCAACCTACCAATCATCAGCCATTCTTAATTTACAATTTCCATTTCAATTTCAATTTTCATTCAATCAATTCAACCAATCAACTTAATTCTGTAATTTTTTTTCTGGTAAAAAAAAGACATGAAAAATTTTTTTCCCGTTTTTTATTTTGATTTTAAAATTTTTCAATTTTCTGCTGATTGCCTGTTGTTGTTGTTGATTGCGAAATTTTCGCCAAATAATGATAAGTTTTAGGTAAAAAGAAATTTTTTTCCAATTTTAATTGAGTTTTAATTTTATGCACACACACACAAAATCTAAACAACAACAACAACAACAAACAAACGTAAACAAGAATTTTATTCTAAGAAAAACATACACATCAACATAAACAATTGCCTCAAAAAAACTGCATGTGACGAAACGAAACGCAACGAAACGAAACGGAAAAAAAATCGTCATAAACCAACAACCCCTCCCCCACCACCACCAGGCAATATTTTAAATATTTCCATCTTAATTTGATAATGATTAAACATTGTGTTTTCGCTCACAGGTGAAATCCTCGTCTGTGTGTGTGTGTGTGTCTCTCTCTCTCTATCTTACACACTTACACACACACACACACAGAAGATTAATATACGTAATGGAATTTTTGCTGATATTGAACAGGATTAGATAACTATTTTTAGCTCCAAAAATGATGATGATGATGATCATCATTGAATTTAATTTCCATTTTCTCCATTTATCGATTGATGCAATCATCGATCCAACCAACCAATCAATAATCATCTGATCATCGTCATCGCCTTCATTATCATTTTTTAAATTTTTATTTGGTTATTACATCTGAATTTATTTTGTTTTGTAATTCAATGAAATGATTTTATTTGGTTATTACATCTGAATTTATTTTGTTTTGTAATTCAATGATGAATGATGATAATTAACCTGTTTTGTATACAGTTTAGTTGATTCATTTCAAAATTTTTTTTTTTGTAAAACACACAGGCCTGGAATAAAAATTCAACGTTCAATTTAATATCGATGTAATGATAAAGATGATAAAAAACGATGGTAATGAGATTTCAAAATTTTTTTTTGTAAAAAAATTCCTGGAATAAAAATTCTCGTGAATATCGTATGATAAAAGAAAAATGGTGTGATAATGCAGATTTCCATTATGTGTGATATATATATACACGAACACAAATTGATTGGATAAAAAGAAAAATGAAAAAAAAAAAGAAAAAATAGATTGGTTGAAAAATTCAAGGGCAATTTTTGTGAATGCACTTAATCAGTGCATATTATTTTTTTTTTTCATAATAAAACTGGACATCAATGATGATGATGATGATGTGAAATATTCAACATGAATTAACCAACGATAATGGTAATGGATGTGTAAACAACAACGTGATTATAAAAGAATTTTAGATTGACGTAATTTTTTTTTGCGTTTTTTGAAAAAAAAATTCAATATCATAGATTATTAGATAATGAATTTAAGTGAAAAAAAACAAGTTTTACACTTTGAAAATCGAACCAAATGAAATGAAAACGCAATGTGTTTCTATTTTTAGCTCTTTTAATCACCAATTATTTTTTTTTTAATCTTCACATCATCACCATCATCATCATCATCATGTCCGGAATCATCTCGATTCATTTTTTTTTGTGTTTTATCAATTTATTAATTTGAAAGTAAATTGAACAAAATTGAATAAAAATACAAAATACAAAATATTAGTGTTTATTCAATGATTAAAAAAAAAATTCCGTGTGTGTGTGTGTTGAAAAGAATATTCTGTCTGAGTTGGTGTTTTTTTTCTGCATTTGAGATTAATGAATCCAGAATCACATTTTTATTTGATTCCAAAAATTAGTCAAGTGTATTCGTGTGTGTGTGTGTTTTCAAATGTTTTTTTTCTTGGTTTTCAATCAATTTCCATTTGCCCACTTGTTGTTTGATTTTATTGAACTTTTTTCGCCACAAATTGTATTGATCCATTTGTTGTTGTCGTTGTTTTTGTCGCTGTGGTTGTTGTTTTCGTTTTGCCATTGGTAAAATGACGTACAGCAGATTGAATTTTTTGTCTCGATCCTTTTATAATGTATGTCCAGATGAAAAAATTTATGAACAATACGGCAAACAAACCATATAATGTAACACCGGTTATCAATACCGATAATGATGCATCACATGGTAGGCCAAGTAATTTTCTTTGCAATGCTTTATAATTGACAAATAAACCGGCAAACATTTGTGCAATTTGCAATGTAGTGATTGTTAATGATATACGACGTGGTACCTGAAAACCGGCCACTTTCAATGCATAATAGCTATACATTAATGAATGGACAAAATAATTCATATTACACATCCAACGTGCTGTGGCCGGTGCATCCGAAAACACGAACCACGAATAATTCAATGTCAACAGATGATGGATCCAATGTAATGCTATCAAAGGTTTTTTACGCATCAACACAAATGCTGTATCAAATAATTCAATCGATTTGGACAATGTGAACATTAAATACCAAGCGGATAATCGATAATCCTAAAAAAAATTGGAAAGAAAAATGAAATGAAAAAGATAAAACAAAATTGATTATCAAAAGTGTCGATTTTCTGTCAAAAAAAAAAATTTCGCAATTTTTTTTCTCGTTAAAATGAATTTTTTTTTGTTTTGTTTTTTATTTAATAATCAATAAAATTAATCAAAGTACAAGGTGATTTGTTGGAATTTGAAAAATTTTTTTTCTTTTATTTAAAACTGATAGATTGATAGTTAGAGAGAGAGAGAGAGAGAGAGAGAGAGAGAGTTCAGGGATATACTGAGAAAAAATCAATAAAAAAACGAAAAGAGAGAGATTATTATACAATATTTGTCAATGACAGATGGACAATTTCTAATTTTCGAAAAATCAAAAATCAGCTTTTCATCTCGTAAATTTAATAAATTTTTTATCCATTCACACACTAGCTCAATGGCCAGTTGCACAATTTATCTCCAATATGATCATGATGATGATTCCATTTGATTTATAAATATAAATGACCATAGGTCATTGCTATGATTTTTTTTTGTTTGCTTGTTTTTTTTTTGTTATCAAACGAATGAAAAAAAACAAGAAGCAAAAAAAAAAAAAATTAAAATTTCATTATCAAACATGTGCTGCTGCTGATGACAGATGGTGATTATGTAATCGTTCAGTTTCTATTTTTGTTTTGTTTTTGCTTTGTGGCAATACAACAGTAGTGGTAGTTTAGTGGTAGTAGGGTAGAATTTTTTTTTCTCATCGATTAATTCTAATGATGATAATCAACATGAATAAAAGTAAATCAATCGATAACGAATAAAATAAAAACAATTGATTTGATTTTGACAGTGATCACATGATCATCAAATTGGACAAAAATGAAAATTCATCTATTCAGTCTACAATCGATAATTTATCATTTGGAATGAAAACAAAAAACAACAGCAACATTTCAAGATTGATTGATTGATCGATATAGATTAAGTCATCATCATCATGTGGTTAAGCTATAAAGAATTCTAAACACACACACATACACAATGACAATGGACAATGGCTATCGATAATGAGATTGTCAACAATAAAAAATAAATTGTCCTACTGCGTGTGTGTGTGTGTGTGTGTGTGATACACACTTGTTGATGATTTATATATTTCATCCATACGAAAATAAAAATAAAAAAATCAATCGATCGTCTACTCAGTTGGAGACATTGAAATTCAAAAAACAAAAAAATGATAACAATGTGTGTGACCGACCGGATATTTTGTGTGTGTGTGTGTGTGGACAACATTCTTGTTTTTTTCCATTTCATTTTGATTGATGATTGATTGATTTCTTTCCCTATTTTCTTTTACATTGGATTATTTGTTTTGTTTTTTCTTTTGCCCCCTCCCGACGACACACCGACACACACAATGAAATTACCGATTGAATGAATTACGGGATTTTTCTTTCTGCTGTTTCAATTCGGTTTTTGATTGTTTGTTCTCATCATTCTCTCTTTTTTTTTGCAACCAAACAAACAAATAAACATCATGTTTTTTTTGTTCTTTCATTTTGAATGAAAAAAAAAACACACACACAGACATGCATACACAATCGAATTGTATAACGAGCGTGTGAATACAATAAAACTGAAAACCGATTAACAATCGATTTTGGAAACACTTGAATATATAAAGTAAAGATTGATGTGTCAAGTGTGAAAGTGTCAAAAAGCAGGACAAACATCACCACTCAATCATCAATTTGTTTGGTATTTGGATCATCATCAGCATCATAAAATCTGAAGACCTGAAACTGATTTCCGTTTGGTCAAGTAAATGTTTAAAAACAATACGATAACAAAACAGAAAACGAATATATGTAAACCCAAGCATAGCCATTTTATGGATGATTTGTGTGACTGTGCGTGAGTGTAAATCTTTTACTTGTATGACTTGATGATTGTTATTTAATAATCATCATCATCATTGAAAGACCCGATATATATAAAATATAATTCCGTTATTCATGAGAAAGAAATGAAATGAAATGAAAAAAATCGGTCAACAAGTTATATATCGAATGAATGAATGAATGAATGTTTGATGAAGCATGGAAATGAACAAACAAGAGAAGACGATGAACTCGTGAACAATATGAGAATAATATCAAGCTGTGAGATGTTCAAATGGAAAAACAAAACAAAAAACAACGCAACAAGTGGTTAATGTTTTTTTTTGTTGTTGTTGTTGTTGTTGCTGCTGGTGGTGGTGGTGGTGGATTATGATTCATTTCATTCATTCAACAAATCGGGAATTTCAACGAGAAAAAAAATCCATATTTGTATTCGAGTGTAATAATACCCGTTTATGGCGATGATGATGATGATGAAAAGCAGAAATAAAAATTCAATTATCTAACCACGAAAATCATTGCAGAAAAAAAACAATGGCCATAAATGAAGCGAAAAAAATAATAATAGAAAAAGCGGTAAATATAACCTTTTTTTTTTGATTGATTGTGTGAGTGTGGTAAATAACTGACCACATTGAGAGAAAATAAAATGCAAAATAATTAATAAATTAGTAGTGTTTCTGATTGATCAATTAGTGATTGGTCAATTTTTTTTCTTTTAAATTCCAAGATGACTGGCCAGAAAAAAACGAGTCAATGGCTAATGACCACACATGCAATTATGTTGAATCTATTTTTAACACACAAAATGTCTCTGATTATTATCATGGCAATGTTCCGGTCATCATCATCATCATCATCAAAAAAAATGGTGATGAGCAAGAAGAAACATTCAGATAGATAGTGAGATTTATGGCATGGCCAAAAATTTTCTTATTCATTTTTGTTGTTCATGCGAATCTTCACATCTTTTGATGATGAAATCCAAAAAGATGGAGGCAACAAAAAAAAAAAATTTTTTTTTATTCGTCGTCATAATGATGCTCAATCATTATCTTGGGATTATTATGAAAATAAACGACCCGAAAAAAAAGCAGAAAAAAAAAAAGAATTGACCATTCACTGGACAATAGTCAAACAAGGAGAAAAAATTTTTTTTTTTTTCGTCGACAATGATGGCTCACCACCAATCACAACAACAACAACAACAACAACAACAACAAAACATAAAAATAACCCGTTAATCAGAATGATGAAAACGTTTGAAATCGACAACAACAAAACAACAACAACAACAACAACAACAACAACAAAAAAGAAATTTAAAATCATCATTGAAAAAAAAGAAGAAAAATCCTCATTCTTATTTTCATCATCATCATCGATTTGATTATCGAATTTTTTTTTATTTTTTTTTTTGAATGAAAAACAAAAAAATTTCCATATCGATTGGAAATGACGTAGAAATTTTTTTTTTTTGTTTTGTTTCTCCACTTTAATGACGATGACCCAATGACAATGGAAATATGTTGAAATTATGATGACGATGATGATAGTGATGTAACAAAAACGCTAAATCAAATAATAAAATTATGTTTATTTACTACAAATAGTCATTCTCCTCACTTGTGTGTTTCGATGTTTGTGTCTTGTCCTCATTATTAGGATGTGCAGTTGACATTTTTTTTCTTTTCTTTATTGTAACAATTTCTAGCTACTGTGTACTGTGTGTGTGTGTGTGTCTGACGGTAAATTGTCACGAGAAAAAAAATTTTTTTTGTTAAAAATAGCATCGTTGTTGTGGACATACACAAACAAAATGATAAGACTTTGTTTTTCATTTTGTTGTACTGGTGGACAATGGCAAATGATAATAAAATGTTTCTAATAATCATTCGTTCGTTTGCTGTTGTATGCAAAAAAATAGAGGATATTGGAAAATTTCCGGTTTTTTTGCGTTTTTATCTTGTCTGAAAAGTTGAACAAAATTGAAATTTTTTTTTTTTTTGGTTCTGAGAATTCAAAATTTAGTGCAAAATGAAAAAATTCGTTCAATCAATCGATGATTATTTTTATTTTTGTTTGTCAAATCAAATCACACACACACACAAACCAATAAAAATATGTACAGTATAAAAAAAATTGAACCAGAAATAAACTTTCAGACTAATGAACCGAAACTGATGATTATTATCATCATTTTTTGTTGTTGTTGTTGTTTATTAATCACACACACACACAAACAAACAATTAACCTGTTTACCAATCAACCGCCAAAACAAATTACAAATCAAGTATGACTAATGATTCTATAGTGATTTTTTTTCTGGATTTTTTTTTGTTCGAGATAAAATGAAGAAACAAAAAAAAAAAAAAAATTTTTTTTTTGGGTACTCACAAAATAATACGTCGATTTACTATAAGAATGTGCCAGACCATGATGATGTAATACATGAATGAATTCCGGTAGACAACGAAACGTGCCTATAATACTGAATATTGCCAGACCAAAATTCCAAACGATTAATATGGGTTTCATTTGAAATGGTTGCCGATGTTCCATCCATTTTCGTAACAATAAAATGGCCACAATATAAACAATGGACAGATAAAATGAATAATACCAATGTGATAGATTACGATGAATGAAATCGGCATTTTCGCGTAAAAATTCTTCAATAAAAAATGAATTTGCCACTCCAGGAAATTTTGTTAGATTCAATTCAAATTCATGATGTTTACCAGGTACGTAAACATGAAAATAATGATAACGAATATCACGATAATTGGTAAAGTTGAACATTTTGTTTTTTTTTTATTGTTACTTGTTGCATAAACCGGAGAATATTCAATTGAAATTGGTGGGCGTATTTTTGGGCGTATGAGTGTGAGTATGTAAGTATGTGTGTGTGTGTGTGTGTGTGTGTGTGTGTGGGTGGATTTAATTGGGTGAGAAACTTGAGAATTTTTTGTTGTTGTTGTTGTTGTTGATGATTTGCTGGGATTTTCGTTGTTATCGTTGCTGTTGTCGATGTCGTAGATGATGATGATGGTGCGTTCGTTTTATGGTCAACAGAAAAAAAAATACAAAAAACAAAAAAGCAACAGTAACGATGGCAAATGAGATTTGAAGAAAAAAAAATCAATCCAAATTTCTCTCACTCGAAACACACACACACTTTCTCTTTACACTTTTTTTTGTTTGGGCTTAACTCTTAAATGCCTTTAAGCTAGGCAAAGAAGGACTAGTTTCTTTGATGTTCAAAAATCAAAAAAAAAATAAAAATATGATTTACAGTACGAATCTCCTTCTTTTTTTTCATACAGTACAGCACTCGAAAGAGAGAGAGAGAGAGAGAGAGAGAGAAAACACTTATCAATTTGAATTCAAATATGAATCGAAAAGATGTGAAATTAGAATTGTCGATCAAACGAATGGTTGGAAAAAAAAATGTTCTGATCATCATCATTTATATATATCTGGTCTGGATTCACGTTTTATTCACAAAAAACGCAGACCCATCCTTTCAGTCATAAATGTGTGTGTGTGTGTGTGTGTATGCGCTTAATACAGTTAATTTTGATTATCTTTTTTTTCAATGTTCATAACAACAACAACAACAACAACATGGTGGATTCATGTTGATGATGATGATGATGATTGTTGTTTGTTTGTTTGTTTGTTTCTTCAAGCAAAAGCGGTAAAGGTGGTGCTTATGGTGGAAGAGGATGATAATGACGATAATAATAAGGTTTCAACAACAACAACAACAAAAAAAAAATCCTCATCCTCCTACCTCTCTCTCTCTCTTTTTTTCTCGTTTTTTGCCAGTGGGTATGTTACTCTTGCTTTTTTTCACCATTTTTTGTGGTTTTTTTTCAAAATAGAATATTATCGTACGTACATGATAATGATGATACTATCGATCGATCGATCGATTGATTGATTCGTGTGATTGAATCAATCGAAATATTACATTATCGTAATCATTTGTCAATGAAGAAATAATTTCTTAACAAGATATGTAATCAAGAAAAAGAACGACGATGAAGATGAAGATGAAGAAGAAGAAGATGAAGAAAAAAAACCTGAAACAATGAGGATTTTCCATATGTTTCATAGTTCACATTGGCAAAATTTGTGAAATTTTTATTTGTTTTTACATACAACAGACCACAAATGTCATTGTCTTTCAGTAATCACTTGAATCATTTTCTTATGAAATCATTGGCGTTTTTGTTTTTTCAAAAAAAAAATTTCTAAAATTCAAAGCAAACTCCAAACAAATTTTTTTTGTTGTTGTTGTTGTAATTCTTGCAAATTTCAATTTAAAAAAATAAAATTCCACAAAAATTTCATTTCAGGAAAATGATGAACGTATGTGAAACGGAATTTTTTTTTTCATTTTCTTGTAAAAATCAATCAATTTGCGTCAATTTTTTACGTTTATTTTTTTTATGGTGGTGGTGGTGGAAACGAAATAAATTAAACAAAAAAAAAAAAAAATGTATTGACCACAACAGAAAAAAAAAAAAAAAAAAGAAAAAAAAAACAGAAACAGAAACAGAAACAAGTGTTAGAGAAAACGATAGACGATGTCTCATGTTTGAACTATGTCTTCTAACATCTTTGATTGAACCTTAATCATTTTAGATTGAACATGCTTATAAAAGCAGATGCACACAGTGACACATACACTCTGACAATCGTTACACACACTTTCTTGGCTACACATTATTATTATGATATTTACATTGTTTCTTTTATCCACATCCATCTTTTCTTGTTCTGTTCAATAAACTAAATTCTCAAACAACAAGCTAGCTACTTCAATTTTTTTTTTAACAAATACGCCAGGATGTACATTCAAAATTGACATTGAATGTATGATCAGTGACGTCAAGAATCGGAATTGAAAAAAAAACAGATGAATCAAATAGAATAATCAATTATTCATGTGATAATTTTTTTTTTAAATTTCCATTTTCCAGTTTAAAAAAAAATTCATTCATTTAATTGTCATCATCAGCATCCGTGAACGTAGATAAACGTTTTTTTTTCTCTCGTTGGAAAGAACAAAAATTTGAATTTTCAAAACAAAAAAAAAATATATATATCAACTAGCGACATCTACCAATGGAAATTATAATAAAATGATGATGATAAAATGAAAAAATGTCATATGTTTTATTTTTCGGTCTGTGATTCTGATTGATTTTGTCGAATTGTCGAATCAAAAATTGAAATAAAAATATTATTGATTGATTGATGACGAAAAACCGAGGTAGGTTTTTTTTTGTTACCAAGAAAATTCTAAATTCTTAAATTACCCCCCCCTATTACAGATAGATAATTTCGAATAGATTTATTCCATTTTCAAAAAAAAATAAAAAAGAAAATCCACAATGGCAAATTTGGCACCAATATTTGCAATGATAATAGTGATCATATCGATGGCATTATTTCATTCTGTACATAAAATTGATGAAGGACATTCAGGTGTCTATTATCGTGGTGGTGCCTTATTGACACAGATATCTAGTCCTGGTTTTCATCTAATGATACCACTCATTACGACATATCGTTCCATTCAGGTGACATTACAAACAGATGAAGTGAAAAATGTTCCATGCGGTACTTCTGGTGGTGTTATGATTTATTTTGACCGTATCGAAGTGGTGAATATATTGCATCCATCCGCTGTTTATGATATTGTTCGGAATTATACAGCCGATTATGATAAAGCATTGATATTTAATAAAATTCATCATGAACTGAATCAATTTTGTTCAAGTCATTCATTACAAGAAGTTTATATTGATCTTTTTGATCAAATTGATGAAAATTTACGGACGGCCATTCAGAAAGATTTGAATGAATTCGCACCTGGTCTTACCGTACAAGCGGTACGTGTTACGAAGCCAAAAATACCCGAAGCAATACGGAAAAATTATGAAATAATGGAAGCAGAAAAAACTAAACTTATGATATCGATACATCGACAAAAAGTTATTGAAAAAGATGCCGAAACTGAACGTAAAAAAGCGATTATTGAAGCAGAAAAAAACAGTCAAGTTGCACAAATTATCAATGAACAAAAAGTGAATGAAAAAGAATCGATGAAAAAAATGTCCATAATCGAAGATGAAATGCAATTTAATCGTCAAAAAATGCATGCTGAAGCAGAATTTCTAACGAAAGCAAAACTTGCAGAAGCCAATGCTTTGTTATTAACGCCTGAATATTTAGAATTAAAACGTTATGAATCTATTGCTGCCAATGCAAAAATGTATTTCGGTTCAAATATTCCACAAATGTTTGTTGCTGAACAATCGGCTCAATCCAATCATCAATCATCATCATCATCGATTACAGCCACGGATAATCCAGCCACAATGATGATGAATATGACAACGTCGTCGAAAAAATCGTCCATCGCCTAAAAGCAAAAAAAAAAAATCTACAAATTTCCATTGTCATTTTTTTCTTTTTCTTTTTCCTCACCCAGCAATAAAAATAAAAGAAAAGCTAAATTTTTATTTGACCGGAAAAAATTAAAATTTCATCGATGAAAAACAAATTCGCCTATTAACACACGATAGGTTAATCAACTTGATTTTTCTTTTTTCACCAATACCCGTCTGTGTTCCCCGGTTTTTCGAGAAATATAGCGGCACAGTTCGAAGTTAGTTTACAAACTGAAAGTAAAATTATTATTATGTTATTTTCTGTGCTTCCCAAACCAGGGGTGGAATTTTGAGTACCCGATAAAATTGATTCAAAATGGACATGCGCAAAAACAGTTAATATGCAATGAGCCAGCAAAAAAAAAAAATCAAATTCAGACGACGGTTTGTAATTTCTATAAAGTCCATCAAAGTTTTATTAAATTTCGTGTTCGGGTGTTGCCCAATTGTTGACGATTTCATTTTTATTACCACCGATCAATAATCGATTGATTGACAACAAACATCCACATCAATAAAAAACAATCGAACGATTTTTTTTTTGTATAAAAACATCGATTATCGAAATACGACGATTAATTCAACAACAAAAAAGCAACGAATAAAACGCTACGAAAATGAGTAGTTGTCATGATTTTGATGAATTTCCATTTCAAGCTTTGCTGCCGAAACGTGAAACACAAGCATCTTCATTTTTAGCTAAATATCCATCATTCGATGGCCGTGGTGTACGTATTGCTATATTTGATTCTGGTGTTGATCCTGGTGCATGTGGTCTATCGGTTACAAGTGATGGTCAACCGAAAATCGTTGATATGATGGATGCCACAGGTGCTGGTGATGTTGATACATCTACGATAGTTGAACCAGACGCTGATGGTTATATCGTTGGTTTAACGAAACGTAAACTAAAGGTTTGTTTTGGTTTTGGTATAGTGACCAAAAATAGAAAAGCCTAACCATCTACTTTTTTTTGTTCTGCAGATTCCAGATGATTGGAAAAATCCAACAGGCAAATATCATATTGGTGTGAAAAATATTTATGAATTATTTCCATCAACATTACTAGCGCGTGTGAAAAAAGATTATCTGGAAAAAGAATTCCTGCCCAAACATAAACCATTTTTGGCTGATGCTTTAAAACGTTACGAAACATTTCGTTTGAAACATCCAGATGATGAAAATATCGAAAATCAACAAGAAAGAATCAATGTTATGTTGGAACGTGAAGAATTAAAATCACAGATTGATTTATTGAAAGATGCACAAGCGAAAATTTCTGATCTTGGGCCAACATTCGATTGCATTGTGTTTCATGATGGTGAATATTGGAAAGCCTGTATCGATACAACTGGTGAAGGTCGACTAGATGAATGTACCATTTTAGGTAATTATCGTCAGTGTCTTAGATATGGAACAATTTCAGATCGTGATAAATTCAATTATGGCGTTAATATTTATGATGATGGAAATCTTTTGGAAATTGTTGGACAATGTTCAAATCATGGTACACATGTTGCATCGATTGCTGCAGCAAATTTTCCAAATGATCCAGATAGAAATGGCATTGCACCTGGTGCACAGATTGTATCCATTGTTATTGGTGATAGACGTATTGAAACTATGGAAACAGGATCGGCTATTATTCGTGCATTTATAAAAGCTATTGAATCTGGTTGTGACGTGATCAATATGAGTTATGGTGAATCTGGCCATTGGGCTGATGGTCGTTTATCAAATCTGGTAAATGAATTAATCAATAAACACGGACTTATTTATGTGGTGGCGGCTGGAAATTCTGGTCCAGCTCTTACAACGATAGGAGCATTGAATGCCATGCAACCAGATAAAATAATCAGTGTTGGTGCATATGTTACACCGGATATGATGTTGGCTGAATATTCGATGCTTGAAAAATTGCCAGGATCCGCGTATTCATGGACATCACGTGGTCCAGCCTGTAATGGTGCTCTTGGTGTTTCGGTATGTGGCCCCGGTGGTGCCATTACATCTGTAGCAAATTGGGCACTCAAAAGTGGCGCTCTAATGAATGGAACATCGATGGCTTCGCCTAATGTTTGCGGTTGTGTAGCACTGTTGTTGTCAGCCGTGAAACAACGGTCCATCCCATACACACCGTATTCCATAAAGATGAGTTTGGAGAATACTGCATTGAAAGTACCAAATTTCGAACCAATATCACATGGAAATGGAATGGTTCAGGTGGAAAAGGCTTTTGAACATTTATCCACTTTTGATCGTCAACTTGGTGAACGTAATATGCATTTTCGAATTACATGCAGTGGCAGTGGTCAATCAAATAATGAAATGGGAATTTATCTTCGAGAATTGGAACAAACACGAAAACCATCCATGCATACGGTGACAGTTACACCGGAATTGTTTAAAGATAAAAATCAAGATGATAAAATCAATTTTGAAATGAATTTCAATCTAACCTGTTCGGAAACATGGGTAAAATGTCCCAAATATTTGAATCTTACTTATACGGCTCGATCATTTCAAGTTCGTATTGATCCAAGCTCATTGGTCGATGGCACTTTCAATCAAACATGGATCGAAGCCTATGATGTACGATGTTGTGAAAAAGGACCATCGTTTAAAATTCTTGTCACTGTCATCAAACCATTGGTCATGTGAGTAAACTGAAAAAAAAAATTCCGATTTTTTTCCGATTAATAATTTTCAATATTCTTATCCATTTAGTGAAAATGATCGATATAAATTTACGGAAATTTTTCGTGCCGGTCATATTAAACGAGTTTATGTAGCGGTACCGGAGAATACAACATCAGCTCGTATTATGATACGTAATAATCATTCTACAGAAACTGGAAAATATGTTATTCACACAGGACAATTACCGACACAAAAGCGTTTTAGTGATCATGAATTTCAAAAATTTTTTCCCATTCCACCAGCTTCAGATATACGTTATAATTTTGATGTCATCGGTTCGCTGACAATGGAAATTTGTTTTGGTAAATGGTGGTCATGTTCAGTGGATACTGAGACTACTGTTGAATTGGAATTTGATCGTATCAATTTAGTTAGCACATCGAATCATTGTGGTATTGTTGCCAGTAATTGTATCACACGTATTGATGTGCGAAATTATGGACAACAAGTCGTGAAGATAAATCCATCATTGAAATTTAAAAAATTTTATCATTCAATCAAACCAATGGATTCCAAGATTCGACCACTTGGTTTTCGTGATGTATGGCCTGAAGGAAAAATTATTTATGAAATAATTTTAACTTATTCACTTAAATTGGTAAGTATTGATTTGAATATTGATGATAAAATTTAATTTAATTCTTTTTAACCAAAAAAACCAGTTGAAAAGTAGTGAATTTCGGATATCATTTCCATTGTTATCGGATTGCTTGTATGAATCTCCATATGAATCACAATTATGGATGTTATTCGATATGAATAAACAGCATTTAGCAACAGGTGATGCTTATCCATCAAAGGTTTTTTTTTTTGATTTTTGACGATTTTTGTTTCAAATTTTAAGTAATCCATGTATTTTCATTTTTTCCCACTAAAATGATCATCAATTTATTAGTATAACGTTAAATTGGAAAAAGGTGAATACAAAATATTGCTACAGATACGACATGAGTCTATCAAACAATTGGAACATTTGCAAGAATTACCATTGCAAATCATTCATCAATTACGTGATGCAATAACATTGCCAATATATTCATCACATTATCAAGCCATTATTGGTAATGAAAGTAAAAAAGCAACATCGATTTCATTGCCACCAAATATAACTGTACCGTTATTTATATCGAACATTTCAAATGGGTCATGTATAATTGGATCGAAACAGATTCCAGTGAAATTTCCGGGAATATTTTGTAGTAATATTACACTTTCCAACAATGATCAACAAGGAAAACATTCGACAAATTTTCCTATTGAATTAATGATTGATTGTGATGGATCATCATCGTCTGTAGCGGCAAATAAAAATAAATCTTCAGCTTCATCATCAACTACAACAACAACAACAGCTGCAGCTACTGCGGTAGCATCACCGTCTTCAACGGACTCAACAAACGATTCAAAATCATCTCCCCTCGCTACCACAGCCAAAGCTGATAAAGATTTAAATGAAATAAGAATCGGTCTCATTGCGAAATTGGATAAAAATTTACAAGGAAAATATCTAGAAATTCTTGAAGCCGACCCAGCCGTTGCAGTGGATTCACGATTTTTATTGGCCAAATTACAAGCTCGTTATCAGGAACCGATCAAAAATCCACATTCAACAGCCAGTTGTGATGCTGAAACCATTGATAAAGCCAAAGAAGATGGTGGTGATGATTGGCAATATTACAAAGAAAAAGAACTGCAAGAACAAATTGAAATGGCGAATAAAATTCTCGAGCCAATGATTCAAGATTTTCTTCAAACTTATACTACTCTCAAATTGGATACAAAACGAATTCTTGTTTCACAATCAAAGGCCAAAGAGTAAGTTTTTGGTTTATTTTGCAGAATTTGAATTTACAAAAAAAAAAATTTTTGTTTCAATGTTTTAGAATCGAAAATAATAAATCGATAGTTTTGAACACTTTGGTCATAAAAGGTGTACAATTATGTCGATTGATTAAACATCGCCGTGCTCATTGTCCGGACGTTGAGATTGCAAATTTATATGAAAATATTGAAGATGTTTATGGAAAATTATCATTACTTGTTGATAATATTTATAGTGATTCGAAAACTTTACCATTTGCTGAAAAACATTTACTTCTCAATGGTCATTATGCACGTTTCATAAAGATTATGCTCAAAAAACAGGATGAATCATCCGCAACCACGGCATCAACTTTGGTACCAAATGAAAATGGCTGTGAAAGCACTAGTGATGGAGATCCATTCTGTTCAAATAAAATGGACAATGAACATCGTATAATACATGCACTCAAACAGCTTGGCTGGCAACATCTAGCCAATCATTTGGAACGGCAAATTCATGTAAAATTTCCTAATGATTATCGAAAATTCTAAATTCAATCATCATTTGAATAATGATTTTGTTCATTTTAATTTTGTATCTGTGTGTGTGTGTGTGTGTGTGTGTGTGTGGATCTTTTTTTTATAATTATTAAACGCCTTGTTTTTTACATAATGAAATAATAAAATGAAAAATAAAATTTAATTTGAATTTATGAGAAAAGATTACAAATTTTGAATTTATTTAGAATCAAAAATAAGCAATGATGATGACCTGTGGACAGGATTTTGAAATTTTTTGAATGTCCATTATGTAAAATAGTCATCATGATTAACGTGATTGATTTGCTTTGCCTAAATCGACCAATGTATGATATGTAGAATGATTTGCTGATTTAAGATTCTGTTCTAAACGATTGATCCATAAATCAAGCTGATTACAACATTCACGTGCTTCATTAAACAGATCCGATGATATAACCGGCGTTGATTGTATGACCATACGATTAATTTTTTCATACAATTTCTGTGCACGTACCATTTCTTGTCTGGTCCAATCTTTACATGGTTCAAGATCATCCGTTGGTAATCGTCGAGCTTGTTTGATTAGCTGTTGAAGATCACGTTCAACGATATTCACTGTTGATGTAGTGGACATTTTATTTTCTTGGGTAAAAAAAAAATTTTTTAGTCGAATCCAAAAATTGGAAATTTCCAACTGTGGAATGTAAACTCGAAAATCGAACGTTTTTAAATTGAATTTATTTATGTTGTTGTTGTTGTTGTTGTTGCTGTCTTGGTCATCGACTATCGATTATCATCACAACGATCGATATTTGTATACAACGAAAAAAAAAAATAATTGATAATGTTCATCATCACTTAGTCATCGCTGTCTCTCTTTCGAGATTGTTTTCTTGTTGTATTTTATTTTCTTTTGATTAGATTTTTTTTCAATCTTCCAATATAATCGATAATCGATAATCATATCGTCAACAGTTGGACAATACATTAATGATGACTCATCGATCTCATAATCATCTCCTTTGTTGAGATTTGAAAAGAAAAATTTTCCAAAAAGTTAATTTTCTTTTTTTTTACAAAATTTGATTCGATTATAGAATTTTTCCACTTTCCATTCTCTTTCTTTCTCAAACAATTTTCATTTATCAATTTAAAATGTTCACAATCAATATGGCCATTATGATTGTGTGATCGAATCAATCATTGAAAAATCAATTAAATCGGTGGATAATGTTCATTTCAACCATTTTAGTATCATCAATGATAATGATCATTTCGATTGTTGTCATCATTATTTGTTTACGTTTTCGACGCAATAAATCATATGGTGCTGCCAATGCCACTGGTAAAAATAAACGACGACGTCCAACAACACTGCAACGTGGTGTTGTTGTTGTTGAAAAGAAAAGTTCTGATAAAAGAAGAATGAAAAAATCAACAATTCTTCAAAAAGATTCTACGACGGCATCAACAATTGTTTCCGGTATTAAATCAATACGATCAACAGGTGCCACAGCAGCTGCTACTACTACTACTACTTCTACGATGAAATCTTCGTTTGTTCCCCACTTGTTGCATTACCACCAACGCCAGTATCATCACCATCACCGCAATCACCACAGCCGCCGATTGGTAAATCACCATCACCAGCAAATCTGATATCACCACAAAAATCATCATCATCAACATCGATCGGTTCACTGGTTGATGGTGGTCGATCCAATAGTGTTGTTAAAGATTTAAGTCTATCATTTCTATTCAATCCAGAACGTATACCAGCGGAAAAATTTCAATTTAAAGCCACACAAATGGTGTTGAAACAACAACAACAACAACAGCAGCAAACGAAACAATTTGATCAACAACAAAAAACAGCAGCAAAAACAATGGCAACAACAAAGATTAATCAGGATAAAAATATTTTAAATAAAAATGAAAACAAGATACAATCACCATCTTCGACAACAAATAAACAAAATCAGCCAAAATAAATAAAGTTTAATTTAATTTATTGTGTTGGAATAGTTTTAAATTTTGCAATCGATTTTGATTGATTGATTTTTTTATAAACATATGACACCAAAATACATTATAATCACCCCTGGGTGGGTGTATATAGTGTGGATTATCATCATTGATCAAAATAGTTGTGTTGATGATGGCCAAACACAGTATCGGATGATGATTGGAATTATTTTGAAAGAAATTCCATTCGTCGTTGTTTGTTTTTGTGTACGTTCGTACATTGCCCGATTTTTTTTTGTTGTATAGATTCTTTGTCCTAAATTAATCCAATTATGTTGATGTTTCTATTTTTACCATCCGTTGTTGTCGTCATCACCGTTGTCGTCGTCGTCGTTGTTTTTTCTCTTGTAATCCACTTCTAAGAGAGAGGTATATTCCCGGATATCTGCAATGATGATGATGATGATGATGGTATGTGTGTGTGTGTGTGGATTACAAGAGAAAAAAAAGTATTTTCTTTTTTTAGCCGATCGATGGTAGAAAATAAAATGAAGAGGAGGAGAGAACAGAGCAATTGATTGAAAATGAAAATTGATTTCAATCATAACTAACGAAATGATGAAATGATGATCGTGTTTTACTATCAACCACCACCACTTTCGATATTCTGAAAAAAAATCAGAATCTGGAGAATGTGTTTAATCAATAAATGAAAAATCTTTTTTTTTCATCTTCAGAATAATTCACCCATGTGCCAGGCAGGCACAGGCATTTCAACAACCGAAAAAAATTGAAATTACCAGAAAATTTTCATTACAAACAAAGATTGCCAGATGTGATTGAAAAAATATTGAAAATTTCCCAAATATTGTTTCAAAATGTGAATGCAATCAATATTCATCGTGAATCGAAACAAAACTAATCAATCGATCATTTACCAATCGATAACAAAAGAATAAGAAACTTTGTCAAAAAAAAAAAAAAAAAAATTATTCATTTCCCGAATCTGTTAAAATAGTGGGTAGGTGTAATTTGACTTCGAAAATATCTCTGCTTCGGCTTGTTGCTGTTGCTGATATCAATTCATCATTATCATCATAATCAAATATAATAATCATCATCATCGACATGATTTTGAGATTTTGATAATAAAAAAGAAATTATCTTTCGTTGTTGTTGTTGTGTGTTTGTGCATGTAATTACAGTGAAACAAGAAACAAGAAGAGAAAAAAAATGAATCAAACGAGTCATCACATCAAACAAGTGCAAACAAAAAAAAAAAATTGAGAGTCAATCGAATGCCGGCCGCAATTTTTATGTTATATGTCAAATTTTGTTAATTGTTTTATTGATTGATTGATTGATTTCGATTACTACGCACACAAGACAACAATCAACAACAACAACAACAACACACACACACGTGTTCAACGTGATCAAACAACAGCAAAAAAAACAGGTGAAACAATAATGATCATCATCATCAGCATTTGATTCACATTGATTTTTTTTCAGTTTTTCAGCAACAAATTAATCGATTGAAATGTGATTCATCATTGATCATCTTTGACGATCATCATCATGAATGTGACAACATCCGCATTCTCATCATCATCGTCATCATCATCATCGATGATGATGACAATTATCAAAATCAATGATCCATCCAATAATCATCAATGGAATTATCGATTAGATTTATTATCATTTATAATCAACATTATCATCGTAATTATACCGGCACTTTATTGGTTATTATCGAATGGTTATCGAAAATTATCAGGATTAAAATTTACGAAAAATTTTCAAATGAAAATGACGAATAATTCAAACAATTCGAACACGACAAATGATTTGCACATTCATTATTATAATAATTCTGATTATTATGAAACAATAAATTCCGATTCTGAAATTCAAATACAGATTGATGGACCATCAACACCCACCACTACGACATTGAATCAACCATTGAATTCGAATGAATTTGATTATCCGCAGCAGCAGCAGCAACTATTTCAACCTGATCAAGAACCATTTATTGGAATGATAAAAAATGAGAATGATGATACAGAAACCACCAAGATGACAAAAAAAGATTGTCCAAGAATATTATTCTGGGAAGAAATCGTGACACAATTATCATATCTATTATTGATAATCATCTATCTTGGCCAACTTATTGAATTACTTATATTGGATATCGCTATTGTTCGGATCGATGATGATGATGAAGAAAAATCGATGATTTTTATCGACAATTTACAATTAATCAATATCATTCTCACCATCATTATACATCTATTATTTTATGGTTTAATCTATGGAAAATATTTTCTATTCAATTCAGTCATTGATCGTTTATTGCAAATATTACAATGGATTGATTCGAAACATCATCATCGACAATTGAAACAGGTTGTTGTCCAGCTAAATCATGAATTGGATTTCATCATTTTACACGCGATTGCATTTGGTTATTTTTTTCTAAACCTTTTTATAAATATCTCCAAAATTGTCATTTTAATATTATTCATAGCCAGTGATCAAGATGACGTTCGATTATTCGAATTAATACGTCCATATTTTCTCATCACAATCATCATTTTGCAGTTTTATTTTACTTCTAAACATTTACTTGAATTGGTCATTTTTGCCATTCGAATTTGTTATAAACGTGATTTGTTTTCAATGAAAATGAATAAACTACCAACGCGATCGAACAAGTCAACAACGACAACAAACGATTCGTTTATTCGTTATCGTCGTAATCATACAACATTTTTATCGAAATTAACATTTTCATGGTTCATACCGATTCTTAAAATTGGTTATCGAAAAAATCTTTGTATCGCCGATCTTGGCACGTTAACCTATGAGGAACGTTGCACAACACAAACGGAACGTTTTTTGCGAAATTTTCATAAAATTGATGTAAGTATTCAATAGATTAATAGACGAAATTATCGATTTTTTTTCTATGCAGAAAGAAAAACATCGATCATCATTATTACTACGTGTTTGTTGGCAAACATATAAAAAATCATTAATATTTGGTGCAATTATTAAAATTCTTGCCGATCTTTCAAGTTTAATTGGTCCAATATCAATTGGCTATATTTTGGATGATATAACGCGTGTTCAACAAGCAAATTACACAACAACAGCATCGATAGATGAATGGCGTGCCATTTTCATTCAAAATGGCGATGAAGATAATGGCAATCTTCCAATTTTAGAATTTCTACGTGCACGAACATTCATGACCAATGCCTATGTACTCACGGTGATTGTATTGCTTGCAACATTTCTTCAATCAACATTATCGAATAATTTTAATCATTTGGTTATTAGTGAAGCGATCCGATTGAAAAGTGCACTTAGTGTAAGTGATTTTTTGATTGATTGTAAGTTTTTGATTCATTAACATTCTTTTTTTTTAATTTTCAGTGTTGTATCTATCAGAAAGCATTACATATGCCAGTAAATAATAATAATGGTGGTGTCGATGTTTCCGGCACAATATCCAATCATATTACATTGGATATGTCGAATATTTTTCAATTTTTCACAATGATGCATTATCTTTGGGCTGTGCCGATAAAAATCATTATATTACTCATCCTGTTATATCGACAAATGGGCATTAGTGCTATTTGTGGTTCAACAATATTTTTCGTCTTTTCACCATTTCAGTATTATTGTTCAAGGCAAATTTCAAAAATTCAAAAATTACAATTGGTTTGTTTTACAATTATTTTCGATTGTGAACATTGTAATGAATTCACTTTTTTTCAATTCTGTAACAGAACATATCGGATAAACGTGTTAGTAAAACCAACGAATTATTCATGGGTATTAAGCTGTTAAAATTAATGGGCTGGGAATTATCTTTCGCTGAATATGTTAAAAAATTTCGCCGTATCGAATTGCATTACCTGAAACGTGATGCTATTTTCGTTGCCATTAATAGTAACTATGCGTTAATTTCTTTTAGTCAAATTTGAAATTAATTTTTTCTTCCCGATACCATTTTCTCTTGTAGCATTCATCACACAAGCATCAGCAATATTGGTGACAATGGTAACATTTACATTATACCCATATTTAGAAGATAAACCATTGAAAGCATCCACTGTATTTACATCGATTGCATTATTCAATCAAATAACCGTACCATTATATATTGTACCACTGGTTATACCAATGTTAATTAGTGCAATTGTTAGTAATCGACGTTTATCCGCATATTTTACTAGTCGTGAAATTCAATCCGATAAAAGGATTCAATGGAAAAAGGAACCAATTCGTCGTGTTGATTTAGATCAACCTAATTCAGCGCCAATTTTAGAATCTGAATCAATCAGTAATGAGAAATCTTCACTAAATCATCATCGTACATTGGATCGTTGTTTATCCGTTGCCGTAGCAAGTCGTCCATTATCAATGCATCAGCATCAACAACATTATTTTGATCATTTTTGTTGCTATATTAAAAGTATGTGACAAGTGATGAGCTTGTTGAGATGAGAATTTTATTCTTTTTTTTTGCTTTCAGATGGAAAATTCACTTGGCATGATGATGAAGCCGTCATTCAAGCCAATTCCATAAATCGTGATAACATTGAATGTACATTATCCGATGTAAATGTTCGTTTTCCACGTGGTCGTTTAACCATTTTGGTTGGATCAATTGGTAGTGGAAAATCCACTTTATTAGCTAGTTTGATTGGTGAAACCTATATGGTTGATGGCGAAATACATTGGCTCGAAGAGAATCGTATCAATTTTGGTTATGTACCATCAATGGCATGGATTTTAAATGTATCATTACAAGATAACATTACATTTGGACGTGAATTTGATCCAAAACGTTATGATGAAGTTGTTCGTGCTTGTTGTTTAAAAGCCGATATTGATCTATTACCACAACGTGATCAAACCATTATTGGTGAACGTGGCATAACATTGTCCGGCGGTCAACGACAACGTATTGCATTGGCACGTGCCATTTATTCATCGGCACCTACATTGATTCTTGATGATGCTTTATCGGCATTAGATCCAATTGTTGGTTATTCAGTTTTTGAAAATGCTATAATCGTGAGTATTTTTTTTTGTTTTGATTGTAAAATTTTCAACGAAATTTTATTCTATTTTCATACACTAGAAATTAGCGATAAAACATCAAAAACGTACAGTAATCTTGGCTACACATCGACAAGAATTTCTTTCACGTACCGATTATGTTGTCGTAATGGAATCTGGTACCGTACGAAATCAAGGTAGATTGGAACAGGTGGAAAAAGAAAATAAACCATTTTTCTATCATCGTAATGTTGTGAAAGAAAAAGAAACACTTGAACGTCTGCAACAAAAACCGGATACATGTCGTACGACGAAAGAACGTCAGAAATTAACACGTTATTTTTCCAAAAAAGGTGAATTTCGTAATCGTGAACGTATAAAATGTAAAAGTCGTCCACATAAACCATTATTAAGGTTAGTTTTGAATTTTGTTTTTTCAATTTTCTAATGTTTTAAACGTTGTTTTTTTTCGTTTTGTTTAGACAAGCAAGCTGTGGTATAGCACCAACATTACCATTACATGATTTGGAAATGGAATTAGATATTTCGAGTGATGTTGATGGTATAATAGATGAAAATTTAACAACAACCACAGCAGCCACTGCAGCACCACCTGTAATTAATTTAAGAAAAAATCAATTAAATCGTTTAGCATCAGATGAATCCTATCATTCAACATCAATTTATTTATCATTTAATAATGAAAACACGATTTATAACGATGATCATCCACAAAGATCTAATCATCCAATTCCATTGCAAAGACTTGTATCAAGTATATCGAATTATTCCACTATCACCACCGCCACCACGCCTGGAATTGAAGAATCATCATTACAACAACCATTATATTGTGATTCTCATCGATATCTAAGTGCTGATTCTACTACAATTATTGATGATCATACTACTGTTGTTTTGCAAAATGGTTGCGATTATTACCACAATAATTCGGACATTGAACGCGATGATGATGATGATGATGATGTATTTGTTGAAGATGAAACAAGCTGTATAACTGAAGAATTACGGCAAGAAATTACTAGTTTTAAAACAAATCAATTATGTGATGATAATTGTACAAATATGGTTTGCAATCGATTAAATGATGATCCAAGAAAAAATCAAATTTCCAGTGACATTTTCCTCGCATATCTTAAAGTACATTCTTATTCATGTGTTACCGTTGTATTTATATTGGTTATTATGAATCAAACATTACGTGTTATAGCAGATTTTTGGCTTGCAAATTGGGCTAATAATGATGAACATCATCATGATCATCATCATCAATCCAACAACAATGGTGTTGGCCATTACATTAAATCATATGTAATATTGTCAATCGTATCGGTGATTATATCGTTGGCTACAAATCTTTATGCCCAATTGATAACGATAAAAGCAGTAAGACAATTACATGATAATCTTCTTGATACAATGGTACGTTGTCCATTACGTTTTTTTGACCGTACACCCATTGGACGGATTATTAATCGTTTTACAACGGATTTAAATGTTATCGATAAGGTATGTCTTTGATATCAGTAATAATCGTTTATTGATTTTGTTTTTTGAATTTTTTTTAATGAACAGAAACTTCCAATTGCCATACCTGTATTGTTGAGATTTTTCTTTCTATGTGCATCGGCCATCATTGTCGATGTGATAATTTGTCCATATTTTTCCATTGCAATCTTACCGATACTTGTGTTGTATTATTATCTGCAGAAAATCTTTCGTTGTACATCAAGACAATTACAACGTTTGGAATCATCATCAAAATCACCAATTATATCACATTTTAATCAAACTATTGATGGCCTGACAACCATTCGTGCATTTCGTGAACAGCGAATGTTTTCTGATCGATTTCATCAATATCTTGATATGAATAATCTTTGTTTTTTGATGGTTAATTCAGCAAATTGTTTTCTGGGAATCTTGTTGGATTATTTTGGTGGCATCATCCTGTTCATTGCGATGATGATATCAATTACGGCTGCATTTTATTGGAATGTTCAATCAGCATATGTTGGTCTGGCAATGACATATACCTTATTGGTACCTGTTTATTTGAATTGGCTGGTACGAAATTTGGCCCAGGTTGAAATGAATATGCATTCCGTTGAGCGTATACATTCATATATAGGATTGGAAAGAGAAAAAAGTTGTACAAATTCTCGACAAGAATTTGAAGGTATGAATTGATTAATTGTCTGTCTGATTGATTGATTGATTTTCATCAAAAATTTATTTAGCAATGTCGAAAAATTGGCCCAAAAATGGTGAAATTGAATTTCGAAATGTAACCATACGTTATGGCGCAAATCTTAAACCAATCATTCATGATGCCTGTTTGCATATTCGATCTGGTGAAAAGGTTTGTTTTTGGGAAATTTTTTTCTTCATGAATTGATTTTTGTCATTTTATGTAGATTGGAATATGTGGCCGTACTGGAAGTGGGAAATCCTCACTGATTGGTGCCATGTTTCGTATCAATGAAATATGTAGTGGACAAATTTTTGTCGATAATATTGATATAACACATCTTTGCCCATACCGATTACGAAAACGATTAGCAATTATACCACAAGATTTAGTTATATTTACTGGTTCGATTCGTGATAATCTAGACCCAGATCGTGAACATTCTGATGAAGAATTGTGGAAAATTCTTCATGATTTTCGCTTGGATAAAACAATTACATCATTAGATGAAGAATTTAATGATGAACAAACAGTAAAACAACGATTTTCATCCGGTGAACGGCAATTACTTTGTTGTGCGCGTGCATTCCTGGTGGATACACCAATTCTCTTGATGGATGAATCAACATCGATGTTGGATATGAAAAGTGAACGATTAGTTTTCGATCAAATATTCAATAGTTCACGAACAATCTTGGCGATTGCACATCATGTTCAACAAATTGTCCATTTCGATCGAATAGCCGTGGTTAATGATGGACGAATCATTGAATTTGATTCACCAAATCGATTATTGAACGATTCGAAATCAATGTTTTATACTTTATATCATAAAATTCGTGAATACAAATAATGACTGGCTGGATCAATCAAAAAAAATTTTATTTAAAAAATTTAACTTTTTAAAATGTCAAATATACAATAAACAACTGAAAACAAACGAAATAAAAATGAATGAATATATGTCATATTGATTTGTCGAAATGGTTTATCAATATCATCATGATCATCAACCACAACATGGATCACCAAAATCAGCACTACCAGAATTTGTTTCAAATGTTGATAATGGAGCAAAGACAAAATTACCAATTATTGCACCAATAACAATGGCAAAAATCAGATAAAGTTGATATGTCATTGCAATCAACATTAAACAATACGACAATAGATATTGTACGCCATGCAATATGGATTGTAATATATGATACATGTTTGTGTATTTGTTTCTAAATGAGAAAAAATGAGAAGAATTTATTCAATTCAATTCAATTTACACACATACCCGGAATCAAAATTTGAAATTTGTTGTTGAATTTTTGCACGTAAAACTTTAAATGATTCATAGAAAATCGTAAATAATACGGTGGCCAAACATGCCCATGCCATTTCTTTGGTGTTTTGTTGTTTTGGTTGAAAAAAGTGAAATTTTTTTTTAAATTTGTAAAAATTTGGATTGTTGAATCTATGCATACCTTTACCGTCTTGTGGTTTCCATGATTTAAACAGGATATAATCACCACCAATTTCTGTATGAAAATACATCATCATACCATGGTGTGATGAACCATTTTTCATGTCCATTTCCATTGTTACCAAACTATGACAAGAATCAATTTTAATGATAAATTTAATCGATGATTGATTGGAAGGAAAATCTTTTTATTTGAAAACTATGATTCAAGAATCAATTTTAATGATAAATGTGAACTCGAACACGAATGTTTTCAAAAGAACAATTTATGAAAAATGAAAACATCAAAAGAATTGATTAATACGTGTGTGTGTGTGTGTGTATGATGTGATTATGATGATGATTTCATTAAGCCGTCAATTTGAGCCATCGTTTTTACTGATTCATAGATAACGATTTTTCACTAAATTATGCTGCATGAAATTATATTGAAATCATGATGATTCTTTCTCATGTTCAATTTCGAAAAATCAACATGTATATTGCAATCATTCATTACAATTCGAAACAATTACCATATCGTCGGCTTGTTGGGATAAAGAAAATCGGCCATTGAAAAAATCAAATCCAAAATAAATCACGAATGATCCAGTTTAATTCATCATCATCATCATCAAAACATCAATTGATCCAAAAAAAAAATTTGTTGTTTATAATCTTATCATCATTATCATCAGAAATGTGACAAAAATAGGGTTAATAATCAGATAGAAAAAAACGAATGGAATGATGGATTATCCACTTGATTCAATGTCAATTTTAAATTTTTTGTTCTTTTTCGTCGATTTTAGCAATTTCTTTGATTCAATTTCAAGAAAAAAAAACTGACTTTTGTTTTTTGTTTTTCGTCGTCGTCGTCGTTGTCGTCGCTATCAATCAGATGATGAAGATAATTAACGACACGGTGATGGCAATTTAATTTGAGTTTTTTTGTAATGTGTGTGTGTGTGTGTGTTGTATAATTATTTGTGAAAAAAAAACACAAAATTGAGAATACCGATGTGGTTAAGAATTAATAAAAATCATCATCACCATCACTTTTTATTATAAAATCGATATATAAAAGTCTTATTTACTGTGTGTGTGTGTGTGTGTATGAGTGTGATTATGATGATGAAATTATACGGAAAAAAATCGAAAATAAAAAATAAATCACTCATCATCATCATCATCAAAACATCATCAGAAAATTTGTTGTTTATAATCTTATCATCATTATCACATGTCAATTTTTTTGTTCTTTTTCTCGGATGATGCATAAAGATGATAATGATGAGCTATATTGATAATGAATTTAGATTTTGAACAAACAAGGATGATGTATTGATGATGCTAAAATTGGAATGGAAAAGAAAAGAAATTTTTTTTTCTCCCTTGTACGAATAATACGTTCATATTATATATTTATTTATTATCAGCCAAAACTGATGATGATTGCCAATTGATGTCATGATTGATGTAATGATGCGGTGTTTTTGTTTTTGTTTTGTTTTTTTCCCCATATTTTTTTTTGTCCGGTTTCCTAGCATTTTTTCTATTGTCCAAAATTAAAATCACCTATTTTCATTGACAACGACACGTAAAATGTGGATATAACGCACATGTGTACGTAGGGATTTAGTGAAAACCAAAACCAATCAAAAAAAACTTGAAAAAAAATTTTTGGGGGTTTGAAAGGAATTTTTTAATGTGGAATTTGTAATTCAGGGCGTCGTTTTTGGCATTGTTTTACAGTGGGAAAAAAATTCAATCGCTGCCAACATTTCATTAATTCATTATCTCTTTTTTTTTAATCTGATCGATTGATATTCAATCAACAACAAATTTTTTTCTCTCTTTTTTTTTGTTTTTCATGATCGTTAATTATATAATCATCATCTTCTCATAGCTAGAATGAACACACTTGGTGGCCTATTTTTTGTGTTTGTTTCATTCATCCGATATGCATAAAAATTTTTGAAAAAAGAGATTTTTTTTCATTCTCTTTTTAAAAAAACAAACAAACACACACACACATGCCAGTGTGATTGACATTCATATATTCATTCAAAATTCACCGCATTTAATGATGACGATGATGATGGCTCTTTTCTGTTTTGATAAAAAATACATTTTTTTCGCAATAAAAAAAATAAAATAAACTCCATGAGAGAGAGAGAGAGAGAGAAACACGACGATGAAATCCGTTGAAATGAATGATGATGATGATTATTATTGCCGGGCAGGACCTTTTTTTCATGTTACATTCAACAAGCATACACACACACATACAAACGAAATTTGTTTGTTGGTGTTTTGTTTTGACATACAATTGCCACGACCAACTAACGACCATAATCGATCAATCGATTGTAATATATCCACAGTGTTTAATAATCAAATTATTATTATAGATTTGACAATTCAAACAATGACAACAACCAGTTGTTTTTTTTTCTAACATTGGAATGTTTTTTTCAATCGACGTGCCATCGTTAAGATTTTTTTTTTGCCATTTGTGTGTGTGTTTGTTTTTGTCAAAAATTTTAAAATTTCCACAATTAATCAGCAAAGTGATGGAAGAATAACAAAACAAAACAAAAATCAACCATCAACCAAGTGGACAAGTGTATGTTGCCCAGATGTTGTCAATTTTAAATTTAATTTTGACCAAAAAAAAAAAAAATAAAACAGGATCCAATTTCACCAAATGCTGGAATCGTCTTTCAAAATAACATACAAACAAAATACAGGTAAGCTAATAAAATACCGGCACCGATCGATTTCATTTCGATTTGTTTGTTTGATTGATTGATTGATTTGTTTTTCTACTAATAACAAAAGCAGACAAGTAAAAATACACATTGAAGAAATAAAATCAAAATATACATCTGCGTGGTTTGAACAACATAAAAGTTCAAATGTAGGACAAAAACAAAACATGAAATGAATTTCAATTTTTGAACATTTTTTTCTATATATAATGATTAAATCAATGAAATTGAACAATATTTTGGATTGCCAATGATCAAGGAAAAAAAATGAAGATGAAATTGTCTACATTTTTCAACAACAACAACAACAAAAAATTTCAAAATTCAAAATTTCAAAATTGTCATTTCCAATAATTTGCATTTTTTTTCTTTTCTTTTCTTTTCATTTATTTATTTAGTGAGTCCTCTCTCTCTCTTTATCATTATCATTCAATTAAAACTCCACCACACACACACACACACACACAATCAACAATGATGATAATCATAGCCAAATATATAATTTTCATTGAAGATAAAAAGATGAAAACTCGATGCATTTATCTATCATTTCGATCATCATTTATTATTTATTGATCAACAACAAATACAAACAACGACTTTTTTTTATACGCTAATCTTTCAATGATTTTTTTATATATCTAACTATATCTGAAAATGATAATATGACACGTTAATCGTTTGTTTTTAGTACGTATACGTGTGTGTGTGTGTTTTGTTGGATTTGTAGTGTTTCTGTTTTCTAAGTAGTGAATAATCTCATATTCAAAAAAGAAATTTGAGGTTTTCTTGTGGCATTTTTTTGTCTGTGTTCCAAGTGAATTTTTTTTCAAATTCAACAATACAACCAAATAATCAAAAAATGGGCTGGTTCAAATGGTTTGGTCGCCAAAGTGTTAAGAAGAAAAAATCAAACTCAACTCATAATCATAAACAACAACGTCCGAATAATGATGATGGAAAATCAAAAAATCTCATAATGATAAAAATGGATTTCATCAGCAAAATAAACAGAATCAAGAAATGATTCGATCGAAAAGTTGGAGTATTAAATCAACGTATAATGATGGGCAACAGGTGGCGGCAACGACAACAGGTGCCACCACTAATCCGTGTAAGAATCAATCATCAAAGGGAACAAATGGAACGAATCAATCCAATCGGCCATCACCACCACCGCAACATCAACAACAACAACAATCACCAAGTCTTGTTGCAAATCTAGAAGCTTCACTTATTATCGATCCATTGAATCAAAATCGATCAATACAACAACCTGTGGTTAGTCATTGTGAAACTAAAACAACAACAAAATCAGTTGCAGCAGCCGATCAGGTTACAGAAATTAAAAAATCCATTTTAAAGAATCCATCGGAATCGCATTCACAAACAACAGAAGCAATGAACACAAAACATACTAATTCACCACTTGTTTTTAGTCAACAACAACAACAACGACCACAACCGATAGATCAAAATGGAAACAACCCATATTTAGATCATGATCCAAAACGATCATCAATAAAGTTTAATCAAAATTCCATTAAACAACAACAACAACAACAATTTCAAAAGCCAAAAATGGTTGTAGAAAGTTTCGATGATGATCAGCAAATAGAACAACAAAATGAAGAAAGTGATGATGATGAACTACAACAACAAACAAACAGAATCACCACCAAACCACCAATTGATAATGATAAAAAGAAATCAAATCATTGGTTACGAACCAAAAGTTTAAAAACCATACAGTTGGAACCACCGACGAAACGTAATAATTTGAAGGCATCGACAACAACAACGGCAAGTGCAAAAAGTTTACAACGTATTGGATCAATTGGTAGTCGATTATTATCATCATCACCAGTGAAAAGGAAAATTGATAATCGTACAATTATCACGGCCAATGCTGATGATGATGATCAATTTGTTGAAGATATCGGTGATGATGAAGAGAATGATAAACCAACAAATTGCCATTATACAGAAATGTATCGTCGACTCACTAGTATCGATAATATCGATTCAATGGTTTGTTTGAAAAATTGTCATCCAAAAATAATTAAAAAACGTTCAACAAATGATGAAACATTATTTGTTACAAAAAAATGTATCGATTGTAATGCATCTGGTTCAATATTGATAATGGAATCATTTAATGATCGATTATTACGAAATTTGATTGATTATTATCGAAAAAATTATCATGAACGGCTGGAAAAGATTGCCATTCATTTGGATGGTACAAATACCGTAAAAGATTCATTACGATCGTTCGAATTATTTAGCGAACAATTTGGCGAATCATTACGATCATTTCGATTGTTGACAAATCATCTGGATCTTTCTATGGCATTTGTATTCAATAATACAATTACTGGTGAGTTTCATTTGCATTTTCATTCATTATTTTTGGTAATTGGATTCGGTTTTCGGTTTTTTTGCAGCCACTTTTTTACAAATGTTTTATTTACATAGTGATTATTATGAAAATCTAGTCGAATTTGAAGTATTACTTACTGATCAAGCTAATCTACGATTTTTCAATTTATTCTGGAATGCTTTTGCCGAAAGAATCATGCGATTAACAATCAAAATTCGTCATGATATGCGTAGTTTTAATGAATTTGCAATTGAAATTATCGATACGTTAATGCCACCAGAACGATTGAATGAACGTCGTGAACAACTTCGTGCGTTACGTTTGGAATTGATACCAATATCAAATCAGGCAATTACAAATGATAAAATTGATTTAACCACGGTTTTGGATTCAATGGGAAAATTATCACGGGAATTTCGTACAGTCATCACCGATGTTAGTCTTGTGGTTGACATAAATTATGTCCATCATGATCGTTTGAAACTAATGCAATGTTTGGCTACATTTAATCTGGCCGATACATACCATCTGACGATTCACAGCAATCCAAATCGGCCAAATTCATCGAATCTATCGAAAATGAATCTGAATTTTGATGTGTTTGCATCACTTAAAAATCTTCGTCATCTTAGTATTGATTACGTTGGGCTAACTAATGATGATATTGATCGATTATCACGTTATTGTCCAAATCTACAATCACTAAGTTTATCTTGTGATAATCGTGTTGATAAAATTGCTGTGAATTCAATTGGAAAATATTTAAATCGTCTGCGTGTATTATCAATTGGACCGGCATTCAGTTATCAACAAAATCGTAATGGTCTTTATATTGATAATGAATCATTGATACAGCTATTTAATCAGATAATAATGGGTTCAAGTGTAGAACTTTCATCGTATGGATTTTCCTCGTTACGTATCATACGACTGGCTAATTGTCGTATTCGAATTGATCCAAATAATAATGATGATGTTACATTTGAACATCATAATTATAATCATCATCATCAAGGATCATCGGCAACAACACGTGATCTGATTAGCCATCTTCGTAATGTAGCCACAACTCTAAGATCGGATGAAAATTTTACATTGATATTGGAAAATAATCGTTTTCGATTACCGGTGGAAAAATCTTTTAATAGAGATTATGATATACCGGAAAATGTACGTGTTCATTGGATTTATCGTCCGATAAGACGTGAAACATCACTTTGAACAGAGAACCGACCAACTAAACAAACAAAAAATGAGCTTATTTATTATATCGTGGCATTGTTAACCACCGAAATTTGATTTTCTATTCATCTCGAAATTATCTATATTTAGTGTTTTTTTCTGTTTTTAATTTTTCTAACCCTTTTTTAATAATGTTAAATCAATTTTTATTAATAATAATAATAATAATAATTACTATATCAATCAATCAATTAATCGATAAAAAAAATGAATAAATGTCATGTTTTGATTTTTTTTTTGCAAATTTTTAAACTGATGAATCGTCCATTATATAACCGGTTTCAAGTTGAATTTTTTCATCATATATTCGATAATAGATTAACCAATGGATTAAAAAATGATGCTGGTAATGAATGTTTTTTACTCGATTTTTTTGCCGGTGGTATTGTCACTTTATCGCATTTATCATTATCGCCACTATATTCACCACATGCAGCATTGATTGCATTATCAAAGAATGTACGTATATAATTTATATTTGCATCAATACGTTCCGCTGTACAGACATTCGAATGTTTTGCTGCTTGTGTACGGACACAATTATAGATTGCAAAATATCCACTAAAGAAAAAATACAAAATAAAATGATTCAAAATAAAGAACGAAAATCCATAAATAAAATACTAACCAACAAGATTGAATCAAACGATCTTTGCCATGTGGTAAGGTTTTTGCATATAAAAGACGTTCAATATATTCGATACTGCATTTATTATAATCATTTGTTGCCGCATTGGCACAAACGGCTGAATCTACTAATTCCGATGAACGTTTTGAATTTGGCCGTTTACAATAAGTACTTGTTACTTGTTTAATCGAATAAATGATCACGGATACAATACTTTTAGCTTGATTTTTCAAACATTGTGTTTTATAACTTTCTAATTTTCCAACAAGACGAACTTGTTCTCTGTTGCCAGTTGAATGAAAAGATTTTTTAAATTTTATATCGACAATAATTTGATGGATTTACTTACTTGCAATATTCTTTAAGTTTTGCTTTATCCGCTGGAAATGGTCGATCTGTACCAAATGTCATGATACGTGCTACGATTTGATCCATTTCTTTTTCTGTTTTACTATTACATTTCAATTTTTGTGCATCAATCGTTGCTGATAATGTAATAATAACCACTAGGATGATGAGATTTATGGAAATGGACATTGATGATCGATACATTTTGGCCAGATCAATTGATTGGAACAATAATAATAATAATAATACAAAAAATGAGTAACACTAGCAGCAGCAATATATAAAAAAAAACCACACACAAAGATGAACAATGAAATTTTTCTTTTCTTCTTCTTCTTTAAATCAATAACAAAATGACAATTGGTGATGATTTATTTCCTGAATAAAATAAAATTTAAAAAAAAATAGTACAAACAAATGTGTGTGTGTGTATGTATGTGTGTTTGTGCGTGTAACGAATGAAAAATCAAATTGAATTGAATGAAATTTTTATATATACCACGATGTGTGTGTGTGTGTGTATCGATATTTTTTTTTTTGGTCACTTGCTGCTTCATCAATCAATTCAATTCAATTTGTTTTTCTTTACTTTCAACATTCACTTGAAATGAAACAAGAAACACAGTGAATTCGTAAAAGGAATGTGAATGTGTGTGTTTGTGTGTTTACTGAAGAAGAAGAAAAAAATGAAGGAGTTTTTTTTCTATTGAACGAAAAGTATCTTCACGTAGATGATGATGATGATGATGATGATATAAGTGGAAGTCTTTTTTTTCAAAAAAAATAAATGTTCCAATCATTCATTCGAAAGTGTTGTTGTTGTTGTCGTTGTTGTTGTTGTTGTTGAATGGATGTTTGTTGAAAAAAGTCACGTCTTCATTGATGACTATGACGATGATTTTGTTGTTGATGATGATGATGATGATGATGACAAAGTCTTATCTTGAATCTATTTTTTTTTTGTTCTGTTGTTGTCCAAAGATGAATAAATAAATTCTTATTTTGTACGTGTGTGTTTGCAACAACAAAATATGAATGTCATACCTTGTCAATATATTCAAACAAGATGGAATTTTTCTTTTTTTTTTTTTTTTTGAAGAGGATAATGATGCAATTTGATTTTTTGAATTTTGTCGGCATAAACAAACAAACAAACAAAAAAATACAGAACTTTTGTACGTATCAAGGTGACAAATAATAATAATAATGATGATGATGATGATGATACACAAGCCACAATTTTTTTTTCTCTTTCTTGTTTTCCTGAAAACAAAAAATCTCTCGCGTTGTGATGTAATAATTTGTTTTCAATAAAAACAAAAAAAAAAAAAAAAAAATTTTCTTCATTTCTTTGTTGAAGAAAATATTTCTTTTCTGTTATGGCCTATTCAAAAAAATTCGAAATGTAAAAAGTCATTCATAAATGATGTAACACTGTTGTCAGATGAGTGAAAAAAATTGAAGAGACCAAAATTGAATTAAAAAAAAAAAAGATTTGATTCAAATCTGGACAACCAACCCATTATACTGGCAAAACACAAAATTGCTTTTCGACCTTGTGTACCATCGAAACAAAAATTGGCAATTATCAAAAATGCTGATGATGCAACAGGTTTTTTTCTCTCTCTCTCTCTCTCTATCAGTCTCTTTCAATTTTTCACCAGGATTTCTGGTGATCATCATCATAATAATAATTTGAATTATCCTTAAAACTTCCATAAGTGATGACAACTATAAAAGATTTATGCTGTGTTGTTTTTCATGAATTCCATTAATTAATCCTAAAGATGAACAGATGTCTTAAAGAAAGACAGAAAGAAAGAGAAAAAAAAAATTCCAATTCAATGTCAATGTCACATGATGATGATCACATTTTTGTTTGTTTGTCGATGTGAGATTATAAAGATTCAATGACGATAATGACGACGACAATGACGATTGATGAATAAATGGACGGTTGTCAGAAAATGTTTTTTTTCTTTTCATCTCATTATCATGGAATCGTGAAAAAAAATTAGAAAAATTTTCTTTTTTCTTCAAAGAATTCGCTTTAATGTTGTTGCTGATGCTTTTTTTCTTTCTTTTTTTTTTGTGTGTGTGCGTGTGTTAGCACTTGCACATTGCCTATCTTGCCAGATAGATTTTTGTTTCATTTTTTTTGTGAAATCATGAATATCATGATGTCATTCTTTTCAGGTGTAATTAATTTATATCTAAAAAAAAATTCCCCAATTTTAATTTAGTATTTCAGTGGAAATATTTTGTGAGGGTTAAATATTCAACAGCCAAAAGTACATTTGGCCAATGAATCAATTAGATTGTTGGCAATTTGTTCTGACCTTCGATGATGATATTTTTGTTACTATGCATCTCATTTGTTTACCATTGGAATTTTGATGATATCGACCGGGGAATCCAAACGAAACTAGGTGGTATACTTGGCTTGTCTTGTCGGTTTCCGATATCCACATTTTCAACCATAGATGGTTGTTGAACTTGTTGTTCATAATTGACCATTATATTTCGTTATAGCTGAACAAGTTTCAATGACAAATACAAATTCTAATCGGCCAAATTCATCATTGATTCGAAAGCATTTGATCATCATCATTCATGTCGCCATCTGCTGAGCTAGTGGAAAAGTATAATTTTTTTAAATTTTTAAAATTCGCGCGCTTCAACTACAATGCAAAAAAAAAATGATCTGCATTTATTTATTTTTTTTCTCATCAGAATAACTTCACAATATTCAAATCAAATTTACATTGATTTTTCCATTTCAATCATTTGTTGTACACCACGTTGCATTTCCATGACGGCATCATATTCGGTGAGACCCAAACGGCGACGATTAGAAATATCATACATTCCTTCATCACTATCGGTATGTTCGCCTTTGGAACCGCGAATCTGTAAATTGAATTTATTTGCTGTCGCTTCAAACAATTGTTTTTGTGCCGATAATTTTGGCAGCTTGATCATAACACTAGCACGAATTGTTGTACCAAGATTCGTTGGACAAAACGTTAGATAACCTAAACGTTGATCACGTACAAATTCTAACCCCGATGATTCCATCATACGTATAGCACGTTGTAGGCGGCCAAATACTTGGCCAACATTTCCACCTTCTTGCATGCTAATGATACGGATATGATCTTCTTCATTGATCCAAACCATAAAAGTACGTGCTTTATTCAGGAATATGCCACGACCTTTTGGCCAAAAACGGCATGCATTAGCTGTCTGTAGGAATCGATCACCTTCTTTAAATAGAAAATGTTGATCAATTAAACGTTTTTGTTCTTCTTTACTCATCGTGGTTAATGGCAAATAAGTGCCTTTTAATTCTTCATCACCAGCGCCACCTTTTAATAAAATTGTACTAATTTTTTGTTCCAATTCTTTATATTGTTTTTCTTTCAAACATGGATTAAATGGAAAACCTTTAACACTACGGCCACAACGTATACGTGTGGAAATGATGAATTTATTTTCTGGATCTAAATCAATAAAATCAGATAATTTACCAAAATCAGATGTTGGATGTTTTTCTGTAGCGCTGAAATTATGATATTCATCAATAATACGATTGAAAAGATCGGAAAAAATTTGATATGCATCTGGATCTGGTGCATAAACACCAATATTACTATCATGATTCATTAGACCTGATCGTATAACATCCATCAATGTGGAGCCCATTTTTGTACGACGATTTATTAATCGTTCAAATAAATCTTTATTCAGATTACGTTTTAACATTGATTTACATTGTGGATCTTGTTGCATTTCATTGAATAATTTTCTCATCACTTTTATCTGGCAATTATTTTGATTTTTCGATGATGAACGAGATTTTTCACAATTGTTTGTTGTGGGCATTTTTTTTTTTTTGTTTGTTTGTTTGTTTTTAATATAAAAAGTTTTTGTCCACACAGAAAAAACAGAAATAAATTCAAATTCACGTGATACAATAACCAAATACATTATGTATACGAAAAAACAAACAATTTTTATATGCAAACAATACGAAATTGGTAATTTAATTCAAACAAATAAAACAATCAATCAATCGATCAATCAATTAAATGAAAATGGTTCGAAATCAATAGAGTATACGTCTTTGTCTCATTTGAGCAACAAAACGTTTTTGTCGATAACTAAATATGAATACAAATAATATGGCAAAAGTGATCGCTGGTACTTCCAATGCCAATAGAAACCAATTTGAAGTCATATTCGGAAATGTTATATGAAATATGGGCAACACATGTGAACAGATTGCGTGTACCAAAATCATTATAGCCGAGAATAGTACCTGAAAAAAAGAAATATCGGGTTAAATTTTTGTTTTATTATACACATAAAGTTGTCATACTGACCATACATGGATTCAAAAAAATTGCACCCAAAATACCGGCCAATGATAATATGGCACAAAATAATGTTAGCACAACCCATACGATCAACGAGATGATATGATGTTGTTTCAATTCAGAATTGGTCACCCGATAATGATGATGGCCGCTTTTAATCAATCGTCCACCTTTCTTTTTATTATGTTGATGATTTTGGTGGTTGTAATCATCGCCATAATCTTCATATGGATCAAAACGTGAATTTCTTGTCGATTCATAGACATTTTCTTCAATTTCATGGCCAAAATGTGTTTCTCTTGCTTCATCAACATCGTCACCGATTGCATCGATAGCACGTATGAAATAAATAGTACTGATTATAAATATAATAGCCAATAAGATGACTAGAATGATACGGATCGCTTGAAATGTAATTTCTAAACGATTCATTGTTATTCGTTGGCCATGATGATGGCCACGATGTTGATGATGATGACCATTTCTAGTTGTTGCCATTGTTTAGTTAACAATTCAATAAAACACTGATTACAATATTCCAGATATTATTCATTTGAATTTTTTCGATCAACAAAACAGCTGATGGACATTATACACGCAATCCCATTGATGACAATAATGAAAATGATCATTCGTTTTTTCTGTGTTTTTTTTTTTTTGTTTGTTTGTTTGTATATGGAAAATCCAAATAAAACTAACCCAACCAACCAACTACACTACACTACTACTTATCCATCGTTTAAAATTAAAAAAAATGATTCAAGGTTATTGTGTGTGTGTGTGTGGTACCATTCAATCGATTGATGATGATGAACAGGTGTGCGTGTGTGTGTGTGCAGGTGGAATTGGTGTTCATCGTTGTATGTGGTGTGAAACATTTAAACAAAATGAATGTCCATTTTTGGTGAAAAAAAAAATTTGAGGCAGCATCCTCACTATAATGAATAAGGTGTATATTTAACATTGAATGTAATGAAATTGAATTGAATAGAAAAAAAGTGAAACCATTACAATATGTGCGCGCGAACATTTTCCATACAGCAACAAAATTGGCCAGATAATTCAATAATAACCACGTATATATTAGCTATACGGTAATCATTTTTGTTGTTGTTTTTTTTCGATGACGAAGTCGATGAACTTTGGTCATTTTGAAAAAAACAAGCGAAAAAAAGTCGTTTCCATGACAATCCAATGAAGATCAGCAAAAAAAAAAAAACGCTGACCAATAGTGGAAAAAAACGAAAACGACAACAAAACAAAAACACCACTCGATCATTTGTTTTTCTTTAAAAATTTTATTTTATGACAAGAAGAAAAAAAATTCAAAACAAAATCCAAAATCCAAAAAAAATGTGCAAAATGAATAATAAAAAGGGTTAAGACCATAACAACAACAACAACAACAGCAGCAATAAAAAAGAAAGGAAAACGAAACCAGATCATCATCAGATTATTAGTAGTAGTAATAATAGTGTTAGACAGAAAAATGGTTGTTTCTTTTTTTTCCATTATCAACGTTGCCAAAGATTCCATTGCATTCATCATCATCATTTTTCATTCGAAATCAAATCAATTTGTTATAAATGGCTGCTATCGTCCTTGAATACAATTATTATTGTTTTTATTAATGATTATTAGTTGATTATTCAATATATCAAATTTAGTTGTTCAAATCAAAAATGACAAAAAATGATTCACCACATTTCAATGGATTTTTTTTCTGTTGTTTTTGTTGTTGTTGTTGTTGTTGTTGGCGTATAGGTTTTTTTTTTTTTTTTGGTTTCAATTTTTGTTTTTCGTTATTGCTGTTGCTATTATCGTTGTTGTCGTTGTCAACATCTCTTTTATTATGCCAATATTTCACATTAAATTGTCAACCAGAACTATGTCCTTGTTTAATCATAAATGCCATTATATAGGCCAAAATGGCCGATCCAACCCATGGTACAATGAAAATCCATCCATGTGGTATTGTAATAAATAATTCAAAAATGATAATAATCGTCTGAAGAATAGCGAATATTAATGTGAAAAGAAAATGTTCACGATATGCGCCCAATAAACCGATAATGACATTTGCACCAACCAACGCTGAACTAATGGCTCCATTCACATTATCACGGCCACGATCTTTATTAGCGATACCAATTATTGATCTTGAAAACAAAATGATCATCATAACAAGAACGATGATCAAAAAAACCAACAAAACAATACGAACAATACCGAATGTATTCATTATCGATTGATTTAATTTGATTGAATATCGAGGATTTCCGAATTATTTTTTTTTTTTTTTTTTTGATTCGATTCACGATAATAACAACACTGATATATACACACACACCTGGCAAATTGACAACAAACTAGTTTTTAGTTAAGTTTAATTTGATGTAACCAACCAAACGTAACTGTAGCTTGAATGATAATGAAGATGAACAGATCCATAACACAACAACAAAATCATAAATGTTTCACATTCATTCATTCATTGAATTTTTTTTCCATTGTGACACACTGAATAATAATGATGATGATGATGATGAAGTTTCACCATGGAAGAAAACATATAAAAATAACGTTTCACAACTAAATTATTAACCACTAGTACAGCAAAAAAATATACAATGTTGTGTTGGTGGTTTTTTTGTTGTTTGTTAACATTCATTTTGCGTTTCCTCCTGCGTATAAATAACATGTTTTTTTGTGTTTGCGTTTGTGTGTGTGTGTGTTTACGGGGGAGAGTAGTGGAGGGAAATTCGAAGCGGAAGTATTTCTATAATTACAACCATCTGTTTTATTGGTAAACAAAAACAAAATTATTTCATAAAAACATAGGAATTTTTTTTGTATTATCTCATTTACTGAATCATCGTTTCTATCGGGAAACATCTTATATTGGCAAATACCGCTGTCATTGAGAATTGAAGAATTCATTCGATGGTCGAATGACCTTCGAAATTTCAAACACACAATTTCAAGCATCATTAAAACACGAAACAAAAAAAAAAAAAACTGTGTGAATGAATTTGCTAAATTTGGCCATAATGATCGTAGTTGATTAATTATTAGAAGAAAAACAAACAAAAAAAAAACATAAAAGAGATTATCAAACGCCATCATCATCATTCTTCATTTCAACACTGTATTCATCTGACATTTGGAATTTTGATTTTTTTCGTTTCGTTTTTGTTTCATAAATCGTCCAAACATGGGCAACATTTTTTTTACAAGTTGATGGACAATTTAATTAACAACAACAACAACAACATGAAAAATCCCTAGATTATTCTGCTTGTTTCTCGTTGTTTTTTTCTACTGATTCTTTGCCAGGATTTTATGATTAGAAATTCAAGATTTTTTTTTTTTTGGCTGTTTCGTTGTTCGTTTGTTGCTTATTTGTGTGTGTGTGTGTGTGCTTGTTGCATCAAGTAATTTTTCAAGATGCTGGGTGTGGTATTTGTGTGTGTGTGTGTGATAAAAATAACTTTGATGTTTTTTGTTGTTGTTGTTGTTGTTGAAAAATAAACGCAGTAGTACGATAATGATTCCATTCTATTCATAAAATGATGGTGCCAACTATGGTTTACTTTACACATAAATTAAACTGATGAATTAAAAAAATTTTTTGCCAGAAAAAAATCAATCAATGGCCAAACATTGTTGTTGTCATTTCCGATACATTTCTGTCTTTCTTATCTACAAAAAAAGAAAAGAAAAATTGATTAATTCAAAATTGATTGATTGGAAAAACAAAGATCATGTAGCATATACACTAACAGAGACATTTATGACATTGCCGTTGTTGTTGTCGTTGCTAATTGATGGCCATCATCAATTAACAGCTAATTAAATTAATTAATCAATCAGAAAAAACTCTTTTTTCTCTCATAATTTTCATAAACATACAAAACATCACGACGACGATAAAATATTGATTTAATTTTCAGCCATCGAATGTATTTTCTACCAAAATCTGCTGAATAGATGATCCATCCGGTGTAAATCATCATCATCATCATCATCATCATGGCTCAACAATCATTTATTGGCGAAATGACCGAAATGATTGATACGAATCCAAAGGCTGTTGTTCCAATATCAATATTAGCAATGCTATTTGGTACAGGTTCATGGATTGCATTAACCGGTTTGTGGTTAGAAATGCCATTATTGTTGCAACAATTACCAGAAGGATGGACACTTGCATCACATTTAAATATGATGATACAATTGGCAAATATCGGTCCATTATTGTATTGGATTATGAAACAAAATCGTTTTGTGAATGACATCTCAGCCACACATATACAAATGTTGATCGGTCTAATTTCCTGTTTGATGTTGATTGGTTTCTGGCAACGAACCATTTGTATTTTCGGCGGTGAACATTCAATATTTTTATTAATTTTTACGTTTGGCTTAGCTCTCGTGGATTGTACATCATCCGTTACATTTTTACCATTTATGGCACGTTTTGATTCCAGTTTTATGACACCATATCTTGTTGGTGAAGGTCTTAGTGGTTTCATTCCAAGCTTGGTTGTTTTAATTCAAGGTGTTGGTCATACAATAGGATCAATGGATGAAGATTCATGTCCAACAATAACAACAACAACAAAATCAGCTGAATTATTGTTAAATTCCCAGGAAATTTCTAGCAATATTTCATCATCCTCAATCCTTGATCCAATTGTATCATCATCATCATCGCTACAATTACCATCGTTGATTGAACCAAGATTTTCTGTGGAAATATTTTTCACATCATTATTCATTACATTAATTATTAGCTATCTGGCTTTTTTATCATTAGAATTCATACCATTTGCACGACATGAACAACGACGTATAAAACGTTTGCATTTGTTTGATAAAACAATTAGTAATAATGATGACAACAATAACATCAATGATGAACGACAACGACAACAAAAGTCAATCAATTTAAATGATGATAATTATGTAGAACTATCGCTCGATGATGATGACGATTGTAATGATGAATCATTGAATAATCATCATCATCATCATAATGAAATGAATTCGAATGGAAAAACATTCGAAATTAATCGTTCGATATATTTCTATCTACTTGGTCTCATGTTTTGGAATAGTTTCACAACATTCGGATTTATGCCACCATTACAGGTTTGAAGATTCATTTATTCATTGATTTTCATTGACAATTCAATTCATCTTTATGTTTATTTTTTTCGTTGCAGCCATTTTCCGCAATGCCATACAGTGCCGATACATTACATTATGTCGTCATTTTAGCATCAATTTCATATCCAGTTGGTTGTTTCTATGGAATGCTCGTCGAACATCGTTCCATACGAATGATTACCATGTTAACAGTGGTGGCAACAATTTTAGCCGTTTATATATTGATATCAGCTTTGATGAGTCCATCACCACCTTTGGTTCATAGTGAACAATGGCATACAATAGCCGCATGGATCATGGTTGCAATTTGGGCCGCATTCATAACAATTGCATCATATGCGAAAACAATGATTACATTGGTGATTTGTGATTATAACCGTATGAACGGTATGTTTTGGGTTGGAATGCAAACACAATTCGGATCGGCAATTGGTGCTTCAATTGCATTTCTGTTGATTAATTATACCCATTGGTTTAATCAATGTTATCAGATTAATTAGATTATTTTCATTTTGTAAATATCTTCATCGAATGATTGATTAATATATTTTTTTTATTGAATAAAAAATTTTTTCATTAACAAGCTATTTGTTCATATTGACTACGCTAGATGGCGCCGGTGTCGTGCTTATTAAATTCTGTTTTTCAATATCGAATGATGTTTTTAATTGTTGTACGAATTTTGATGTAAATTTTAACAGTTGTTTTTCTTGTTGTTGTTGTTGTGGATGATGATGAATTAATTTTCTTTTCATTTGTATTTTCGGTATTTTTATCTTTATTTCAATCTTTTCAGACAACGAACGTGATAATGAACGTTGTGGTAATAATGATGTTGATAATTCTTGTATATCAAATAATGATTTTTCATTTCGTTGTTGTTTATCAATATCATCGATTATAGATGCTAATGATGATTGATGGCTAGATTCAATTAATGATGATGATGATGAATTACTTTTATTATGATGATAATCTGATCCTAATTTCGATGATGGCCACGATGATAATGATAATGATTTTGTTGTTGCTGGTATAGATATTTCATCAACTGTGCCGCCAATCACCCGTTTTGGTGATCGTTTTATTCTTATCGATAAATTCCGTATTGTACGTATTGGCCATAATTGTTCCAGAAAATAATTGAAATCTAGTGTATTTTGACGATCAATGTGAAGTTTACGGGCAAATTGATCAAACCAACTGGTGTTTAATGGCCAGATATTTGTATAATAACCATAACGATACATCAGCAACAAAATGATTACGATCAATGTAAAACCAATAATCAGAAATAAAAATATACCAAATATGGACATGACCACCATCAATCAATCAAATCCATTTGCTATTTTGGAATTATTTGGCCAAAATCATCGAAATTTCAATCGAATCATTCACCATTCTTGTTGAATTGGAAATTTCGAAATTCGATTTTTTTTCGATCTCACAGCAACGCCATCTAACCATGTATGTATCATCATCATATGATTTATTTTTGTTTGAAAATTAGATTTTTTTTTCCATTTTGTACCATAAAACAAAACAAAACAAAAAAAAGAAGACTGTTTAAATAAATGGAAAAAATTTCCGGATAAGATGACGTTATTGGTGATGAAAAAGCAAGAAAAATCTGGAACAAGCAAATCGTAATGGATCAATGAATAAATAATCTTATCAAAATCAATCGATTCGATTTGATTTGATTTGATTTGACCAAAATCCACGCATCATCATATCATGCCAATCAATTTTTTTTCTCTTCACTATAAAAGGCCCAAAAAAATCACATGTTGTTATTGTGCTCTAAAAATAACCAAACAAAATGGAAGAAAAAGATTGGCATGATTAATCAATCGATCGATCACGAGAACCAAAAGTGAATGATAAAAAGAATCATCAAAAAAAAGTCAATGAATTTTTTTTTCTTGAATGAAAAAAAACCAAATCAAATCAAACGATGATGATGATATGTTGTGTTATTATGACCACCAGTGAAATTTGATATCGTTTTTTTCATCATCTCATATATTACATACGTATCATTTTTTTTCGTGTCCAATTTCATCATTTTTATGTTTCGAAAAAATCGGTCAAATTCTTTTTTTTTGAAAAAACAACAGAAAAAAATGAATTCAAAATACTCGTGATTCTCGTGTGTGTGTGTGTTATCTTTGAATGAAATTTTTTTTCTTCTGACAAAAAAGAAATTCCCAATTTTTTTTTGATTCATTCATTGAAAAAAACATCACTCAATCAATCAATCATCATCGAATCAAATCTAATCAAAAAGAAAAGAAAAAATTATCATTTAACCCGGCGAATTTTTATCGTACAAATCTCACTGTTTGAAGAAATTTGTCACAAGTTTTGTATTCATGTACTACCATGTGTGTAGCATATCGTTTTTTTGTTGTTGCTTCTATTGACACAGTCCAATTCCATTCAATTATCATCATTTTTTTTTATTTGAAATTGAAAATACACAAAAACAGACAGACACACATCTACACCTCGCGATCATTGCCATGATCGATGATGATCAATGTGTTGATCAAATTGATGATTGTTGCTACTATATAGTAATAGTAATAATATAATTGAAATGAAATTTGTTGTGAACAAAAACTCAAGAAAAAACAATTTTTATCAACAACAAAAATGTTTGACTTAATCCATGATCTGGACGTTTGTTTTTGGCCATTTTCATCACCTTTTTTCACTATAATTGATCAATTATATAATCGAAAAAAAGTACGATTGATTTCTGATTGATTAATTGATTGATTGATTGATTGTCGATTTTTTTTTGTTGTGCGTGTGTGGTTAACATTTGTTTTTGTGCAAAAAAGTATAAATTTTTTTTTCTCACAATTTTCTCGACCATGATGATGATCCACTTAAATATGGTTACAGATTGATTGATTTTTTGACATTGACAAAAAATTTTGTTTTCTTCAATTACCATCCCATAAACATATAACATATCAATCGTGTTTTTAGACTTGATTTTCTCATCATTTTTATGTCTGTCTCTCTTTGTGTGTGTTTTTAAAAATACGAAAAAATGGTCGACACATTCAAAAGGTATGATGATGATTGAAAATTTATTATTGATTTTAATGAATTTTGTTTTCTAGTTTATTAGGATTTGATACATCCATTTTAACTGCAAATCATGATACAACAACAATAAGGGAACCATTATTAAATGGACAACAGCAACAATCATCATCAAGTTCCTCATTTTATCCAAAAATTCGTAATAATCATAATAATCATGTGAATGATTCTACATCTCAACAACAACAACCATCATCTGCATCATCGTTATCATCATCAACATTATTGACATCATCATCATCGATAAATTCTACATATTTAAATCCAACAGCAACAACAACAAAGATTTCTAACCGATCTAATGGTTCATCGAATCAATCTTATGATTTTATTGATCCCAATAATGGTTCAAGTCGAAATAGTTCTCGCCAAAATAATGGTAATGGTGGTGGTGGTAAAATTACCTGGATAATGGGTGCATTTTTATTGATAAATGCAGCTCTTGGTGCTGGTTTACTTAATTATCCGGTTGCATATGATCGTCTTGGTGGTATTGTTTATGCGACGATCATCCAAATGTTTGCGGCAGTTTTAATGATGACCACTATTCTGATATTGATTTATTGTGCCCAAATCAATAATGAAGATTCTTATCACGGTGTTATGCGTACGATGTGCGGACCGCGAGTGATGCGTATATCCGCCGCATCAATTGCTATAACTTGTTTTGGAATCTGTGTGACATTTGTCATAATTATTGGTGATCAATTTGATCGGATATTTGCAACGTATATTGGACGTGAATTTTGCCGTTATTGGTGGGCAAATCGTTTTTTCACTATGTCCATTACAGCTATCATGGTTACATGGCCAATGTGTTATTTTCGAAGATTAGATTTCCTTCGTCATATCAATGTATTGGGTGTTATAGCTAGTTTTTATATAATATTCTTGAATATTTATTCCTACTATAATCATGAACGTGATCCATTTCATACGTATGAAATACGTACTAGCCCTGAATCGGCATTAGAATTTATTGCTGCATTACCAGTGGTGTTTTTTGCATATCAAACACATGAAATTGTCATTCCTGTTTATGATTCAATGTCCGAGAAAAATATTCAAAATTTCTCCAAATCCATACTGGTATCAATGGCATCGTTACTTGTACTGTATTGTTTAGCTGGTTCATTTGGTTATCTGACATTTGGATCGAATGTTGCACCAGATATAATGTTAATGTATAATGCAAATGATCCAATTGTATTGGCTGGTATTGTAGCATTAATAGTGAAAATGATTACAACATATCCGCCAGTTGTATTCTGTGGTCGTGATACAATTGTTCGTATCGTTTTAAGCCGTTATTATGGACAACAATATCGTTCCGGTTATGAATGTATTTCCAGTGATGATAATGGTGGAATAGAATCACCAGAAAATACATTTGAACGTTATGAACGTCGTTGGAATATAATCATCACTACTATATGGAATGTAGCTGTACTTGTATTGGCTATAGTTATACCAAACATAACGATTGCAATCGGATTTCTTGGATCACTTGCATCATGTAATGTTTTCATATTTCCAGGTATAGCCTTGTTTTCATTAATCAAAAGATATCGAAAATTTGGCCATCAACATCAACAACAGTCTAAATTTATTGATAATACAACATCCGTTCAATTGCCTGTTCAATATGGTGTCGTTGTGGACGACGATGATGATGATGAAATTGATACAATGACCAATCAAACTAGACGATCATCATGGTTCACCAATTGGTTTAATCTACAAAAACAATGGTTACAGAATATCCTTTTAGCATATGCATTATTCATAATTATGATGGGAATCATTATGTTTATTATAATTCTAATACAAGTTTATCATGATTTTCAACAACAATCTGAACATGGTGCTGTTTGTGATTTAGTTTCAATGATTCAAAATAAAAATACAAATAACACAACAGCCACCACCACCAACACCACCACCAGTGCCAGCGTCAGTACAAGCAGCAACAGTTCAAATTATATTTCCTAGTTCCGTTCCGTGTCAACGATACAGATCAAACACATACACATTGGATCTACAAAACACAATAATCTATTTTTTCTTCGCATTAAAAAACAAATGAAAAATTTTTTGTAAATAATTTCTATAGAAATGAAAACGCAAAACAATTAAAAAAATAATTAAATTATATCTATGTATACTTGTGAGTGTGTGTCATTCACCCAAATTTTTTGTGTGTGTGTGTGGAGGGTTTTTTGAGTGCGTGTGACTGTTTTTTTTTAACATTTGAATGCTGAGTGAAATGTCAGTGTTTGATGATGATGATGATAATAATGATATGTTGGCCATTTTTATTCATTCATACATCCATTCGATTCAAAGCCATCATCATTATCCACAATGTTTGCTCGAACAATAATCGTTACATCATTGGGTCTAGTATTGGTGGCCACTTTGGGCCAACATTCAAAATCATCATCTAATCATCATAGTAGTCGATTAAAACGACAACAAAATCGTGAATCAATAATAGCGGTGACAAATCGATCAAAACAAACATCAACAACATCGACAACAACATTATCATCAATTATGGTTGATGCAGCACCAGCTGAAAAATATGTTTGTGATTCATCTGAAGATAAATTAATCACCGATATTTGGACATTAAATAACATCATCTATGTGAATATCGTACATTATAAAGATGATTCAACGAATTCAATTGATAATAGAATATTTGAATTTGATACAACACGTCGTCGTTTCACGAATGTATTTCATTTTCCTACAATGTCACCATTATATACAAATGTTGATGGTGCTGCTGGTGGTTTTGGAAATAGTTTTCTTAAAGGTTTGCCATTTGTTCAGCTAATTAATTAATTGATTGATTGATTGATTGATTTTATGTTTTGTTTTCTTTCCACTGTAGATATAATGGGAAAATCATTGTCAAAATCCAACCAGTTTGGTGGTAATAATACATCATCACAAACACCGTCGATTTTGTATTTTTCCACACGTAATCAACTTCGTTATGGTTGTCAACAAAAATGGCTTTACATACCGCCTACAAGTCAATTTTGTCGTTTTCATCCAATCGTTAATTACTTGTTTCGGGTTGTGGCCATTATTGATCCATCGCCAACACAATCGAATCTTGCATCAAATATTGATGTTTATCGTATGATCAACATACGTTCGGATGATTTTTCAATGTCCATTATACGGCCAGTGTTTAGTTCAGTCCGTAATGATCATAAACGTGATGTATTGGATCAATATATCCAGAATAGTATATTGACATTAAAACTTCATCATCAGAATCAACTTCAATCTTTAGCACCAGAATCATTATTGGATCATCATAATGTACGGTTTTTATTCTCGAATGGTCTTGGATTGTTCATAGCATGGTATCCATCCACAATGGCTACATTTGAATCAGAACTATCAATGAATTGTGCCATAATGATACCGATAAAAAATAAACCATACATCCAACTTTGTACACAACGTTATAATTTTGTTACATTTGTTGAATTGAATGAAACATTGTATGCAGTGGTGGCTGATAATCAAGTAATCAGCATTGAATTGGAATACATTCGAAAACAATATCGTATTATGAATAATTTGGTCATTAATATTGATCAATGGAAAACGGAAAATTTTTTTCAATTATTTTTCCATTGTAAATTTGCACCATCATCAAAACGTTTATCGTTACAATTTTATCGTAAAAATAAAACTGGTATTGAAAGGCAGAATAATAATATGATGATGATGATGATGGTGTTATGACCACCGAAGACAAAGATCAAAAGATAATGGATAAAACTATGGCGGACATTCAACATTTACAATCCAATGTTGATGATGACGAAGATTCAAATGTTCATGATGTTGATGAAGATCCAATACTTGATTATAGACGATGATTTTTTTTGGTTTTATCTACTTATTTATTCTTTTTGAATAAAGAAAATCAGTTTTTTTCAAAATTGACATGAACGTCTAGGTTGTAATTGGCCAGAAATGGTCAAACATTCATTTGTTGATTGTTGTGATTGCAGTGGTGATTGTGGTTGTTGTTGTCGTTGTTGTTGTTGTTGTTGTGGTGGTGGTGGTGAAGAATTGAATGAAAATCTATGTGTGGAATTAGCAGCAGCAGTCATTGTGCTAAAATAATCATAAGGTAGATTTGATCGATTTCTATTACCGATCATCATGTTGTCGTATGGATGATTAGTATTATCAATATAGAATAATGGATAACGCATATAAAGTACACCATAATAAATGGATAAAATTATCGATATCATTAATGATGCATATGTAAATAGATTGGGAACAACTTCAACAATTAATGCTGGTATTGCAACAAGTAGTAAACAATCAACAAATATCGATACAATTAATAATGGCCGTAATTCCATCAAAATGGCAATTATCAATGAGAAATTATTACAAATGGCAAACAGGAATATTAAATCTGATGGTAAATTTACAATATCTTGAATGGTGGATGATACACGGAACAAGAAAATATCCAATAAATAAAGCGCTATACCACCGATTAGCCATATGATCAGTATCCATTTTATCAGCAAATAATTTGATGGTAATTGATGGCCGAAAAATAATCGTTTTTTTCGATGATGATGATGATAATGATGATTATTGAATGGATTTTGGCGATTAATGGTCATAATCGTTGAATCATATGTTGATTGTTCTACAGCAAAATCGTTGTTGGTTTGATCATTTGATTGTATTGAAAATGTACGATCCATCATTATTTGATCGATTCATTCACAGATGATGATGATGATTATGTGAATACTGAAATTTAAATATGAAAAAAAACAGAATTTTTTTTCCACACAGAATAACCAGGCCAGAATAAGAATTTTGTTTGTCTGGTGTTGGCCTGTTTGTTCATTGGATTCTATGTGGTTGATGATGTCAATCGATGTGAATCTGGAACGAATGAAAGAAGTGGAAAAAAAAAAAAAAGTGTTAATGATGATGATGTAAAGCAAACAACAACAAAAAACAAAAACAGTTTACTCTTTTTTTTCACAGAAATCAATCTTTTTTGATACATTTTTTTCATGTTTTCATGCCACCCACAACAGAAGAAGAACAGATCATCATCATCATCATCATCATCGTCATCGTCGTCGTCATAGCTGCCGATTGATGGATTTTCAAAATAAGAGAATTTGAATTACATTTCAAATCAAATTTTTATAAACAAAATGTCAGTGCAGAAAAATAAGAATTGGGTGAAAAACAAAACAAAAAAAAATTTATTCGAATGTGGAATGTTTTTGGTGGATTTTTCGTTGTTGTTGTTGTTGTTGTTGAAAAGCGGCAATTCAAATTCATAATAAAAGCGAAAAATTTTTCGTTATAGAAAATAAGGAAAAAAACCCAATAAATTTCGACAAAAAATTTGTTTTTCCCATTCACCACGACCAGCGTCATTTCAAGATGTTACATTCAACACAACACAAAAAAAATGTCAATGTCAAAATATGAATTCGGGGACAACAATCAACAGAAAATGGAACAATGAATGACACACACACACACACACACAAACACGCCTAAACGATTATATAATGAGAACAAATTGATGATGATGATTAAGCACACAGAAGATGTAATCAACTGTGTGTGTGTGTGTGTGTGTGTGTAACAATAATTTTATTCGATGTACAGCTGTAGAGAAATGACAAAATGAAAAGAAAAAATTTTTTTTTTTTTTTTTCGAACAATAAATTGTAATCTCAAAAAACAGGACAAAATCATCGTCTGTGTTCGTCATTTGGAACAAACATTGTGCTGTCGAATAAACTTTTTTTTCTGATGTTTACATAAACAGGTGTGTTTGTGTTTGTGAAGCTTATCTCTGATATTTCTGATATGGAACACACACACTGGAATCGAGAATCATTAAAAGCTGATTATTTTATTGTTTTCCAGGTTTTCTTGTTTGTTTAACATATGGCGATACAATTTTTTGGCTGGCTTTTGTTTTGATTTCGGTTTATCGGATTTTTGGTTTCATTTCTCGTTATAAAATATATGTGAGAAAACATCTGAAAAAATTACAACAACAACAACAACAACACTTGAAAAAATAGTTTACACTTTGATCACAAAAAACGTTTTACAATGAATGATGAAAATTGTATTACTTGAACTGAAGTGAAATTTTTACTTTTCTCCTTTATTTCATCAGTGATCAATGAACGATGAATCAATGGTTTTTTTTTTTTTTCTCTAATTTCTCTATATAGCCTAGCCTTTCTTGATTGATTTCAAGTGAATCAATCAATAATGAATAATTCATTCAATGACCATCATCAACATCATCATCATCGATTTATGATCGAAATGGGCGATGAAAAAAAAAAATTTAAATTTTCAATTAAGCAATAAATTATTTGAGACATTCTAATTGTTGTCAATTTTTAATGTTTGAAATTTTTATTTATTTCGGTCATCATCCATGTCCATATAATTGTTGTGCGATTTGATTTGAATGTAGGCCAACAATTAATGTAATTCAAGTAATGAAAGGATTACAAACCATATGGGCTTTTTAATCGATTAATTCAAAAATATATTTGCTTTCGTGATCATTATCATTATTATCATCATCATTAAATGAGGCTGAATTTGAAATTAACTTTCTCATTTCTCATTTTATTATTATCGATTACAACATGGCTCCATCTTTTGAATATTTATAATTCAAAAACTTTTTCATTTGCCAAAAAAAACTGACAAAACTAAAAGACATTGACATCAATTCTGTCGTTGTTGTTTGTCACTGGAATCCGAAATGATAATGTTGCCTGTTGGCTTTGTAATCGTTGATCATGAATTCTTCTTTAATTCTTGTAGGCGGAGTTTATCCAATATTCATTCTTTCATGTCTATTTTTGGCCTGAAAATTATTGTTTGTAGATGTGTCAACCATGATGAATTCTTTTCAATTATCATACGAAAGAATATTGTTTGTTTGTTTTTTTTCGTCAGTCGCTTTCACCATATCTTGAAGAATTTGACTTTGAATTCTTTTGCTCACAAACACACACACGCCAGTCTTTAGAAAATTTGTCGATCAATCAATCAATTTGATTCTGGAACGTAAACAACACAATAATCGATAACAATGAATACAAATGGTGATGAACGTTTAGCAAAATTGATGCATGAACGTCGTACTGATCCTGAACGTTTTTTGTTTCAATGTGATAAATGTTATGGACGTTTTGAAACACGTAAATCATTGCAACAACATCAAGATCGTAAATTATTTAAATGTCCATTTAAAGATTGTTGTCGAAAATTCACACATCGTTGGGAATTGGTTACACATCAAAAACAATGTCCAGGACGTGTTCTACAGGGTGATTTTGATAATTATAAAATCTATCAAATGATGTGAGTATTGTGAATGTTATTTTTTCCTGTTCGCCAGATAAAAAAAAATCATTGCTTTTAAAAAAAAAAAATTCATTGCAAAAATTACTTTTTTTCTCTATATGTAATTATCTCAGGCATCGATAATGAAATTTCATTTTTTATTCACTATAAAAAAAATTAGCAACATTCGTCATACGGAAAAGCCGAGAAAATTTAATCTACTCGATCTATGGGTCAAATATCCATATTGGTTTTGATCTGTACATGACTATAGTAATAATTGCTGATGATTTGATGGTGGTGGATACTCTCAAATAAAATTCTGATTTATCATTGTTGTTTTTTTTTGCTGTTTTTGTTGATGAAATTTCTATGTGAAAATAAAAACTAATTGAATTTTTAATTCTATATAAAACCTTTTAAAAATCAAACGATGAACGACTAATTTTTTTTTACAAAACAATCGATAGTGTCATTCATTCATTCATTCATTCATGTGTATATTTAAATTCTTTACATTCTACATGTACACTGACACACACACCTTCTATACTTTTACTGTATTAGTAGTAGTAGCATTTAAATGTGGGAGGCTATCCTTGTTTCATTGACATGCTCAATACGTTTGTTAAAGTGCTCGAATCGAATAACATAAACACTGCAGGGACGATTGAGAGAAACATCATCAACAACAACAACAACAACATATTTGTTATTGAAACAAAATTAATTGAATTTTCATTGATAATTCATGTAAAAAAGAGAAAATGAGAAAAAAGAGAGAAAGTAAGTTTGTTTGATTTGAAATCACCATCATCATCATCAATTAATTTGTACATGTGTATTTGAATATGAAATATTAATAAAAGTTTTAATTCATCAGATACAACCCCTGTATTCAACTCGCAAAAAAAAGTGATAAAATGTCGGTGATCAAATTTGGATTTAATTGATTTCAATGACACACACATGAAAATACTTGTGTGTTCGTCGAATCAAGTCAATTTTTTTTGTCTGTTATTTAGCAATTATAACACAGCAATAACAATTTATTTATCTCCATTATAACAACAATCTAGTCGCATTTTGTTTTGTTTTGTTTAAAAAAAAATTTCAAGACAATAAAAAAACTACGTAAATTACGTTGATTAAATCAGTCACTGCTTCCGATTTCGATATGACAATGCTAACTGATAATTTTTCCAGTTTTTTTTGACAAATTTTTCCTCAAGATTCGATTCGGATTTTTTTTTTTGTTCATCATCATCATCGTTTTGTCTTGTTTTTTGTTTGAAAAAAATTTCCATAATTCAATACTACACAAAGTGATCCAATTTCATCATTGTCAACATTTCGAAAGAACGAAATAAAAATGACGCAAAAAGAAATGTTACCATTATCGTTATATGAAATAGCATTGAATGTATTTTGTGAATCATTGTATAGATGGAGTCAACCTCAACATCATTCATCGATTATCAACAACAATCGTGCCGGTCATCAAAATAATAAATTAAACAACCATTTGAATAATGGCGGTGGAAATAAAAATATCAACAACAACAACAACAACAGTGCCAATAATTTAAGCAATAACAACGAGAATAATAATGATAATCAATCATGGTCACGATTAATAGCACGTGAACAACATTCAATAAATCTAATATTTTCAAGTTTACATGCACGTACACCACAATGGGTATTATCATCGCGGCCATCATCTACTGACAATCTTGCTGCTTTTAATAGCAATAATAATGGCCACAACAATAATAATGTTGATGATAAATTAAGTTCATTTAAAAAATCTTGCCATAATTTAATTGGTACATTCTTTGGACGTAAATCCTTAGAATCATTGGAAGAAGAAACCATTAGACAACAGCAACATCTATCCAGACAACAACAACGACAAAATAATGATGAAGATGATGATGATGATGAATTATCAGCAATCCAGCTTTATTATAGACTATCTGAAAATATCTGTCAAGATATTATCGATAGATTTCAACAATTATATAAAATGAATGATCGTACATTGTCATTTCCATTGTTTGATGGTGATGTTAATACAATAACCACGTTTCGAATTGAAAATGCAACATTGATCACTGTGGATGGATTAAAAGTATTGAAAAAACATAATTTAATTCGTTTGAAAATGGCACATCTAATGAATTGTACGATTACCGAGTTGATTAACAATCTATCACCTTGGTCTATTTGGAATCTGGAATCATTTAGTGTTCCACATTGTTCGCTAACAAAATTCAATAAAATTTGTATCATTTTATCATTGACAAGATTAACAAATCTTGTACATCTGGATGTTTCATATACATCATTCAATAATCAATGTTTAGAAATAATAACCGATCATCTGGTCAATTTGAGATCGTTGGATTTAACGGCCACCAAATTAACCCTATTGAAACCATTGAGAAAACTAGAAAAATTGAATCGTTTACATTTGCATAATGTTGCACTCACTTGTAAAGATGAAAATAATTTAGGTGAACTAAAAAATCTTGAATATCTCGATATATCGGATGATCGTTTTGCTATCGAACCCGAAAGATATGTTGTCTATGATCATTTGGCTGAATTTTTTCCACAATTTATTCAATTTGAACGTTTAACGGAATTGGATATTTCTGGACGTCGTGTGTCAGCATCATTAGTTTGTCAACTAATACGACAACGATTATTGGAACATAAAGAAAATCCACGATTTCGTCCATTAAAATTTATTGGTCTTATGTCAACGGAATTCAATTTCACCGAAATGTTTGATCTGGATACACGAACACATGGCCGTTTAATGATTGCTGGAACGGGAAAATTAATTCATGTTATACAATCATTACTTCGATATCGAAATCGTGCAACATTCATACAGAAAGCATTGAATTGTTTATGTCAATATACATTTTCCGATAATATTCTATTGATTGAGCAACAACAACAACAACAACCACCATTACTGGAACAAGAAATTGATATATTTGATCCGAATATTCTCGACAATAACAACGATGATTATGATGATGATAATTATGAATATGACGATACTATGGATAGTCGAGAAATATTAGCCGCTGAAAGCCGTTTACAGCCGAATGAAATTCGTCCATATCGATCATCACTTGTCGTATTGATTGTTGATATAATGGATAGGCATATGAAAAATCAACAGCTGATTCTTTTTTCAACTGGTAATCTTTATAATTTAACGAAAAATAATTCAAATCTACATCCATTCATTCTACGTAAAGTCGTAAATATTTGTATTGAAACCATGAAACATTATTCAACGGAATATCAAATCATCAAAAATATTCTATTGACAATGTGTTCAGATCGTATATTGCAAGATATAACATTTGATCGTTATAGCTGCATTCGTTTGGTTATGGATACATTGTTTACTTTTAGTGATTTATCTGTAAATCGTCTTGCTCTCGGTATCTGTGCCATATTGGCAGCTAAAATACCAACCGTAGAGAATGCATTGATGGGTTCACAATCTGTTTATCTGAAAAAATTACTTGATCTTGTATCAGAAAGTTATTGTGTCAACACACCAAATAGTGAAATTATATTGAAATTATCATTATCAGCATTATGGAATTTTACAGATGATGCACCGAAAACATGTGAAACATTCATCAAACATAATGGTATTAAACTTTATGTTAATACATTGATTGTAAGTATTGAGGAAAAAAATTTGTTTTTGTTTGTTCATGTTTTTTGTTTTTAATTTTTTCACAGCTATTTCAAGGTAAAAGCAATATTGAAACGAAAATCCTCGGGCTTTTAAATAATATTGCTGAAGTAATATATTTACGGCGACATTTAATACAACCAAAATTGTTACATCAGTTAAGGTATGATTAAACAAACGTTGTTGTTGTTGTTGTTTTGTTAATATTTGACCATTGTTTTTTCTCGTTTGTTGTTCTCTCCTATATCAAAGAAAACTAATTTATTCGGATCAAATCGATGTAAGCTATTTTGCTATTGGAATCCTAGCACAGCTTGCATCTGACAATAATTTAAATTGGTCAAAGGTCGAAGATTTTGATATGGATCAAATGCTGCAACAAATGGTAGGTCTAAATAATCCAATTTGTTTCTTGATGTTTAACTCATTCATTCATTTCATGAAAATAGCTGAATCAAATACAATCATGGCCAAATCCATCATTTGAAATGGTTGCTTATCGTTCATTTGAACCATTCATGTCATTGTTAACAAATGATCGACATGAATCAATTTCATTATGGGCATTATGGGCTATACATCATGTTTGTACGAAAAATCGTAAGTTTGAAAAAGTTTTTTGAATTTTGATTTGTTTTATTTGACTTGTTTTTGTTTCGTTTGTTTAGCAAATAAATATTGTCGAATGTTATTTGATGAAAAATGTATTACAAAAATTATCCGAATTCTTATTGAACGTTTACAACGTGAATATCGTATCGAATGTCAACAACAACAAAGCAAATTATCTAGACGTTTAATTAATCTAGTAACTATTACGGATGATGAATTTCAAATTTTATGTAAAGCCCAAACCGATTGGAATTGTCATGAACGTAATCAATGGAATATTATTATTGAAAAAAAATCTTCAACAAATGATAATAATCGATTATTGGAATGTAAAACACCGAATTTATCAACTGGAAAAAACCTGCCACACTAGTTGATGAATGTGATTGTTTACTTAAATATTGGTTGGATAATGATCCATTAATACGATTATCATCAATCATATTGAAATCATTTCATTGTTTCTCACCAATACCGCTCAAACTATGATGATGATTTCATTGGAGCCTATTCATTTGTTCAATGTTTTTTTTTGCGATTTTTTCGTATTCATAATTCATTATCGTCGATCTCATTTATATTATGTAATTTTTGCAATATTTCACATTTTTATTTCTCGGGCTTTTGGTGATTTGGATTTTAATTCTTTTAATTATTTTTTTTTTCTTTTCGTTTCTTTTTGTTTGTTCATTTAAATTTTATTTAATTTCTCGTTTTTTTCTTTAAAAAAATAAAGATCGTTAAGATTGTTAAATTTATGATGATGAAAATCAATTATGACTATTAAATCAAATCTGCAAATTTATTTTTTGAACCAAGTGCTGCCATCCATTGATATCAATAATAACCAGAATTCTGAGGTGCCGAAAGTGGCGGTTCCTAGCGGATTTTCACTGAACTAAATTTCACGAAAATATGGCCAAAATAGATGGCAGCACTTGGTTTAATTTTACAATTTTTAAAACACGTGCTGCCATCTATTTTGGCCATATTTTTGTGAAATTTAGTTCAGTGGAAATCCGCTAGGAACCGCCACTTTCGGCACCTCAGAATTCTGGTTATTTTAATATCAATGGATGGCAGCACTTGGTTCAAAAAAAAGTAAATTGACATTGATCATTGCCAATACTTAAACTGGACATCTACAAGGCATCAACTGGACATCAACTTTGAATGTACAGCGAACATGAATTAATGTTCATTCAAATTCTTTTATATATAGAATAGATAATAATAATTCAGTACAAGAAATGAAAAAAGGCAAAAATAAAAACAAAGAGAAAATATAGTGATGATGGAATGAAAATGATGAAAATCGTGTGAAAAAAAATGATAAGATGAGTATAGTGGTGGTGGTTGTTGGAGAATGAAAATGATACAAAGATTCTATATTTATAAATGTATGATGAATACAACAGGTATTGAATAATCGTCGTCGTCAATGATATATAGTCGTCATCCGAAAAAAGGCGTTTTTTATTTTTTGTCATCATCGTCGTCGTTGATTTATTTTTATCGAAATTCTTTATTTCTTTTGTTGTTTATTTGTCGTCGTCGTCGTCGTTGTACGATTATTACGTCGTCTTGTTTTCGGATTACTGCTATCGAAATCATTACCAATTTCCTGTTGTATTGCTTTTGGTGATAATGATGTGGAATCTTTTAAAACACCACCACCACCGGGACTAGTAAACACTGGTATACGGGTACCATGTTGCTGCTGTTCATCTACTTTAATGAATCCTTTTGAATCGCTGGATTTCTATATTTTTGAGAAAAAAAATAGTTAAATTTAAATTCAAAGATTCATCTGAATTTATAATTCATCATACTTTTATTTGAATGGATGGCCGTGAAATTTTCGTTTGTCCAGTTTGTGATTCACGTTCAGGTGTTGATCTCAAACTAAATTGAAAATAGGTGATTATAGAAAATTATTTCAAAAAAATCAAACTTTAGTCTACCTGAATGTCATTCGTGGTCGATTATCAGCCGTGGGTGGTGTTTTCGATTTAGAACGTGAATCTCGTGACGATAATGATGATGATGATGCCGATGATGAGGATGGTGTGACAAACTTTCCAAATTTATTTCCAACACGTTCCTGAATTGATAGACTAGTATTTCGTGGTTCAGGGCGTCTTGCTTCAGCAGTAATCGAATGTGTGGTTGTTGGTTTCGAAATTCTTGTTGTTGTTGTTGTTGTTGTCGATGGAATAATATTACCATGAATGTCACGAGTTGGTAATCCAGCACGGAATGGTGGACTTTTTCCTTTCATATCTCTAGGTTGTTCTTTCACAGCTGAACTATACGTTTTACGCATAAAACCAAATGATTCATTTGTTGTTGTTTTTGTCGCTGGTCGATGTTTTATTCCAGCTGTTTGTGTTGTTGTCAATGTAGTCGTCGTCATCTGATGTTGTTGTTGTTTAAATGCACGAGATATTAAATCTCCAGCTTTATCTTTTACTGGCGAAATTGTATCACGAATAGTTTTTCGTACATATTGTCCAATACCTTCAGGCTGTTCATATGTTTTTGCTGATTGCTGTTGTTCATCATCCAAATCTTCAATCGATTCTTGTCCGTCAGATTTTTTTCGCACAACACGTGTTATTATTTTCCCAGTTGAATCTTTTATCGTCAATGATCGTGTACGTATTGCTTTACGTATAGCATCATCAATATCGGAATCGATATCCGAACATTCAGGATCCATTTCAAATTCTTCAATGGATTTTTCACCACAAGGTTTCAACCGAATTACACGTGTAATAATTTTTGTATTTGGATCCTGTATCAATGATGTGGCCGATAATATTGATTCACGTATTGCATCATCAATATCGGAATCAGCAGATTCCGGTATAGTTTCAAATTCTTCCAAGATTTCTTCACGATCATCGGCATTTTGTCTAACTATACGTGTAATGATTTTTGTATATGGTAAATGTTGACAATTTTTTTCTCGAATATCATTATTATCACCGTTTTCTTCTTCTTGCAGTTCTGGATCCACTTCCAATTCTTCAATTGATTCAGAACCACCAGGTTTAAGCCGTACAATTCGTGTAATCATTTTACTATTCGAATCTTTAATTCTTGATATTGTTGTACGAACAGCTTTACGTATCATATCATCTAGATCAACTTGTGGCGTTTCTGGATCCATAGCCAATTCTTCAATCGATTCTTCACCACCAGATTTCATACGAATAATCCGTGTGATCATTTTACCACTTGGATATTTATTACGACTTGTTTGAATGGCTTCACGTATGATTTCATCAATATCACCCTCGGTACATTTTGGATCCATTTCTACTTCTTTCACCGGTTCTTCACCACCAGGTTTTAACCGTACAACCCGTGTGATAATTTTACCACTTGGATCACGAATAGTTGATGTTTGTGTTTTCAATGATCTCCGTATAATTTCATCAATATCATCACCGGTAGCTGATTCTGGTTCATCATCCAATGAATCTTGACTACCTTGTCGACGTTTTATAATTCGTAATATAATTCTTTCATTTGGTTCTGGTGATCTTGTTGTAATTGTTCTTAAAATTTTTCGTACAACAGCATCAATATCTTTTTCACCTGATGCTGGACTCATTTCGAATTGTTCAATTAAATCATCAACATCACCAATTGTTGATTTTCGTGATAAAATTCGTATGATAATACGAACATTATTTGAATCACCAATTCGTGAATTAGGTGAATGTATAGTACGACGAACAAAATCACCGATTGCTTGTTGACTTGTTTCAGGAATAATTTCAATTTCACCAATCGTTTCTTCAGCACCTGTTGTTGACAATCGACAACTTGGTTTCGGTACTGATGAACGTATAGCTTGACGAATCATATCATCAATATCACGTGTTTTTTGTTGTTTTTGTTTACGTTTTCGTTTTACGATAGCAAAAACAATTCGGTCCTGGGGATCACGTAGTTTCGCTGGTGCTTGTCGTAACATATCACGTATTATATGACCAATATTATCGTCATCTAATTGTGGATCAATTTCAAGTTCTTCAATTTGTTCCCCGAATCCAGGACGAATGATTATAAAACGAATTATGATTTGTTCTTTAGGTTGACGTTGTTGACTTGTTGTTGCACGATGAATTATTTCATCAGCATTTGTTTCTGGAAATTTTGGATTAATTTCAAATTCACCAATTGTTTCATCTTGATCTTCCGCTGTTTGTTGTTGTTGCTCATGTTTCGATGGACGATGAATAATTCGAAATACAACACGATCTCGTGGATCTTTAATTTTCGATGGTGTTTCCATCAATATCTCATGAATAATTTCACGGATTTCACCATCTGTTGTTCTTGGATCAACAATCATTTCTTCAATTAATTCACCTTCTTCTGGTCGAATAATTACATAACGAATAACTAATCGTCGATCAGGAACTTTTGATCTCAACATTCGATTAACAATACTATCGATTATTTTTTCTGGTGATTTTGGATCAATTTCAAATTCTTCCAATTGTTCATCATTATCGTAATTATCGTCATCAGATTCATCATCTTTTGGATATAGATCCAGATCTTCTTCTTCTTCTTCACTACCATCTGGTTTTTGTCGTATCAATCTAGTGGAAATTTTTGCAGGACCAGTAATTTTTGACGCTGTTTCACCAAGTTTACGGCGAATAACTTCGTCGATATTTTCTTCATCTGGATCAATTTCAATTTCTTCCACTGTTTCAGTGCCATCTGGTTTACGTATCACTACCCTGGTAATTATACGCCGTTGTTTTGGTCGAATATTTTTTCTAATTATTTCATCAATATCAGTGGGTGCTGTACGTTGATCAACATGGTATTCTTTTATCGATTCTTGACCATCTGGTGTTTGTTTCACTACCCGAGTAATGATTTGTGTGTTTGGTTCTTTAATTTTTGGTGTTGTTGATTGATTCACCTGTCGGATCAGATTTTCAATATCTTTTTTCGATGAGCCAGTTGGTAATTGAAATTCTTCAATCGAACGTTCATTATTTGGTTTTTGAACCACAATACGTATGATAACATTATCATTTGGATCACGTGTTAATGGCAGATCATCGGGTGAACGATGATTGTCACGTGGTTTTAAAACGAAATTTATCAATGTTTTTTCACGTGTATCGGTTACTTTTTTTGGTAATTGACCAAGAATCTTGGCAATATCACTTTCAGGAGTTTCTGATTGAATTAAATGTTCTTCAACCAAATCTGATCGATCTGGAATTTGACGTATTATACGAAGAATCAATTTTTTTGTTGGATCACGTGCACGTGATGTTATTTTCTTAATAATTTGATCAATATCTTTCTCTGGTTTTTGCGGATCAATTTCAAAATCACCAACTGGTTCTTCTTCGTCGTTCATACGTGATTTTGATGGTTTTTGTGTTTCACTCATTGGTTTCGATGTTGGTCTGGTGATTTTTTGTTGTTCATCGTCAATCTGAGATTTTGGTTGTTGTTTGTTTTGTTGTGGTTGACGATTTATTACTCGCAATATTGGTTTATCCCGAGGATCACGAAGTTTTCCTGGTGTTTGTCTGAGAATATCACGGATAACACCCTCGATATCATTATCGGTCATACGTGGATCAATGACTAATTCTTCAATCGATTCACTGCCATCAGGACGACGTACAATAAAACGAAGAACAATTCTTTCTCGTGGATCTTTTGATGGTTTCAATGTTAACGGTTGAATTGCTTTCGGAATAATATCCTTAGCAATTTTTTCCGGTGATTTTGGATCAATATTAAATTCCGCAATCTGTTCATCTTCTGTAGGTTCCTGATCTTTTGGTGTACGTTTCATTATTTTGAAAATAATTCTATCCTTCTTTGGATCTTGTATTTTTGATGGAGAATCATTCAATAATTCCCGAATAATTTCATCTAAATCTTCATCCGATGTTTCTGGATCAATCTCCATCTCTTCAATCGAATCACCTTCATCAGGTGTACGAATTATAAAACGTAAAACAACACGTTTGCCTGGTTCTTTCGCATTTATTGTTTTACCTACAATTTCAGCGACATTTTTCATTGGTGATTTTTGATCGATATCGAATTCTTCAACTGGTTCATCGTCAGTTGGTCCTTCTTCCTCCTCTATTTCTTCTTCCACTTCTTGTTCAAGCTCTTGTTTGGGAAATTTTTGATTTTCCATTGCTTTTTTCGCATCTTTTTTCATTAGAATTTTAGATTCAGCCGATTTCGGTTCCGGTTTTGTAGCATCAGATACATCTTTGATTGGTTTTCGTCGAAGAACACGGAAAATTGATCGATCGTTTGGATGACGTAATTTTTTCGGTGTTTGCCGAAGAATTTCTCGAATAATTTCATCAGCATCTTTATCACATGTATCAGGATCCATAACACGATCTTCAATTGCTTGACTACCATCCGGTTTAACGATTACAAATCGCAGTACAATTTTTTGTTTTGGATCTTTCTTTGATTGGGATTTTTCCGGTTTTATTGCCTTTTTGATGATTTCATTAGCTATTCGTTCTGGATTTTTCGGATCGATATCAAATTCACCGATTTGTTCATCTTCGGTCGGTGCACTTTGTTTACGTTTAAGAATTTTAAATGAAATTTTATCATTTTCTGGATCTTTAACGCGTGTCGGAGCATCACGTAAAAGTTCACGAATAATTTGATCAATATCTTCATCAGGTGTTTCTGGATCGATATCCATTTCTTCGATTGATGTTCCTTCCAATGATCTTACAACGAAACGAATTACAATACGTTTATTTGGTTCTTTTGATTTTGTTGTCTTTTTAATAATTTCATCGACATTTTTTTCTGGTTGTTTTGGATCAATATCAATTTCATCTACCGGTTCATCTTCATCATCAGCTGATTTCATCAAATCTGCTAGTTCAGATTGATGAGTTTCCGGTTTATCTTTTCTCAATGGATCCGAAGCTGTTGTTTTCGATCCAATCATTTGTTGATCATTTTTAATTTTTGGTTTTCGTCGAAGAACTTTGAACTTTAGTTTATCTTTTGGATCTTTCAGTTTTTTCGGTGCTTGCCGTAGTATTTCACGAACAATTTCATCAACTTGTTTGTCGGATGCAGAGGGATCAACGATACGATCTTCAATTGCTTGACTACCATCCGGTTTAACGATTACAAATCGTAGTACAACCTTTTGTTTTGGATCTTTCATTGATTGGGCTTTTTCCGGTTTTATTGTCTTTGTAATAATTTCTTCAGCTATTCGTTCCGGATTTTTTGGATCAATATCAAATTCACCAATCGATTCATCTTCAGTTGGTTCATGTTGTCGACGTTTAAAAATTTTGAAGATAATTTTATCTTTTTTCGGATCTTTAATCTTAGATGGCATATCTTGTAAAAGATCGCGAATAATTTGATCAATATCTTCATCGGGTGTTTGTGGATCAATATCCATCTCTTCAATTGATTCACCATCAGGTCGTCGTATAATGAAACGGATGATAAGACGTTTGTTTGGATCTTTAGCTTTTTTAGTTTTTGCGACAATATCATTAGCTTGTTTTTGTGGCTGTTTTGGATCAATGGTCATTTCTTCAACCGGTTCATCATCGTCATCATCAGGTTGATCAGAAGGCTCATCTCGTTTACCAATTTTATCATCGATTGGTGATTTTGTTGGACTAAATCTTTCTTTTGATGGATCATCTTTTTTCGGTGATTTTTTACTTGTTTCATCTTCATCAGTGGATGGTAATATATCGGATTTTAAACCTTCAATCCAATCATCTTTTTCAGCATCATCCTTTTCTGAACTAAAAGCACGGGTAATTTTGTCATCAACAGGTTGCAATACTTTCGATGTTGGTTCAATTGTTTTTTCACTCGATAATTTCTCCTGTTTTTCTGGACTAAATGCACGGGTAATTTTTTCTTCAAATGGTTTCACTTGTATTTTAATTAGATCATCTTTTCCATCTTTATCAGGACTAAATGCCCGTGTAATTGTCGAGTCTTCTTTTTCGATTGTTTTCACAGGTTTGACATCAATGTCACCAGGTTTACCCATATATTCACAGACAATATTACCTTTGTAATCTTTGACAACAACACCAGGTTTTGTTGTTGTTGTTGTATCCGATTGTTGTGTTACCGATGGTTCACTTTCTGGACTTGATCGGGATGTTTGCTGAGGTATACATGATTGAGGTTTTTTGCCGGCCATTTCATCAAATTCATTCAAAGATTTTGGATCAATTTGTCGACCATCACTACTAATTGGCTCTTGTTTCTTTAGCTGTTCTGGTTCATTCAATGCTGTACGTTTGATAATTTCAGGCTGTTCCAATTGTTTTGATGGTTTACGTTTATCACCATCATCATGACCAATGGATGGCTCATCTGATTTTATTTGTTTTGGTTCATCTTTAACTATACAAGGAGAATAAAATTAAAATTTTAGAAAAAAAAATCTTTTGCAAATAAATCAAATTAGAAAAATGATGAGAAAAAAAGATGGAAATGTGAAATGAAAATGAAAAAAAATGATGAAAAAGATGAGATGAGAAATGAATGAATGGGAAAAAAATGATAATGAATGAATATTAATGTGGGGGCATCACTATACAAAATTTTTTCGTTTAAAATTGGAAATGTGGGCGTTTTTTCATGAATAAATTTTTTTTTCTGGTGACAATGATGATGAGAATTCAATTAATAATTTTGTAAATTTTAAAAATTGAATTTTCATTTAAATGAATGAATGAATTTTATGAAAAACAAAATATACAAATTATTGATTAGTATTAGCGAAAACACACAAAAATCAATTGAATAAAACAAATCGATTTATGAATGAATGGATGGATGATGGTTGTAAATGTCACATAAAAATTACACACATAACTATATAATGATGATGAATTTGGGGAAACGTTGATGACGGGATGATGATGATAAATGGACATTTTTTAAATCATCTATCAACTAATGTTACTACTACTACTACTGCTGCAATCTACAATAATGGTGATATATTTTACCTTGTAATTGTTGTTGTTGTTGTTGTTGTTGAGGTTTACTGTCATCATCATCTGCTTTTAGAATAAATGTTGGTTGTTTTTGTTGTTGTTCAATATCAGATATTGATGGCATACTACTTTCTGATTTTATTTTCTTATCAGACACTTTTTCTGGTTCTGATTTTGGATCTAAATCTTTTGATTTTTTGTCATCAGATTTATTATCGGTGGTTTTTGTTGATTTTTCGCCATCTGGTTTGTCATCTTTTGATTTTGTTGATTTTTCTATTTTTTTCTGGTCTTTTTCTTTTTCAAGTGGTTTTATTTCCTCAATTTCTTTCGGTTTTATTTCATTATCGGATTTGGTCACCTCAGAAATTGGTTTTCGATCCAGGTCACAATCTTTAAACACTGGGATGATTTTCTCTTCGGTCACTTCTTGTGGTGGTTTTCCGAAAACTTTTCCCAGCAAATCACTGGCATTATCTTTAATCAACGAACCAATCTTATCGATAGATTGATCAATGACATTGGTCAATGGATCTTTTGCTGCAGATTGATGATCGGTAGGAGATTTTTCAATTATAATTTTGGATTCCGATTTATTTTCATCTGGTTTTTTAGCCTCAACATTATCTTCTGGCTTTTTTACTATTGGTTTTTGTTTCTCTGATTTATTTTCTGGTTTGTCGTCTGGTTTTGATTCTTTTGGTTTTACGGTACCATCAGTTTTATCCTCCGGTTTTGTCGATGTTCTCTTTAATGGTTCCATTTTTTTAGGTTCATCATCTACCGTTATTTGTTTTTTATCATCTGATTTCAGTTCTTTGAGTTGTTCCATTAGTTTAACTTCGGTTTCTAGTTTCATTTTTGTATCATCAAGCGGTTTTTTATCTTCTTCTGTTTTTAGTTTGATTTCATCAACCAATTTCTTTGCATCATCAGTTAATTCAGTTTTCGGTTGTTTCTGAGTATCGCCTGATGATCTAGTTTTATCTTTAGGTTCGTCACTTATAATGATCGGTTTATCTTTTGTTTCTGATGATTCAACAGGCTTTTCTTTTTCTTCTGGTTTCTTTTCTGGTGTTGATTGTTTGAGTTTCTTATCTTCTGGTTCAAAGATTTTTTCCATTGATTTTTTCGATGGTTCATCTGTTATTTTTATTGGCATTTTATTGTCACCATCGATGGATTTTGAAACTTGGTCTTTCGAGTCATCAATTAGTTTTTTTGCTTCATCCATCGGTTTCTGATTGTCAACAGTTGGTGGTTTTACGAAGGCTGATACATCATCATCTGGTTTCTTTGTTTTATCAGAAGGTTCGACTTTATCCGATTTTTCATCCAAAACATCATTCGGTTTCGTTGACTCTGACTTTTCCATTTTTGGAATTTCTGTTTGCTGAATTTCACCAATAGGCTTTTGAGGAGATTTTATTTCTTTTTCATTTGGTTCAACTTCTTTTGATTTTTTCGGTTTTTTATCATCTGTTTTGTCCTTTTTAGAACTGAATAGCTCTTGTTTCGGTTCACTTTTATCTTCTTGTTTGGTTTCAGAATCAGGTTTCTTTGATTCATCTTCTGATTGTGATACATTATCCGTTGGTTTAACCTGATCATCTTGCATTTTTAATTCATCTTTTAGCTCAGATACGTTTTCTTTTGGTTCAATCTTTTCTTCTGGTTTCTTTGATTTATCATCGAAATCTGATTTTTTGTCCTTCGATTTGGCCACATCGTCTGGCTTGATTTGATCATCAGGTTTCTTTGATGTATCTTCAGGCATCTCATTTTTTGGTTCAACTTCATCGCCTGGTTTGACTTTATCATCAGATTTTTTGGATTTATCCTTAGGTTCTGATGTTTTTTCCGAAGATTTGGTCATATCGATTGGTTTGATTTGATCACCAGTTTTTTTCGAGTCATCTTCCGGCTTAGATACCTTATCTTTTGGTTTGATTTCATCAACAGGTTTCTTTAATTCATCTTCATGCTTTGATGGCTTATCTTTTGACTCAGATTTATCTTCTGGTTTCATTTGATCATCAGATTTTTTGTGTTCATCTTTGGGTTTTGATGCTTCTTCTGTCGGTTTGGTCATATCGACTGTTTTGAATTGATCGACAATTTTTTTCGATTCATTTTCAGGCTTCTTTTCATCTTTTGGTTGGACTTGATCGACAGGTCTTTTCAAATCATCTTCCGGTTTGAATGCCTTGTCTTTTGATGATTTGATTTCATCTGGTTTCATTTGATCATCAAGTTTCGTCGATTCTTTAACAATATCGCTTGACTGCAATTCATGATGTTTTTTAGTTTCATCAGCTGATTTTTCAGTGTCACTTAATTTAGTAGCTGGTAATGTTGGTTTTTTAGCTACATCATCAACTTTTTGATCATTTGGTTTTTTGTCTTTGTCTTTCAATTCTTCTTCAGTAAGTAAACGTTTATCTCTTGTAACTTGTGCTTCATCTTTTGGCAAAGATTTATGTAATTTTGTACTATCATCAGCGGACAGTTTATTTTGTTCTGTTGACGAATATTCATCAGCGATGGATTTAGAAAGATCTTCGACAGGTAGATCTTTTTCTTTGGAAGCCGATTCGATTATCACATCACTAGGCTTTTGAAATTCATCTTTCGGTTCGGTTACCATGGTTTTCGGTTCAATTTTATCCGCCAATTTGATTTGTTCATCATCCTTAGGTAATTTAGATTTGTCATCCGGTTCGATTACTTTGTCTGCTGGCTTGATTTGATCTAACTTCTTTGATTCATTTTCAGGCTTCGATGGCTTGTCTGTCAGTTTGGTCTGATCACCAAGCTTTTGAGAATCATGAACTTCAGGTTTTGATATTTTATCCGGTTTCGATTCACCGATATCAACAGGTGGCTTAATTGGATCATCCGATTGTTTTTTGTTATCATCAACATCTCTTTTATTAGATTCTTCAGGCTTTGTATCAATAAATTGATTCAACATATTTCCAATATTTGTTTTCAATACTGAACCCAATGCATCGACACTTTCATTGAAAACTTTTTCAAAATCAGCTTTTTCATCATTGGATTTTTTTGAATCTTTTTGCATTTCATCACTTGTCGTTGATGATGGTGAGCATTTCTTCGTTTGATCATCGATTGGTTTTTCATCATTTTTATCATCAATTTGTGATGATTTTTTCAACAAATCATCAAGAACTTTAGCTGCATTATCTTTGAGAATCGCACCAAGTTCTTGTATTGGTTTATCCAATGATTTAGGTAATTTCAATGATAATTCTGTATCGTCAACATGTTTAGGTTGGAATATTTCTTCCACAACTTTTTGTCTTTTCATTTCTTCTGATTTTTCATCTTTGGAAGGTTTTTCAACTTCATCGATTGGCGATTGTTCTGGTTTATCTGTTTCTTTTGGTTCATCCAGAGATTTTGTTTTTACATCGCTCGGTTTCTTCTGCTCATCAATAGATGACTTGCCAACTTCTTTTTCTTCGGGCATGATTTCTGGTTTCAAAGATTTTTGACGTCGAAAAATTTTGAAAACAATTTTTTGATCTTTAAATTTCTTCGGTACTTGTTTCAGTAGTTCTTTGATTTTCTTCTCAACATCTTTATCTGATTTATTCGTTTGAATGACGTGTTCCTCATCATCCAATGATTCATCATTATTGACATCTGGTTTGAGAAATCGGAAAACATACTGATGATTATCATGTTTCGTATCTTTCATTTTCTTCTTTGGGGATTTGATAAATTTTTTCATTATTTCTTTAGCCATTTTTTCTGGTGATTGTTTTGGATCAATTTTAAATTCACCAATCGTTTCTGTTTCTTCATCTTTACTACTCTTCAGCGATTCATCATCAGACGGTTTCGATGAACCACCACTGTCTTTCTGTTGTTGTTGCGATTGCTGTGGTTGTTTATCGTCATCACTTATCGTTGGCTTGTCAGATAAATTTTTTTCATTCATTTTTGGTTTATGTTCATCCTTATCATCATCTGGTTCTTGTTTTGTTGGTGATTTCAGTATATTTTCCGTCGTTGATTTTTGTTTCGATTTTCTGCGTAAAATTTTAAGAATTGGTCGATCTTTTGGATCTTTCAATTTTTTAGGTGTTTGTCGTAAAATATCTTTAACGATTTCATCAATATCTTTATCGGATTTTTCGTAATCTACTTCATGATCTTCGATTTGTTCACTACCATCTGGTCTGATGATGATCAGTCGTAAGACAATTTTTTGTTGTTTTTCAGCATCGTTTTTAGCTTTTTCTGGTTTAATTGCCTTTTCCATAACTTCATTTGCAATTTTTTCCGGCTGTTTAGGATCAATACTGAATTCACCAATCGTTTCATCTTCGTGTTGATCTTTTTCCATTGATTTCTCAGCGATTCCTTCAGATTTTTCAGAATCCAACGGTTTTTTGATTTCATCAGTTTTTTGATCAGATTTATCCAATGAATCTATGGATTTTTTTGGCGTGTCTTTTGTTTCGTCTGGTTTGTGATGTGTGTCTTCTGTAATCGTGTCTAGTGTTGTTGTTTGTTCTGTTTTGGTATCTGGTATGTCTTTTGTATCTGCTGGTGAAATTTGTGATTTTGTAATTACATCATCATGTTGTTCTTTTGTTGGTTTTGTTTGTTCACTAACTAATACCACTGGATGATCAATTGTTTTTGATAAAATTTGCTCACCTGTTTTTGATGACACCTTACTGAAATCTTTTACTGGTTTTTGGTCTGCAACAATGGTTTCAACAATTGGCTGCGATATCGATTTACTGTTATCAGATTTATCATCTGGTTTTTTTGGTTTCTCCTCATCAGCTTTTGTTGGTTTGTCGTCAGCTGGTTTTTTTCTTGATTCATCATCATCACTAGGTATAGAAATCAAATCTTTTGATTGAATTTCAATGCTATCGGGTTTTTTGTCATCAATGAATGGTTTATCCGTCGTTTTTATTTGATTTGTTGGTTGTTTGGCGTGTTCATCTTTAGGTTTGTCAAGCTTTTTCCCATCATCAATTGGTTTAACATCATCATCGGCTGATTCAGTCTTTTCTTCTGGTTTATCCAATATTTCAGGTTTTTTATTTTCAGATTTTGAAACTTTAATTTCTTCAAATTTTTCTTGTTTAGTTTTCGTTGATTCTTTCACATCATCCATTGGTTTTAAATGAATTTGATCTTCAGGCTTATCAGAAGGTTTCATCATTTCATCGACAGCTTTCTTTGACAATTCTGATGATGATATTTTGTCATCACCAGGTTTCAACAGATTACTTGATTTTTTATCATCAGGTTGAGCAGTAGTGGCTGTCTGATCATTCAATGGTTTTTCAGTTGTTGATATACCAGTTACAATAGTTTTATCTCCAGGTTTAGTTTGATTATCTGGTTTAATAAAAGATTCTTTTTCTGGTTTCATGCTTATTGATCCATCATCATTCAACGATTTTTGATCTTTTTCAATTAAGTTATCTGCTTTTTGCGTTTCTACTTTTTCAGGATGTTGATCAGTTGTTATATCACCTGAATGTTTGCTACTACCAATGTCATCTATTGGTTTTTCTATTTTCTCTTCATTGTCATCATCATCATAAATAACTCCAGCAACAAGTTTTTGTGGCTCTTTTATATCTGCTGAAACGGATAAATCTTTTGGTACAGCTTTTTCATCAATCGGTTTTGTTTCAGATTCTTTATTATCATCTTTTGTATCTTCTGGTTTTGGTGCTGGTTTTACAGACGATGATTCTTTCATGTCTGGTTTCTTCGAAGGTTCATCGAATATTCGTTTGTCCGATTCTTCATCCATAGGCAATTCTTCTACAATTGGATTCAATATTCCTTCATCATTATCATCATAAAATTTTGGTACAAAACGTTTTGGTCGAATAATTTCTTCACAAACCGGATCAATATGCCCGGCTGGTGTTTTTGGATCATCAATAGATTCTTCAATCAATTTTGTACCATCAGGATCTTCTTTTATCACTCTAGTGATGATATTTCCACGTGGATCTTTAATTCGTTTGATCGTTGTTTTCGGTATATTCTTGATGATTTCATCGAAATTTTCAATATTGTTCAAATTATCAACATCAGTTTCGAATTCTTCAATACATTCATCAGTAGATTTTTGTCGACAAAGCCGTGCAACAATTTTGGTCATTGGTATTTCCTTGGCTTTGGGCAATAATTTTTGTAAAACTTTTTTGACAGCTTCATTCATATCACGTGGATCAGTGTGGGAATCAATTTCCACTTCTTCCATTGTTTCTTGGCCATCTGGTTTCATAAGTACAACTTTTACAGATTTCTTCTCCAATGGTTTTGAAGCAGTTTCCATCACTTTTTTAACCTTTTCTTTTTCAATATCCTCATGCACGATTTCAGATTGTAAACATTTAATCCATTCATCATCATCGTCACCAGTTATAGCTGATGATTGTCGAGGTAATTCTTTCGTTTGTTCTGCGTGTTTCTTTTGTTGAATTTGTGGTTCTTTTTGTTCAGCAACGATAATCATTTTATCTGGATCGGCAAATTTCTCTACATCTGGCAGCATCGATTGTGTAACTTGTTTTTGTTCTGTAAAAATTTTTTTGTTTTAGCAATTTTGAATTTTTTTTGTATTTTCTAACACTATTTTCTATTATTAAATTGAAATGATTATTCCCTATCACTGTTGTGTTTGTATTTTTGTGGAATCAGAATTAGCATTTAAAAGGAAAGTATTTTTTTGGAAAGTTTGAAGCACGATAAATAAAATCAGGCAACCTACCTTTATTATCGTCGATGATCGGTTTCTGTGGCGAGATCAATGTTGGAGCTGCTGTTGCACTTTTAGTAGGTTTGTCAATTGATGATGTTTTAGTAGTTGCCTTAGTATCCATTGGTTCAAATGATGGTAATTGTGATGGATGATCAGTGGACATTGTTATTGATCCAAATGGTTTCTCCATAACTGCAGTTGGTGTTGTTTTTGTTGATTTTTGTTCACCTAAAATTAAAATGTTCATTGTTTGATTGAATCATAAATGAAAATCGATTTACCTTCACGAATATCATCTGGTAATGGTTTCGATAACTCTTCCAACGTTCTAATGGTCTCTTTCGATGGTTGATCAGAAAATTGACCTAAAACGATGTCAACAGTATCTTTCGGTGAAGGTTTCTCATCATGCCGGCCTTCCATTTTCTTTGGTTTTAATTCATCTTTCTTTTCAGGTTCTTCAATGATTTCTTGTATGGATTTTGTTCCATCAGGCATTTCACGAACGATTCGTGTGGTTGTCTTTCCAGTTGGATCGGTCATTCGGGTCACTGATTCACTTATTGGTTTTGGCATGGCGTCATCACCAATGTCTTTGCCAGTCACTTTTGGATCTTCAACGAATTCTTCAACAGTTTCTTTGCCATCTGGTTTACGTTTGAAAATTTTCGTAATGATTTTACCCAATGGATCTTTCTTTTTTGTTGTTTTCTTTCGTGGCGCTTTTTCCATTACATCATCCAGATTTTTTCGTGCTGTTTCTGGGTCAGTTTCGAATTCTTCGGTCGTTTCTTCTTCACCTGGTTTGGTGTCGATTACTTTCGAGACGATTTGCGTTTTTGGATCTTTGATATCGGGCAATTTTTTCTGAATGGCATCTTTAATTGCTTTATCGACATCTTTAGGACTGGTTGCAGGATTGATTTCAACATCTTCGATTGATTCATCCCCATTTGGTTTACGAAGGATGATTCGAATAATTTTCTTTGGTCGTTTTTCTCTTTGTTCTTTCACATCAAAACGTTTTAATATTTCAGGCATTTTAGCCATTTCGGAATCAAGTGGACGACTGCCTGTTGGATCGACCAATTTGCTCATCGATTCAATAATTGGTTTCGGAATGTCGTCATCGCCAATATCTTTACCAGTTTGTTTTGGATCTTCAACAAATTCATCGATAATTTCTTCTTTACCATCTGGTTTTCGTCGAAAAATTTTCGTAACAATTTTACCCATTTGATTCTTTTTGCGATTGGTTTTTGTTCGCGGCAATTTTCTAATCGCTTCATTAATGTTCGTTTTCAATGATTCAGGATCAGTTTCGAATTCTTCGATCGATTCTTCATCACATGGTTTTGAATCAATTATTTTAACGATAATTCGTGTATTTGGATCATCAATTTTATTCATTGCGTTTTGAATTTCTTCTTTCATTGTATCATCAACATCTTCAGGTCGTGTGCTGGGATCCAAAAACAATTGTTCCACTGATTCATCACCATTTGGTTTTCGTAGAATTATTCGAATAATTTTTTTAGGCATTTTTCCATCGAATCATCAATACGTTTAGCTGGTTGTGTTGATATTTTCGGTTCAATACGAAGACGATCTATATCGTCATCATCTCCAATATCTTTGCCCGTTTGTTTTGGATCCTCAATGAATTCTTCCACTGTTTCTTCTTCACCATTTGGTTTTCGTCGCAGAATTTTTGTTATAATTTTACCAAATGGATCTTTCCGTTTCGTTATCTTTGTTCTTGGCGCTTTTTTCATCACTTCATCCAGATTTTTTTTCACTGATTCAGAATCAGTTTCAAATTCCTCGGTTGTTTCTTCTTCACCTGGTTTTTTGTCGATGATTTTGGTTATGATTTTTGCATTCGCAGGATCATCAATTTTATTCAATGATTTTTTCAATTCTTTTTAATTGTTTCATCTACGTCTTCTGGTTTGGTATCGGCATCAATCAATAAATCTTCCACTTGTTCATCACCATTTGGTTTTCGTAGAATAATTCTTATTATTTTTTTCGGTTTCTTTTGTTTCGAATGTTCATCATCGACAACATCAGATGATTTTAACATTTCAGGCAATGTAGATGGTTTTTGTTTCGGACTATCTGGTTTTTTTGATGAAACTTCAGGAATGGATGATTTTACTTTCTCTGGATGATGATGAGGTTCATCTTTCTTTTCAGGTTCTTGGATTTTACCATCAAATTTTCCCATGATTTCGGACATTTTCTTTTGTAATTCATCAGGCAATTTACCCAAAGTATCATCATCACCAATGTCTTTGCCGGTTACTTTTGGATCTTCAACATATTCTTCATGAATTTCTTTACCATCAGGTTTTCTTTTGAATATTTGAATACGAATTTTACCTGATGGATCTTTATTCTTGGTAATTTTTGTTAGCACTGCTTTTTTAAGAACATCATTAAGATTTTTCTTGACAATTTCTGGATCAGTCTCAAATTCTTCAATTGATTCCATTTCACCAGGTTTCGAATCAATTATTTGAGTGATGATTTTTGTTTTCGGATCTTTGATTTGTGATAGTTTTCTTTTCAATGCATCTTTCATTGCTTTATCGACATCTTTTGGTGTTGCCTTTTGATCAATAGCTACATCTTCTATTGATTCTTCACCGTTTGGTTTTCGTAGAACGACTCGAATTATTTTTTTCGATTTCTTTTTCTTTGTATCAACATCAGGTTTTTCTGGTGATTTTGATTTTCGAAGAATAGCAGATTTTTGTTTAGCCGGATCATCTTTTGGACTTTTTGGTCGTTTCGAAAGTTCAGTTGCAGCTGATTTTTCTTTTTCTGGTTTCCGTTCGATCGATTCAAGTTTTTCAGTGGTAACTTTCTTTTCAGGTTCTTCAATGATTTCTTGTATGGATTTCGTTCCATCAGGCATTTCACGAACGATTCGTGTGGTTGTCTTTCCAGTTGGATCGGTCATTCGGGTCACTGATTCACTTATTGGTTTTGGCATGTCGCCATCGCCAATATCTTTGCCAGTCATTTTTGGGTCTTCAACAAATTCTTCAACAGTTTCTTTGCCATCTGGTTTAAGTTTGAAAATTTTCGTAATGATTTTACCCAATGGATCTTTCTTTTTTGTTGTTTTCTTTCGTGGCGCTTTTTCCATTACATCATCCAGATTTTTTCGTGCTGTTTCTGGGTCAGTTTCGAATTCTTCGGTCGTTTCTTCTTCACCTGGTTTGATGTCGATTACTTTCGAGACGATTTGCGTTTTTGGATCTTTGATATCGGGCAATTTTTTCTGAATGGCATCTTTGATTGCTTTATCTACATCTTTTGGACTGGTTGCATGATCGACTTCAACATCTTCGATTGATTCATCGCCATTTGGTTTACGAAGAATGATTCGAATAATTTTCTTTGGTCGTTTTTCTCTAATGTTCTCTAGTGGTTTCCCAAAAACTTCCGGCATCTCTTTTTTTAATTCTTCGGGAAGTTTACCGATCGTATCATCATCACCGATATCTTTGCCAGTAACTTTTGGATCTTCAATGAACTCTTCAACTGTTTCTTTTCCATCTGGTTTTCTTTTGAAAACCTTGGTGATAATTTTCCCTAATGAATCTTTCTTTTTTGATGTTTTGGTTCGTGGTGCTTTTTTTATGGCATCGTCGAGATTTTTCCTGGCTGTTTCTGGGTCAGTTTCAAATTCTTCAACCGATTCTTCTTCACCAGGTTTCGTATCGATAATTTTGCTGATAATTTTCATATTAGGATCTTTGATTTGTGGTAATTTCTTCTGAATCTCATCTTTTATCGCTTTTTCTACATCTTTTCCACTAGTGCCCGGATCGATGTGCAAATCTTCCACTTGTTCATCACCATTAGGTTTTCTCAAAATGATTCGAATAATTTTTTTCGGTTGTTTTTGTTTTGCTTTATCATGGTCATCATCACCACTTTTGTTGAATAATTCTGGCTTTTTGATTATGAATTTATCCGGAACACCTAAGCAAAAAAGTAGACAAATTTTACATCATGAAATAAGCAAAATTCATTAGTCTTACCCATCGTTTCATCACCAATTTCTCGACCGGTAATTTTTGGATCTTCAACAAATTCTTCGACCATTTCTTTGCCGTCTGGTTTACGTTTGAAAATTTTCGTGATGATTTTACCAAATGGATCCTTCTTTTTTGTTGTTTTTTTTCGTGGTGCTTTTTCATTGCATCTTCCAGATTTTTCGTGCCATTTCTGAATCAGTCTCGAATTCTTCGGTTGTTTCTTCTTCACCTGGTTTCAAATCAATTATTTTGCGAAATACGATTTTGTTTTGGTTCTTTGATTTCAGGCAATTTTTCTGTAATAAATCCTTTGAAAATTTTATCCACATCTTTTGGATTGGTTTCATGATCAACAACAACATCTTCAATGGATTCATCACCATTTGGTTTTTGTATTATGATTCGAATAATTTTCTTTGGTCGTTTTCTCTAATGTTCTCTAGTGGTTTCCCAAAACTTCCGGCATCTCTTTTTAATTCTTCGGGAAGTTTACCGATCGTATCATCATCACCGATATCTTTGCCAGTAACTTTTGGATCTTCAATGAACTCTTCAACTGTTTCTTTTCCATCTGGTTTTCTTTTGAAAACCTTGGTGATAATTTTCCCTAATGAATCTTTCTTTTTTGATGTTTTGGTTCGTGGTGCTTTTTTTATGGCATCGTCGAGATTTTTCCTGGCTGTTTCTGGATCAGTTTCAAATTCTTCAACCGATTCTTCTTCACCAGGTTTCGTATCGATAATTTTGCTGATAATTTTCATATTAGGATCTTTGATTTGTGGTAATTTCTTCTGAATCTCATCTTTTATCGCTTTTTCTACATCTTTTCCACTAGTGCCCGGATCGATGTGCAAATCTTCCACTTGTTCATCACCATTTGGTTTTCTCAAAATGATTCGAATAATTTTTTTCGGTTGTTTTTGTTTTGCTTTATCGTGGTCATCATCACCACTTTTGCTGAATAATTCAGGCTTTTTGATTTTGAATTTATCCGGAACACCTAAGCAAAAAAGTAGACAAATTTTACACCAAGAAATAATCAAAATTCATTAGTCTTACCCATCGTTTCATCACCAATTTCTCGACCGGTAATTTTTGGATCTTCAACAAATTCTTCGACCATTTCTTTGCCGTCTGGTTTACGTTTGAAAATTTTCGTGATGATTTTACCCAATGGATCCTTCTTTTTTGTTGTTTTTTTTCGTGGTGCTTTTTTCATTGCATCTTCCAGATTTTTTCGTGCCATTTCTGAATCAGTCTCGAATTCTTCGGTTGTTTCTTCTTCACCAGGTTTCAAATCAATTATTTTGCAAATAATTTTTGCATTTGGTTCTTTGATTTCAGGCAATTTTTTCTGTAATAAATCCTTTAAAATTTTATCCACATCTTTTGGATTGGTTTTCAGATCAACAACAACATCTTCAATGGATTCATCACCATTTGGTTTTTGTATTAGGACTCGAATAATTTTCCGTGGTTTTTTTGGATCATCTATTTGTTTGTGTAGAATCAATTCGGGTATTTCGGTTCGAAATTTATCCAGTTGTGCTATTCGTGATGGGGAATGGAAAGAAAATACATTAGTAATTCTGCGTGATTTGATTCAAACGATCGGTGCTTTACCAAATATATCATCACCAATATCTTTACCCGTTTGTTTAGGATCCTCGACAAATTCTTCGATCGTTTCTTTACCATCAGGTTTTCGTCGAAAAATTTTCGTTATAATTTTACCCAATGAATCTTTCTTTTTGATTGTTTTCTGTTTTGGTGCACGTTTAATTGCATCATCCAAATTCTTTTTAGCTGATTCTAAGTCGGCTTCAAATTCTTCGATTTTCTCTTCATCACCAGGTTTCAAATCGATTACTTTACCAATAATCATTGTATTTGAATCTTTAATTTCTGGTAATTTCGCTTTGATTCGTTCCTTGATCATTCGATCAACATCTTTCGGGCTGGTTTGTGGATCAACCAACAAATCGTCGACAATTTCATTACCATCGGGTTTTCGTAAAACAATTCTCAAGATTTTCTTTGGTTTTTTCGAATCTTTTTCCACGCTATCGGATCGCCAACCAAATTCAGGCATTTTAATTTTAAAACTTGGAAAACCTTTGAAAGAATGGAAAAATTTCAAATGTCAATTCAAATCAGAATTTTGAATAGACAAACTTACCAAGTGTATCATCACCAATATCACGACCAGTTTCTTTTGGATCTTCCAGATGTTCTTCAATGGTTTCTTTACCATCTGGTTTTCGACGGAAAATTTTCGTTATAATTCTTCCCAATGGATCTTTTTGTTTCGTTGTTTTTGTTCTTGGCGTTTGTTCGAGAACATTTTTCAAATCTTTTTTTGCTATATCTGAATCAAGTTCAAATTCTTCGATAGTTTCCTTGTCACCTGGTTTCAAATCAATTATTTTACCAATGATTTTTGTTTGTGAATCCGGAACATCCGATAGTTTGGAATGGATTTTTTCCATCAACAATTTTTCCACTTGTTTCACATCGGTATCAGGATCAATATATTGATCATCAATTGTTTCATGTCCATTCGGAGTTTTCAATATAATACGTATGATTTTCTTTGGTTTTTTCACATCTTTTTCCACGCTATCCAATGATTGCCAACCAAATTCTGGCAATTTAAATCTAAAACTTGGGAAACCTGTTGAAAGTTTTTTTTTGTGTTGCAATAATGAAAATTTGTTGAATATTTTTCAACAAAAATTACTCAAAAAACATACCGAATTGATGGTCATCCCCAATATCTTTGCCAGTCATTTTAGGATCTTCAATGATTTCTTCGACACTTTCTTTTCCATCTGGTTTACGTTTGAAAATTTTCGTTATTATTCTTCCGTAGGAATCTTTTTTCTTTGATGATCGTATACGTGGTGCCCGCTTGATTGCATCATCAAGATTTTTCTCGGCTATTTCTGGCTGAATTTCAAATTCTTCCATTGATTCTTCTTCACCAGGTTTTAAATCAATAATTCTGGTGATGATTTTTGTATCAATTTTTTTGATTTGTGGTAATTTCCGTTCGATACTATCTTTGATAAGATCATCAATATCTTTGGCGCTAGTTTTTGGATCAATAATTAGATCGTCGACTTGTTCATCACCATTTGGTTTACGTAGAATGATTCGAATAATTTTATTCGGTCTTTTTCTATCAATAGATAGTGCTCGTAATGGTTTAAAAATTTTTGGTGAAATTTTTTCCATTGTTTCTTTGGGTGAATGTTTCGGTTCCAAACGAAATTCTTCCATAATTTTCTCATTACCATTTGGTTTAATGGCAATCATTCTGATTATGACCACCGTTGTATCTGCTTCATTTGTAGTTTTCGGTAAAGATTTTTCAATCAATTTACAAAGAATGTCTTTGATTTCTTGATCTGAATTTCTCGCTGACAATTCAATACTATCGATTTTTTCTTCTTTACCATTTTTCGGTTTGATTGCCAATGACTGGAGTATGATTTTTTCAGTCTGATCATCTGATGATTCACTTGGTTTCATCATCATCATCATCGTTGGTTTTGTTGATATCAATGCCTGTTGTACATCATCTAAAACTGCCGAATTTTTTGGATCAATTTCGTATTCTTTAAGAAATTTTTCACCATCTGATTTCACACGAATAACACGGGCAAGAATTTTTGTTTGTTGCTGGTCAGTGAGTGGTTTCGAAATGGCAGATTGAATAGCCGAACGTATAGCTTCTTTGATTTGTTTTTCAGATTTTGTCGAATCCAATCGAACTTCTTCCAATGGTTGTTCATTGTTACCGGACTTCAGCAATACAAAACGAATGATAATTTTTTCATCAGCATCTTCCGATTTTATTGGTGGATATGCTTTTAAAAATTCTTGTTTATCTTTATCTGTTCGGCCCAATCCTGGCATTGTTATTCCTGAGCTTCCTTCTGGAATTTTTTGTTTTCCAGAAAATTTTCCATAAATAGCTGTTGATATGCTGGGAACTTTTTCATTAAAATCTTGTGATTTTGTAGTTTGATCAACGACATCTCTTTCTTTTGGTGATTTTGATTTACGTGTTTTTTTCTTTTCTTTTTCTTCATCATTATTTGTTGGTTCTTTACCAGGTGTTGGTGATTTACCACGACTATCGTCATCATAATTTGCATCACGTTTATCGCGACGTTTAAAACTTAATTTTGGAAATTTCAATCCTGTTGATCGATCTTTGCTACCTGATTCTAATGTTTCAATCGCTTCAATGAATGCTGTATCCAAATCTTTTGGCTTCTTGTGTTCATCACCATCTTTTTCATCGTCATCTTTTTTCTTTTTATCTTTTGGTTCTTTTTCTTTTGATTTACTACGTTTCGGTTTTAGATCTTTCTTTTCGATTTCGGTTTTTATATCAACATCACCAGCACTCACATTAATTTCACTCGTTTTTTCCGGTGATTTAACGCCAAATTTTGGCAAATGAATATCAAATCCTTTTCCATCACTTGATTGATCAGTTGTTGTTGGTGGTGATGAAGTTTGAACATCACGATCACGGGATTTTGATCGTTTATCACGAATATCCAAATCAATAACTTCAATTGGTTTATCAATTCGACTTTCAATATCGATTTCAATATTATCTAATTTTTTCTTTGTTTCAGGTGATTTGGATTTGGATTTTGCACGTCTTAATGGACTTCGAAGACCAAACGTTAAGGTACCAGTTTTACTTTCAACAGATTCTTCAATATCACCAGCAGGTAATGTTGCTGATCGATCACTTGGTTTTAATTTTTTCTTTCCTTTTATAGATATTTCTGGCGATTCAATGTCTGGTGCTTCAGCTGACAGTGAAGAAGCGGTCAATTTTGCTTTTGGACTTTTACTTTTCAAACGAAATCTTGGTAAAGTAAAATGAAAACTACGTGATTCTTTATCTTTTGATGGTGATGATGATGTACGAACATCTTTTTCTTCAGATTTTCCACGTTTTAATCTTGGTCCATGAATATCAATTTCTCCTTCAAGCGGTTTTGCTTCTGGAACATCTGGCCCTCTGATTTTATCACTTGGACTTTTGAAACCAAATTTAGGCAAATGAAATTCCCATTCTTTACCGTCTTTTGATTTAGGATCTTTGTTCGGAGACAATGTTAAATCAATATCGGTACCTTCGACTTTTGGACCTTTTACATCAACATCAGGCATAGTTACCTCCGGACCGGATATTTTTGGACCTTTAAGACCAAACTTTGGCATATGAAATTCCCAACCTTTACTCTCTTTATCTGGTTTTTTTGTATCGATCGAAACATCTAAATCACCTTCAACTTTTGGTGCGCTCATTTGTGGAATAACAACTTCGATTTCTGGACCAGAAATTTTTCCACTTGGACCTTTGACGTCTACATCTGGCCCAGAGATTTTGTGACCTTTGAAGCCAAATTTCGGCATATGAAATTCCCAACCTTTGCCTTCTTTATCCTGTTTTTTATCTATTGACAAATCGAATTCACCTTCAACTTTTGGACCTTTCAACTTGATATCAGATGATTCAACATTCACATCGACATCAGGACCAGAAACTTCTGGCGCTTTTAAATCAACATCAGGACCAGATATTTTCGGTCCTATAAAACCAAACTTCGGCATTTTAAAATCCCACCCTTTTCCATCTTTTTTACCATCAATTGTAACATCTAAATCGCCATCGACTTTCGGACTTTTCACATTCACATCTGGTAAATCAACATTGACATCAGCTTCTGGACCAGAGAATTTTGGTCCTTTCAAATCGACATCAGGCCCAGAAATTTTAGGGCCTTTGAAACCGAATTTTGGCATTTTCAAGTCCCAACCTTTACCATCTTTATCTAGTTTTTTACCATCAATCGATACATCCAAATCACCTTCAACTTTCGGTGCGCTCATTTGTGGAATATCAACTTTGATTTCTGGGCTAGAAATTTTTCCACTTGCACCTTGGACGTCTACATCTGGTCCAGAGATTTTGGGACCTTTGAAACCGAATTTTGGCATTTTGAATTCCCAGTCTTTTCCTTCAGGTTTTTTACCATCAATCGATAAATCAATATCAACCTTCGGACCTTTCACTTTCACATCGGGTAATTCAACGTTCACATCTAAATCAGGTGCATCTACTTTAGGCGCTTTGACATCTATATCAGGAACATTGACATTGACATCAACGTCTGGGCCAGAGAATTTTGGTCCTTTCAAATCGACATCAGGTCCAGAGATTTTAGGACCTTTGAAACCGAATTTTGGCATTTTCAAATCCCAACCTTTACCATCTTTATCTAGTTTTTTACCATCAATCGATACATCCAAATCACCTTCTACCTTAGGAGCTTTGACATTTACATCTGGAATTCCAACATTCACATCTACGTCTGGCCCAGAGACTTTGGGACCTTTGAAACCGAATTTCGGCATTTTCAAATCCCAACCTTTACCATCTTTATCTAGTTTTTTACCATCAATCGATACATCCAAATCACCTTCAACTTTCGGTGCGCTCATTTGTGGAGTATCAACTTTGATTTCTGGGCTAGAAATTTTTCCACTTGCACCTTTGATGTCTACATCTGGTCCAGAGATTTTAGGACCTTTGAAACCAAATTTAGGCATTTTGAATTCCCAGTCTTTTCCTTCAGGTTTTTTACCATCAATCGATAAATCAATATCGCCTTCAACTTTCGGACCCTTCACTTTCACATCTGGTAAATCAACGTTGACATCAACGTCTGGACCAGATATTTTCGGTCCTTTGAGATCGACATCTGGACCTGAGATTTTCGGACCTTTGAAGCCGAATTTTGGCATTTTCAAATCCCAACCTTTACCATCTTTATCTAGTTTTTTACCATCAATCGATGCATCCAAATCACCTTCTACCTTAGGACCTTTGACATTTACATCTGGAATTTCAACATTCGCATCCACATCAGGTCCAGAGATTTTAGGACCTTTGAAACCGAATTTTGGCATTTTCAAGTCCCAACCTTTACCATCTGGTTTTTTACCATCAATCGATAAATCAATATCGCCTTCAACTTTTGGACTTTTCACTTTCACATCTGGTAAATCAACATTGACATCTACATCTGGACCAGTGACTTTTGGTCCTTTCAAATCAACATCCGGTCCAGAGATTTTTGGACCTTTGAAACCGAATTTTGGCATTTTCAATTCCCATCCTTTTCCATCTTTTTTACCATCAATCGATACATCCAAATCACCTTCTACCTTAGGACCTTTGACATTTACATCTGGCATTTCAACATCCACATCTGGTCCAGAGACTTTGGGACCTTTGAAACCGAATTTTGGCATTTTGAATTCCCAATCTTTACCTTCTGTTTTTTTACCATCAATTGATAAATCAATATCGCCTTCAACTTTTGGACTTTTCACTTTCACATCTGGTAAATCAACATTGACATCTACATCTGGACCAGTGACTTTTGGTCCTTTCAAATCAACATCCGGTCCAGAGATTTTTGGACCTTTGAAACCGAATTTCGGCATTTTCAAATCCCAACCTTTACTATTTTTATCAAGTTTTTTACCATTAATTGACAAATCAACTTCACCTTCAAGTTTGGGCATCTTAACATCAACCTGTGGCATTTCTACATACACATCAACATCGGGACCAGAAACTTTCTGACCTTTCAATTTCACATCTGGTAATTTAACATCTACATCAGGACCAGAGACTTTTGGCGTTTTGATATCTACATCAGAAGCATTGACATTGACATCAACGTCTGGACCAGAAACTTTTGGTCCTTTCAAATCGATATCAGGTCCAGATAATTTCGGTCCTTTAAAACCAAACTTCGGCATTTTAAAATCCCATCCTTTTCCATCTTTTTTACCATCAATTGAAACATCTAATTTACCTTCAACTTTTGGACCTTTCACTTCCACATCTGGTAATTCAACATTCACATCGACATCACGACCAGAAACTTTTAAATCAACATCAGGACCAGATATTTTTGGCCCTTTAAAACCGAATTTCGGCATCTTGAATTCCCAATCTTTGCCTTCGGGTTTTTTCCCATCGATGGATAGATCAATATCACCTTCAACTTTCGGTGCGCTCATTTGTGGTATATCAACTTCTATTTCTGGACCAGAAATTTTTCCACTTGGACCTTTGACATCTACATCCGGTCCAGAGATTTTGGGACCTTTGAAACCGAATTTCGGCATTTTGAATTCCCAGTCTTTTCCTTCGGGTTTTTTACCATCAACCGATAAATCAATGTCTCCTTCAACTTTCGGACCTTTCACTTTCACATCTGGTAAATCAACGTTGACATCAACGTCTGGACCAGAAACTTTTGGCGCTTTTAAATCAACATCAGGACCAGAGATTTTTGGACCTTTGAAACCGAATTTGGGCATTTTGAATTCCCAATCTTTGCCTTCTGGCTTTTTGCCATCAATCGATAAATCAATATCGCTTTCAATTTTCGGAGCACTCATTTTTGGAACATCTATTTCGATTTCTGGGCCCCGGATTTCACCGCTTGGAACTTCGAGATCAACATCAAGACCAGAAACTTTTGGTCCTTTGAGATCGATATCTGGACCTGAGATTTTCGGACCTTTGAATCCGAATTTCGGCATTTTCAAATCCCAACCTTTGCCATCTTTTTCTGGCGATTTACCTTTCAACGAACTATCGACATCACCTTGTATTTCCGGCATTTTTACCTCCATTTGTGGAGCATCAATATCAATTTCAGGACCAGTTAGTTTTCCACTCGGACCTTTAATATCTACATCTGGACCGGATATTTTCGGTCCTTTGAAACCAAATTTTGGCATATGAAATTCAAAATCTTTACTGTCTTTAGGTTCTGGAGTTTCGCGGTCTTTTTCCCTGGATTTATCACGTTTCTTTTTCAGTGATAAATTGATGTCGCCTTCAACTTTTGGTAGCTCAACATCTGCATCTGGCATATCAACATTTACATCTACATCTGGTCCAGAGACTTTTGGCCCTTTGAAGCTAAATTTTGGCATATGAAAATCCCATCCTTTACCATCTTTTTCTGGTGATTTAGTGTCTCTATCTTTGGATTTTCCACGTTTCTTTTTCAGCGAAAGATTAGCATCACCTTCAACTTTGGGTAAGTCAAATTCAACATCAGGCATTTCAACATTGACATCTACATCTGGACTGGATACTTTTGGTCCTTTTATTCCGAACTTAGGCATATGAAAATCCCAACTTTTACCATCTTTTTCTTTTGATTTTCCTCGTTTCTTTTTTAATGATAAATTAATATCACCTTCAATTTTAGATGTGTCAACTTCAACTTCAGGCATTTTCACATCGATACCAACATCAGGGCCAGAGATTTTTGGTCCTTTTACATTGACATCCTGCAATTCAACATTTAAATCGACATCAGGACCAGAAACTTTTGGACCTTTCAAATCTACATCCGGTCCAGAGATCTTGGGACCTTTAAACCCGAATTTTGGCATTTTGAATTTCCATCCCTCACTATCTTTATCTGATTTTTCATTACCACTTGTCAAATTAACGTCACCTTCAAGTTCGGGCATCTTAACATCAACCTGTGGCATTTCAACATTCACATCCATATCTGGACTTGAGACTTTTGGCGCTTTCAAATCGACATCAGGTCCAGAGATTTTAGGACCTTTGAAACCGAATTTCGGCATTTTGAATTCCCAATCTTTACCATCTGGTTTTTTACCATCAATCGATAAATCAATATCGCCTTCAACTTTTGGACTTTTCACATTCACATCTGGTAAATCAACATTGACATCAGCTTCTGGACCAGAGAATTTTGGTCCTTTCAAATCGACATCAGGCCCAGAAATTTTAGGGCCTTTGAAACCGAATTTTGGCATTTTCAAATCCCAACCTTTACCATCTTTATCTAGTTTTTTACCATCAATCGATACATCCAAATCACCTTCAACTTTCGGTGCGCTCATTTGTGGAATATCAACTTCGATTTCTGGGCCAGAGATTGTTCCACTTGGACCTTTGACGTCTACATCTGGTCCAGAGATTTTGGGACCTTTGAAACCGAATTTCGGCATTTTGAATTCCCAGTCTTTTCCTTCAGGTTTTTTACCATCAATCGATAAATCAATATCAACCTTCGGACCTTTCACTTTCACATCGGGTAATTCAACGTTCACATCTACATCAGGTCCAGAGACTTTAGGCGCTTTGATATCTATATCAAGAACATTGACATTGACATCAACGTCTGGGCCAGAGAATTTTGGTCCTTTCAAATCGACATCAGGTCCAGAGATTTTAGGACCTTTGAAACCGAATTTTGGCATTTTCAAATCCCAACCTTTACCATCTTTATCTAGTTTTTTACCATCAATCGATACATCCAAATCACCTTCTACCTTAGGAGCTTTGACATTTACATCCGGCATTTCAACATTCACATCCACATCTGGCCCAGAGACTTTGGGACCTTTGAAACCGAATTTTGGCATTTTCAAGTCCCAACCTTTACCTTCTGGTTTTTTACCATCAATTGATAAATCAATATCGCCTTCAACTTTCGGACCTTTCACTTTAACATCTGGTAATTCAACATCTACATCTGGACCAGAGAATTTTGGTCCTTTCAAATCAACATCCTGTCCAGAAACTTTTGGCTTTTTCAAATCGACATCAGGTCCAGAGATTTTAGGACCTTTGATACTGAATTTCGGCATTTTTACATCCCAGCCTTTACTATCCTTATCAAGTTTTTTGCCATCAATTGATACATCTAAATCACCTTCAACCTTAGGTCCTTTTATTTCGACGTCAGGCATTTCAATATTTACATCAACATCTGGTCCAGATACTTTTGATCCTTTGAAACCAAATTTTGGCATATGGAAATCCCAATCTTTGCCTTCCTTTTGTTTCTTGTCCTTTTCTTTGCTTGGGCTCAAAGACAAATCAATGTCGCCTTCAATTTTTGGCATTTCAACATCTGCATCAATTTCAGGTGCTTTGATATCCACATCTGGACCACTGATTTTCGGTCCTTTAAATCCAAACTTCGGAAATTTCAATTCCCAATCTTTTCCTTCTTTTGGCTCGGGTGTTTTACGATCTTTTTCTTTAGATTTTCCACGTTTCTTTTTCAATGATAAATTTATGTCACCTTCAACTTTAGGCACTTCCGGCATATTCATTTCAGGCATGTTTACATCAACTTTTCCAGCATCAACATCGATTTCCGGTTTATCTAAGCTACCGACTTTTCCACTTGATCCTTTCATACCAAACTTGAATCTTGGTAATGTAAAATGACGTCGAGTTTTTGGTGATTTAATTTTTTGATCACCACTAGCTTTCATTGAAATATCGACATCACTGCCACCTTTTTTCACTTTTACATCAGGCATATCTACATCGATTTCTGGGCTGATTTTACCACGTGCAGGTAATGTTCCACTTTTGCCTTTGAATCCAAATTTTGGAAAATGAAATTCAAAACTTTTTTGACCATCATGTTGATCTTTCAATTTTTTCTTTGTTTTCACGTCTACTTCTGGTAAGTTGATGTTGACATTTCCTGTTTCAATTTCTGGTGATCCAGCTTTCGATCTAATACCGAATGATGGCAGTGAGATTTCGAAACCTTTTTTGCTGCTATCTAGATTTAAATCAATTACTTCCGCACTATCCAATCCGGTTTCAACATCAATATCGATGCTTGGTTTTTCTTTGGATTTTCCACGTCTAAATCGATCTTTTAGGCCAAAATTGCCATTTCCTTCAATATCGGTATCAACTTTCGGTACATTAACATCAATTTCAGGGGCGGTTATTTTTCCACTCGGTCCTTTGACATCTACATCAGGACCTGAGATCTTTGGCCCTTTAAATCCAAATTTTGGCATCTTGATTTCCCAATCTTTTTCTTCAGTTTTTTTGCCATCAATCGATAAATCAATATCACCTTCAACTTTTGGACTTTTCAATTTCACGTCTGGTAATTCAACATTGACTTCGGGGCCAGAAACTTTTCCACTTGGACTTTTTACGTCTACATTCGGTCCAGAGATTTTGGGACCTTTGAAACCGAATTTCGGCATTTTCAAATCCCAACCTTTACCATCTTTATCTAGTTTTTTACCATCAATCGATACATCCAAATCACCTTCAACTTTCGGTCCTTTTACTTCAACATCGGGTAATTCTACATTTACATCGACATCAGGACCAGAAACTTTCGGCCCCTTAAATCCAAATTTTGGCATCTTGAATTCCCAATCTTTTCCTTCGGGTTTTTTGCCATCAATCGATAAATCAATATCACCTTCAACTTTTGGACCTTTCAACTTGACATCAGGTGATTCAACATTGACATCAACGTTTGGACCAGATATTTTCGGTCCTTTAAAACCAAATTTCGGCATTTTGAATTCCCAACCTTCTGGTTTTTTGCCATCAACATCACTTTCAAGTTCGGGCATCTTAACATCAACCTGTGGCATTTCAATGTCAACATCAACCTCTGGTTTTGAAACTTTATGATCTTTAATATCGATTTCAGGTCCGGATATTTTGGGACTTTTAAAACCGAATTTTGGCATCTTGAATTCCCAATCTTTGCCTTCGGGTTTTTTGCCATCGATGGAAAGATCAATATCGCCTTCAACTTTTGGACCTTTCACTTTAACATCGGGCATCTCAACGTTTATATCGACATCAGGACCCGACACTTTTGGCGCTTTCAAATCAACATCCGGTCCAGAGATTTTGGGACCTTTGAAACCGAATTTCGGCATTTTGAATTCCCAATCTTTGCTTTCTGGTTTTTTGCCATCAATCGATAAATCAATATCGCCTTCGACTTTTGGGGCGCTCATTTGTGGAACATCTATTTCGATTTCTGGGCCAGAAATTTTCCCACTTGATCCTTTGACATCTATATCTGGCCCAGAGATTTTCGGACCTTTGAAGCCAAACTTGGGCATTTTAAAATCCCATCCTTTGTCATTTTTATCTATTTTTTTGCCATCCAACGATAAATCGATATCGCCTTCAACTTTTGGCAAATCGACATCAATTTTTGTACCTTCAACATTCATTTCGGCATTCGGTCCAGATATTTTCGGTCCTTTTAAACCAAATTTTGGCATCTTGAATTCCCAATCTTTTCCTTCGGGTTTTTTGCCATCGATGGATAGATCAATATCACCTTCAACTTTTGGACCTTTCACTTTAACATCGGGCATCTCAACGTTTAGATCCACATCAGGACCCGACACTTTTGGCGCTTTCACTTCAACATCCGGACCAGATAATTTCGGTCCTTTAAAACCAAACTTTGGCATTTTGAATTCCCAATCTTTGCTTTCGGGTTTTTTGCCATCGATGGATAGATTAATGTCACCTTCAACATTTGGTGCTTTTAAATCAACATTAGGCAGATTTACATCAACTTCCGGAACATTAACATTGACATCCGCATCTGGACCTGATACTTTTGGTCCTTTGAAACCAAATTTAGGCATACTAAATTCCCATCCTTTTCCATCTTTTTCTTTAGATTTTGCACGTTTTTTCTTCAATGATAAATTGATGTCACCTTCTACTTGTGGTGGTTTGACATCCACTTCTGGTAAATCAACATTGACATCCATTTCAGGACTGGAAATCTTTCCACTTGGACCTTTGATGTCTATTTCTGGTCCAGAGGTTTTCGGACCTTTGAAGCCAAATTTTGGCATATGAAATTCCCAGCCTTTGCCATCTTTTTCTGGAGATTTTCCTTTTAATTCGACGTCTAGATCGCCTTCAACTTTTGGTCCTTTAATTTCTACTTCAGGCATTTCAACATTAACATTGACATCAGGACCGGATACTTTCGGACCTTTGAATCCAAATTTTGGCATTTTAAATTCCCAATCTTTATTTTCTTTATCTTTAGGGCTTAGATTCAAATCAATTTCTCCTTCTGGAAGCTCTACGTTGACATCAACATCGGGACCCGATACTTTTGGGCTTTTAAATCCAAATTTAGGCATCTTGATCTCCCAATCTTTTCCATCTTTCACGGGTTTTTTGCCTTTCAACGATACATCAACATCACCTTCAAGTTCAGGCATTTTAACATCAACCTGTGGCATTTCAACATTGACTTCAGGTCCAGAAATTTTTCCACTTGTGCCTTTTATATCAATATCTGGCCCACTGATTTTTGGTCCTTTGAATCCAAGTTTTGGCATTTTAAATTCCCAATCTTTGCCTTCTGGTTTTTTGCCATCAATCGATAAATCAATGTCTCCTTCAACTTTCGGTGCTTTTACATCCAATTCGGGCTTTTCCAATTTCAAATCAACATCTGAGCCTGATATTTTAGGTCCTTTGATTCCAAATTTTGGCATTTTCAATTGCCAATCTTTTCCTTCTTTTTCTTTGGGACTTATGTTCAAATCGATTTCACCATCTGGCAAATCTACGTTCACATCAACATCAGCGCCAGATATTTTTGGTCCTTTTACATCCACTTCAGGGCCAGATATTTTTGGCGCTTTCAATTTAACATCAGGCATATCCACGTTGACATCGACATCAGGACCAGAAACTTTCGGCCCTTTAAAACCAAATTTTGGCATTCCAAATTCCCAGCTTTTTCCATCTTTTTCTTTGGATTTTCCACGTTTCTTTTTCAATGACAAATCTAAATCACCTTCAACTTTTGGTGCATCAACTTCCACATGGCCAACATTTACATCGATACCGCTGCTAGATATTTCTCCTTTCGGTCCTTTTAGGTCAATTTTTGGCATTGTTATTTCGAAATCTTTTGTTTCCTTTTTGGATTTTGGTTCTTTTTCTTTAGATTTTCCACGTCTAAATCGATCTTTCAGCCCAAATGATCCATCGACATTTACATCAATATTGCCTGATTCTACTCTCATGTCTTCTGGTTCTGGACTCATTCTTGCCGATATGAATTTATCAAATTTATTTGTTTTATCATCCGTTATTTTCAAATCAATGACTTCACCACCAAGTTTAATTTTACCAACTGATACATTGACACGATCTTTAGATTTTCCACGTTTTGAACGATCAGCTGTTTGGTCGGTTGTTGTTCCATTCACATCTAAATTTGGGTCTTGGATTTCCATGTCAAGTTTTCCTGTTTTCACATTCAAAAAAATGAGAATAAGAAAAAAATTCCGAAATGGTTAAACATTTGAAAAAGCAGATCATCAGGAAAAATAACTCACCATGTTTACGTGCGTTTATATCACCACTTTCAATCATTTTGGGCCATTTTCCACCATCACCACCACTACCATCACCAGAAGGCCTCAAATCAAAATCACCAGTTTTTTGTTCAATTATAAAATTACCAGAGACATTTCCTTCACGATCTTTTACTGAATATGATTTAGTTTCAATACGTAGAATATTTGTTTCACTTGGACTAATTTTCGAACCAATTTTCATTAGGCCAACGCCTTTTGATTTTCCAATATCGACAACATTCTCGGCATTTATATCACCCGTTTTATATTCCCATTGTAATTCTGGTTGTTCACCATTACCACTTGTTGTTGTTGTTGATATTTTTGTTGGTGTCTCTTTTTTCTTTTTTCTACCAAATAATCTTTTGAAAATATTGCCACCACTATCATCATCATCATGATCGATATCCATATCTTTTTCATTACTATCATCAATCTCATCATTCCTGATCAACAGGTCTTTTATCAAGGGAATGGCTACGTTTTATAATAATTTTTTTTGTTTGTGGACTTTTTGGTGGCCGATCCAATGTCTGATGTCTTTTTGTCATTGCTAATTTTTCTTTTTTTCGTTTGTTTTTGCCCGTTCCACCACCATTGTGAACATTTAATTTCAATTCATTATCATCATCATTGACATTAACATTAACATCGGATTCCATTGATATATCTCGTTTTTTTCTTAAAACATCTGGTCGATTTGATTTTTTCAATGAACGTTTTTTACGTCCAAATAAACGATCAATAAAATTTCCATCGGTTTCAGCATCTTTTATTGCTTGATCAACAGTTTCAGCTGCATTATCGATTGCCATCTGTAGATTATCATCCAATTTTCTGCCTTTATCATCCACTGATGATACTGGCGGTGGTTTATTTTCAATTGATTTCAGTAATTTTGGCTTCGTTTTTTGTTTCTTTTTATTTTTTGCATTTTCCATTGAATTTGGTGATGGATCACGTGATAATGATTTTCGTACTTCATAACCGCGAAATGCAGCTTGTATACGAATGGCAGCTTGTTCTGGTGTCAGAAGATCTGGATTAATAAAATCTTCTGGTTTCATCAAATTTGGATCATCAGAACCATTTGTTGTCGTTGTAGTAGTAGTGGTGGTCACTACGTTCGAACCATCTAAGATTGTTTTAGTTATTTTCTGCGTTGTTGTTATTGGACCATCTGATCCATTTCTCGTGGATGTTGTATCGATCATGACATTACCGCCACCACCACCACCATCATCATCACTTTTAGCCATCAATAATGGACCACTAGTTATATTTGTGATTGTTGTTTTTTGATGTATAACTTGTGGTTGATTTGTAAGTGGTTTATCAAAGGCTCTTTCAATCACAATTTTTTCATTCATTTTAGGAAGACGTGATGATGTTGATGATGATTCTATTGTTCCAGCAGCTGCTCCAATAGCAGATGCTTGTTGTTGTAATGATGATGATGTTAATGATGGATGAGTATCAATTTGTTGTTGTAAAATATTACGATTTAATTGTTCCAGAACAAATGGATCACCCTGTTTTTCAATAGTAATTGTTGTGATACCTGGTGTTGTTGTTGTTGTTGTGCCAACATCGCTACCACCAGAATTACCGGTGGAAATGGTATATGAACCAGCGGGTAATCGTGCCAATTCTTCTGCCGTTATCTGACGACTTGTTGTCGTTTTAACACTTGTTGTTTTCATTGTTTCATTTGTTTTGGTTATAATTTCATCATCATCCATTTTTCCGGGTAATTTTTGTTGATTACTCATTTCGAAAATAAAAAAATTAATTGATTTTTTTTTACAATGATTCACTGATAATAAGGCTTTTTTGTATTTTCATCAAAATAAAGACAATGATTGATTCAATTTTCTTTTTCTTCGATTAAAAATTAATTATCAATCTACTTATTTTGTTTGAGGCACAAATAGACCACAATAATGCGTAATTTCTTCAAGTGATTTTTTTTTTGGTTTCACAATTTTTTCACCAAAATGTCAATCGACAACGATGAACAATATATATTGAGCAAGAGAAAAACAAATGAAAAAAAAACAATTGAAATTAATTTCCACACACTCAAATACTGGTAGACATCAACATCGACACGCTTAAATTATTCAATAAAAAAAAGCCTAGCATAATAACTTGAACTATCGATTCGATCGATCAGAATTGGTCTGAAATTGAAAACAAAACCTAAATAAACAAAGGATCGATCGTATTGGATTTTTTTTTTATTATTTTCGTGCATTCAAAACAGACTTGAGAAATGACATGATTCTACTTACCAGAAAGAAAAAAAAAAAAATGTTCAGTTGGTTTCAAGTGAGTGAATGTGAATGAGTCTGTTGAATTGTGAAATGATGATGATGACGGTGATGACGGTGATGATGATGATGATGATGAAAAAAAACGTCAAAATATTTTGATTGTTGATTGAAAATTTTACACAACACTCATAAACAAAAACACTTGCATAAACAGGAATCTTTTTTTTCCTTGATTTTTAATAACAAAACAATAAAAACAACAACAACAACAAAAAACGAAAATGATAAACAAAACAAAAACAGAAACAAAAACAAAAAAAAAATTTGCACAAGGGATTTCCGGTTTTTGGTGAGTTGGTTTTTTCGTGATTCTTGATTGATACTTTGTAAATAAACGATAATGATGATGATGGTGATGATAGTAAGAAGGGGGTGAACAGAAAACAAACAAACACTATGGACGGATTGTGTGTAGAATTAGATGATGAAAATAAAAAAAAAACTGGTTGATCAAATGAATATCTTGTTATTGAAGTAATAGCTGATTGATTTTTTTTCCATTGATGACGACGACGACTATTGACGACTTTGACGACTTTGATTGACTGATTGATTGATGACAGATCAAAAGAAGAAGAAAAAATCAGCTATCACTATTGTTGTTATGTAATAAGATCAAACTTTATGTGAAATATGAATATTGAATAATTTCCGGTGAGTGTGTAAGTGTGTATAACGAGTCTATGTGTGACGAATATTGAATGACAATTAATGAACGAATTAATTAATCATCATCATCATTACACACACAAAAAAAAACACTTTTTCAATAAGATAAACAGCACAATTAGCAGCAGCAGCAGTAGTAGTAGCAGTAGATCGAATCAAATCAAATCAACAACAACAACAACACAATTCAGGTATCATAACAACCAATCTATGGATAAACAAAAACAAACGTCCAGACAAAAAAAAATCAGAATATTTCTCAATCAAAAAAAAGAATTATGAAAAAATCACAAAAAAAGATTAAAAATAGAATTTTGTAAAAAATTTTCATTGAACTTTGAATTCAAAATTCGAATTTCGCTGATCAATAATCGATGGATCGGTAGATGTTGTTGTTTTGTGATTTTTTTTCGTTGTTTTCAAAAAAAAAGAAAAATTTTTATTTTTACTTTTTTTTTATTTTAGTTGTCGTGGTAACCGTTTCGTGGCAATTTTTAATGAATATGTTGTTGTTGTTGATTTGATACTTGTCGATTATTTGGTTTTTGTTGTTGTTGTTTTGTTTTCAGCGATGGATGTTTACAAATGAATAGCTCATAAAACAAGATTCAACTACGATGACAAGGACGAGTTTTTTTTTTGGTTTTTGATGAAAACACGATAAACACGATGTAGAATTTTGATGAACAATGTGACGATTTTTTTTTTATTTGACATGTTGATTGATTGATGATGTGGATTAAGTAATTGAGTTTGAATTTTTTTTTTTTTTTTGATTTTCACATTTTCAATGTTTTGTTAATGAAAACAAATAACCAAATGAAAAGGGATATTGGACATGATTTCGAACGATTAGAGAAATTTTTTGGAAAATTTTTTTTTGCAAATAAAAGAAACTTACCGAGAAAAATTTTTTTGAAATGTATATTCAATAGTGGCAGCACAAAGTGATGGAACAAAAGTTGATGGTGGTGACAATTGCAAAATGGACAAACTTAACACGAAGAAACAATAATAAACAAGATTGATCCAATTGGTACAGAAAAAAATGCTGAATTTTTTTTTTATTTTGACGACGACGACGACGACGACGACGACGATGACGACTTTTTTCGGCTTTTATTTTCAACCTATTGGATCAACACTTGATTGACTGATTAATCGTGAATTCTTTTTCTCGATTTTCGGTTCTTTTTCGCTTGTTTTATTTCCAACAAATCACTACAATCGAAAACACAGCTGCTGTTGTGAATTTTTAGTTTTTAATTTGGAAGACAAATTCTTTTCCACCAATAAAGACACAGACTACGCAGATTTAGACTTCTTGACCTTGAATAAAGATGATGATGATGTTTATTATAGACAGGCACGGACACACACCATACAAATAATAACACTTTAACATCCAGAAAAAACGACAACAACAACAACAACTTGTTGCTGCTTTGTTTTTTATATCAACGATGGTGGATAGCTGCTACATGTTGTTGTTGTTGTTGTTGGATAACCACAATATAATGAAGCCGACCAGCCAAAAAAGTAGATGCAAAAAAAGTCAAAATTTGAAAATTTGATGATTGATGAGAGAGAGAGAGAGAGAGAAAAAAGTAAAATTAGAATCTGAGAGAGAAAATCTTTTGAAAACGAACAACAACATTGCTAACATGAAATAATTATTTAAATATCGATTGAAGAGATTTTATTTTTTTTTGTTTATTTTGAAAAAAGAAAGTTTTTTTTCAAAGTTAATATAATAACCATAACTTTAAACGGAATACAAAGTGTTAATATGTTGCTGTTGTTGTTGTTGTTGTTTGCATCATCATCATCATTATATTCGTGTTTATCATTCACTTCTTTGTAAAAAAAAAAAATTAAATTGTTATGGTGGTGGAACCAAGCAAGCAAGCAAAAACAAAAAAAAAATAAACAAAAATTGAAAATAAAGGGCAGGAAATGATGATGATGATGATTATTTTTATGCTAAATTTGAACAAATCAAATGAGAGAGAGAAAGAAAGGGAGAGAGAAAGAAAGGTGGGGGTGGTAAATATGACAACAACTACCAAACAAAGATCGTGAGACGACACACACACACACTCAGTGTTTATTTGTTTTTTCACTGTGTTATTTGAAACGCAATAATAATAATAAACATGAGAAATGATGGTAACAACAACAACAACAACGACGACGACAATAAAATAACGCTAATAAATAAAGGGGTAGAAACAATGAAATAAAATGAATGGTTAGTGTGTGTGTGTAACATGATGCTAATACGAATGATGATCATGATCATAAAAAAATACAATATTCCATTTAGTCAAGGACAATTTTGTGATTGTAAACAAAAATGGTAGACAATGACGAATTTATTGAATTTTTTTTTTTCAAAAGAAAATAAAAACCATTTCAGTAATGAACTGATGATAAATAAAAATCTGAAATAAGAATATTCTATTTATAGTCATGGTATGGGGCAAAAAAAAAGGAAGGAAAAAGAATTGCAAAAAAAAAAGACAATAATCCAAGGACATAATGATGATGATAAACTAACCGAAACGAATGACCCAATTATTCATTGGAAAAATCGATAATCGTGCAAATTTTTTTTTGGGCGATAAACGCAGAAAAAAAAGAGGTGACTGGGTGAAATTAGAGATAGATCAGACAAACAAGAAAAACATACAAAAGTATTGAATCGAAGAAAAAAAAATTCAGATTTTTCGACTACGATGAAAGGATAAACATTGAAAATTGTTTTAAAAATTGCACATCCACACATACACACACACACAGACACAAAACCAAACACGGGAATATTTTTCAAAACAACAAAAGAAGAATTTAAATTTTTTAACCAAAAACAAAACTTTCAAGGTGGTAATCATTCATCACACACCGAGTCAAATAAACAGGATTTTTTTTTCGTTGTTGTTGTTGCAGAAAAAAATTTAAAAATCAAAAAAAAAAAAAAAAATAAATCATCGGCAACGACAGCGACGGCGACTAGTTGCCTTCTGGGATGTTTTTTTTTCTTCATTTCAAAAGAATTACGAATTTGGCGATGATGATCATCATCGTTGATCATTGTGCAATGTCATCAACAACAAGCATCAAACATCAGTAGTAGTGGTAGTGGTTCAATGTCTATGATAATTGTGTGTTTTTTTTTGGTTGGTTGGTTGAATGAATGAATGAATTTTGCAACAAAACAGCAGCAGACATTCTAGGAATCATCATCAAAAAGTTTTTTTTTTGGAAAACTTGTCTGTTTACCACCAATGATGATGATTTCATGATGATTGCATCGAATTGAATTGAATTGAGTGAATGAATGAATAAATGCCACTTCCATCGACCGACACACACCACCCCATTTGAAGATTTTTTTTTGATCAAGTTTCGTTTCGTTTTGTTTTTTTGGCTTCGTATGGATTCGCGCGGCTCAAATTATTTCGTTTCACTGTTTCTGTTGTTGTTGTTGTTGTCAGTGAATATTTTCGGGCGTCGAAACAACAACAACAACAACGAGAAGATTTATCCATCCATGGATGGATGGATGCCAGTGAAGAAAAAATAAGAGAGAAAAAAGGAAGAAATTTCGACGGGAAAAAAATGTTGAAATAAATAAATTTACAACAAAAAACTGGCGTGGCCAACTACCATATGTATTTTTTTTTGTCTTGCCGCGCCAGTTTTATATATATTTTTTTTTATTGAGCTTGTTGTTTATTGTTGATGATCATATTTGATCATCAAGATATCGTCATGATCATTATTTGTAAACAAACTGACACTGACATTCACATTTATATATGAAGACAACAATAACTTGTCGATGAAGATTTTTTTTTTTTTGCTGCTTGATGAAAAAATGAATAGAGATAATTTACCAACCTTTCTCAATGATGATGATGATGATGATATAATCGAT